CCTCTTGATCAATTTCAAAAAACACCCTTAGAGCATCGATTGTATCACACGATGCTTCCCGTCAAATTCTTCTATTCGAAGAGGGTTGTTTTACTTCTCTTTTGCAGCCGTCGCAGCACCAATTCGAATAAATTTCTGCTATTGACCAGCATGTTTCCGGGATGTTTCGGGCGACGAGTGGTAGATATTTATATGCTGATATTCTTTTGTACTTATGCTTGATTAGAGTTTTGGTACAAGAACGTGAGCTTCCGGTTTCATGAGGCTATCAGTCGAACAGAGATCGTTTAAGGTATGTATATATAGCTAAGACAAGTTAGTGATAAACACCTGTACACTTTTTTAACTAATGTTGTATACCTTTACACTTTCAACAAACTTGACAGTCACTGGCCCGGAAGCAAATAATTCTGAATTCACCTTCTCCTCTATTCATTCGTGACTTACGAGTTAGCCTGTAATTCCCCAATAATATAAGAAGCAAGTAGCAATTTCTCTATCTGAATAATTTCTTGACAATTCCTAAATTTATAGAGCAAAACGGAGCTTTGAATGAACCTCGATTCCAGGTCTGTGGATTTCAACAGATCTACTTATTTTAAGTTGTTCAATTGATCCTCAACTTCGAGCCCGTCTCTCAACATACGATCAGTAATAGCCAGAATCCATCAGTTCCTAGCTGAAAAATTCCTCTTTAAGACTTCCCTTTATTCCGAGAGTAGTATAGATGAACTCTTTCGAGGAAAATTTAGCGGCTAGGGTTGGTTGAATACTTGAGGATTATAAACAGGCTGAGGAAGGTAGAAAAATTGAAGAACAACAGGCTGAGGAAAGTTGGATGCTTGGGGAATATTAACAGGCTGAGGAAGGTTGAATACGTGAGGAATGACAGGCTGAGGAAGGTTGAATACTTGGGGAATATTAACAGGCTGAGGAAAGTTGGATGCTTGGGGAACAACAGGCTGAGGAAAGTTGGATGCTTGGGGAACAACAGGCTGAGGAAAGTTGAACAATTGAGGAATATTAACAGGCTGAGGAAGGCTGAAAAAATGAGGAAGATCAACAGGCTGAGGTGTATTAACAGTTTGAGGGGGATCAATAGGATGAGGATAATTCAAAGGTTGAGGAATGCCTGAAGCTGGATTATTGAGTAAACAAGAATAGGAATTGGTCTCAGCATTAAAGCGATGGGTACTTTGTTGATCAATTTGGTTCAAATAATCAAATAGTTGTTGACTCGATATGAGTTTAGGTTTAACATTCTCTCTGTTAAGTTCATGAACGGGAGAATGGTTTTGGGGATGGGGTTCAATTCTTTTGCTTGTTTCATCTAATTGCGAATCCTTTATATAGCTTGATCTTGAGCGATTCTCAACAGAATTCAAAACTTCTCCGTTTGCTAAAGTTTCATTATTGACTCCATCTACACCCTGTCTTGATGCTGCGAGAACAAACAAACCAAAGTTTTCAGCAACAGTAATCAAATGTGTGTCAGAGGAGAAATTCTGTGGTTGAGAAACCACATGGAGCTCCCCACCAGAATTTGGTCTAGAGCCAACATTGGCATTTGGTTCTTCATTTAATTCGGGAAACAGTTGTTCTTCAGGAGATGGAACTTTATAGGTCTGTGGTAACTCATTGGTGACGTTATCAGATTGTGAACCACTTCTTGGAGCTTTTTCAGGATCAGAATTTAATTCTAAAAGAGTATGACTTGAAGCACCATCAATCATTGACATGCTATCAGATTCATGAGGAAGTTCGTCTTGAAGGCCATCGTAGTGAACATATTCTTCATCTTCATTAAAAGGATTATTTGTATTGACATCTTGAATGTGTGGTTCAGCACCACTGGAAGAAAAAATGAAGATGGGGCTGGATTTCGTATCTCCTACCCTTCTACGTTTAGAAGGAGGCGTACTGCACCTTTTAAAAAGGTCCTCATACGTCAAACCTGGTGGTAATTGGCCTTCTGCATAATCAATAGGTTTCTTGGGACGAGTTTTTCTTTCAGTTGGGATCAATCCCTGTACCTTATGGGTTAAATAGTATAACTGATGGTGACGACTTCGAGAATTGGTTCTTCTTTGATAAGGTTGTGAAACCTGGTTCAAAATGACCATAGAACTTGACTTGAGGACTCGAACAACTTCAGGAATTGAAGCATCAGGATGAACTTTGAAAACTTTGAGAATGGGGACCTGGGGACCCTCACTAACACTACGACGAAAACTGGCTCTTTGAGGTCTTAATTCATGATTGACCCGGTTCTCATCAGACCCATCTAAATATGGATCCCTATTTCCAATTATCAGAGGTCCTTGGCTGTTATTTTGGCCGTCTTCAATGGTTGAATTCATCAGGATGAAGTATCGCAAAGGAATTTTTGAATCTTGTATCTTTTTTTCGAATTGGCGTGATCTGGAACCTCGCAGAACTCGATATCAAGTATTAAGCAGCAGTTACTATCTTCTAATTAACTTGTTACTGCTCAGGAACTTCTTTTTTAAGCTGCTGATCAAAAATCAAATTAATTTTTGATTTAACCGCTGTGTTACAAAAAGAAAAAAGATTACAAGGCGCGGCTCACGAAAAATTTGCAGCCAAAAAAATCTCATATCCAAGACATACTAAACATGGGCGTTCTAGTGGTTTGTAGAGAGAGAAAAAACTACGTAAACCATATTAAGCACTACTCCTCCATCAAACTGCTCTATCCCAGAAGAGGTATTCATCTGCTAATCCTCATCTTACGAGCCGAATAAATTACTAAAATGTTGATAAAATGAAACGAACCCATATTGAAAGCCATAAATTTCACCTATCTCCTCCGTTAAACTACTCTGTTTAGAAAGAAAAGTCAGAGTTCAAAGTTTGCTGGATCTACTAAACAAATATCAAGCAGGGAAGGAGACACAGTTGACCCACTTTCTTCTTCTTTAAAATCTCATCTACAAGTTTATTGATTGGTAACTTGTGTCCGTAAAACTCAAGTAGACCAATCGATACAGCTGATGTCAAGATTGGTAGATTTTCATTTTTTTATATTGTTTTTAATCTTTTTTTTGTTTTTTTTGCCAAATCTATAAAATTCAAAATAATCTTTTCCAGGTTAAAGAAATTAAATAAAAAAAAAATACACTCAACGAAATCGAGACCTTATACGACTAGTCGTAGATACGAAAGTGCTGATACCCCCTTTTATTTATATTTGATAAGAATTGTGGTACAATGATGTGAACTTTCGATTTTCTTGGGGCTATGAGTCGAACAGAGATTGGTTAAGGCATACATTTATAGCTAAAACAAGTTAGTTAGAAACACCTATATAATTTTGAAATCAGTGTTATATCCTTTACACTTTCAACAAACTCGGAAGTCACTGGCGACGAGGAAACATTTCCCTCATCATATAAAAGACAACCAGCAATAATGCTTTACGGTTAAATTCCCTGAACTTAAAGAGTGGAGCTTTAGAATGAATCTCATTCTCAGCTCTGAGGTTATCAACAGATTTCAATGTATTTATTCATTTTCATTCAGTTGATTCCCAACTTCGAGCCCTTCACTTATAATCCAATTATTTACAGCTAAAATCCAATTATTCATAGCTAGAAGATTTCTCTTCAAGACTTCATTTGGTTCAGAAAGCACTGCAGGTGAACTACTTTGTGCGTTACTTACAGGCTGAAGATTGGCAGTCTGAAGAATATCAACAGGCTGAGGGGGATTCGAACGTTTAGGATGTTTCGTAGGGCGAGGAACATCAACAGCCTGAGGTTTCGAACGTTTGGGACGTTTATCAGGGCGAGGAACATCAACAGCCTGAGTAGGTTTCGAAATTTCAGGACTTTTCGCAGAGCCGGGAACTTCAACAGCCTGAGGAGGGTTCGAATTTTCGGGACGTTTCGCAGGGCTACTATGATTTGCAGGGCTACTATGATCCGCAGGTTGTGGAGAACCATCATCAACAACATAAGGGTTATTGTAAGTACCGGTAGGGCAAGGATCAGGAGTCTTCGTTGACTCATCTTCCTTTCCCCTTTGAAGGGAATCTTGAATAGTTCGATCGGGAGTTTCGATGGTAATGGAGTCATTACCAGTTCTGATTTTGGGCTGATAACCTCTCCAGGGTAAGGTTTCATCGATGTCAGAATCAGGTAAAGGTTCCTTAAAATATTGGATAACTGGTTTATTTCTAAGTATTCTCCCAAAGGGTGGAATATTAGCCGAGCTTTTGCCCTTATACAGATTATCTCCTCTAATCCTGGATTCGGAACTTTTTCTGTGTTTGTCTGAAAGGTTCATATGAGCTTCCGTCTTAGACTTGACTGCTTTGTAACTGATTCGAAGAAAAGAAAAGTAAAAGAAGAAATCTCTCTAAAACTTTCCAAGAATGGGTATTTCTGAAAGACAATGATAACTGAACAGTTTTCTTCCTTCCTGAAATTCTTTTGACGGTACCAATATGTTTCAACGGTATTAATCTGTGAAAAATCACTAAGTTGGAAAATTTGATGAAATGTGTGGTGCGTTAAAAAGTTGCTTGTTATCTATCACAAAATCCCTGATTTGTAGAATTTCTCAGAATGAGTAGAGTGCCGTAAAAGTTACTACAGCTTTAAGTATAGTGATTGGGGGCAGTGATTCCTGACAAGTCCAAAGGACGATTTGAACCCCATACTATCAGGACCATCCAATAGTTAAGTATCGAAGTAAGCTGTCTACGATGGATGGAATAACTCTCATTAAGCAAGATCTAGACTGTCATATCTTTGTTTCAAAATCTCTCAGATCATCTCAAGGTAGACTGCTGGTTTGACTACCATTAGTACGGCAGTAAATGTAAGCTATATAAATACCACATAATAATGTTGCGTCAGGATTATGTGGGATTAAAGCTTAGATCAAAAGGAAGATGGAAAATTTATGTATTGAGTGCTTAGAAGCTAGATAAAGTTTACTATGTAGGGCCTATTTCGAGATCTCGACTATTGTTGAAGAAGAAATTGAAGTGTAACGAGCTATCTTGATGTGGAGTGGTATTTACCACACAATGCGACTTAGAATCGTGTTTCACGTGCTATATCACGTGAGTCAGATGATATGTCGTGGAAAAATGAGTAGTATAATATGGAGATATACAAAGTATGGGACTTATTTGGATTGCAGGACATGATAGATCACATTTGAGTAACTATCAACCACCAAGAATTTCAAATAAGATAAATAGCCCTGATTTCCCCCTAAGAAATTATCCTATTTTTTATTACTTCTATTACCTTTTATTTATCTTATTGGTACTTATTTATACATATTATTGTTTCCAATTCAAGCTAAGTAGTTACCTATAAATTGTTATAAAAATACAGTTAAAGTGATAATAGTTTTTTCCCTTGGTTTATTGAATTGAACGGTGTTGGATCATTTCTACAGGATTGTCCAATCTGGAGGTCAATTTGCAGCTAGTTAGTTAATTTTCATGAAGCATAAAGCGGTTCTTTGATATCTTTTTATCAGGTCCAATTAGGAAGTGGGATTGCCTTTTGTTCGTGGGGTCCGAAACGTTTTCTTCAATTCTACTTGGTCAAACTTGATAGATAAAAACAACTTTAGTGATGAAGACTTTCCTTGTCATGACCTCCACCACTACAGCAACAATTCGGAAAACTGAATCTGCTTTTGATTCAATACGAAGATTGCTTTTCTATTTTATATTAACTACAAACTAACAAACCCATATATTTTGTCAGTACAGAGAAGACTATTCACGAGCCAAATTGAATAATCAACTAAGATTGACAAAGATATATGGTGGGGCTGAAGCTCACATTTGATACATTATGATGAAGAAATCTCCAGTTTCTTCAACCATAATGATCAAACAGCCCACGATATGATAAAGAAATCTCCAGTTTCTTCAATCATAATAGCTGAATCATTTATTTCGTCTACTTTTATTCAACCTTTTCATTTTTTCTTGATTAGCTTTCCTCCTCAATTCTGATGCCACATTTCCTCTATAGCGAAGACTAGAAGATGGGCCATTTACTGGTTGGTTTGATGGCGCACCGCCTCCATGAGCGTAGGGAGTTGACTTAGTCGTGGGCTTTTTGGAAGACCAATCTATTCTTGAGTTCCGATATCCCTGCCCCCTCAATTCTGATTGACTTGGAATCCGACCAAAGTTTGAGGATGGACCAGCTTGCTGTTGAGAAGGATTTTCCAATACAGATGGATGAGCTTGCTCATGATAAAATGGATGTGCTGGTGTCATATTACCATGTGCATCGAAAATTGGATCAGTATAGAATGGGGATGATTCTGGGGGTGAGCGGGTAGGTTCACGAATAAGGGCTTCCTCTTCAATAGCTGGTGTGTCTTCAAAAGCTGGCGTGCCATGAACATCACTTGCTCCTAAATCTTCTATTCCACGAATAAAACTTTCTCTTGTCTCGCCCATAGCTGGTATTCCATCAACATTTCTTGCTTCCAAAGGTCTTGGTACGTGGATAGGAGTTTCTACTGATGGTGAATGCTCTGTATGTTTTGCCCCTGAAACTGGATTATTGAGTGAACAAGAATCAGAACTGGTCTCGACATTAAAGCCATGGGTACGTTGTTGATTGGTCAAGGACAAATGATCATATAATTGTTGACTAGATAAGACCACAGGATTCACATTCTCTTTGTTAAGTTCATGAACGGGAGAATGGTTTTGGGGATGGGGTTCACTTCTTCTACTTGTTTCATCTAAATCTCTTGTGCGATTCTGAACAGAATCCAAAACTTCTCCGTTTGCTAAAGTTTCATTATTGACTCCATCTTCACCCTGTCTTGATGCTGCAAGATCAGATAAGACAAAGTTTTGAGCTCCGGGAATCAAATGTGTGTCAGAGGAGAAATTTTGTGGCTGAACAACCACATGGAGCTCCCCACCAGAATTTGGTCTGGAGCCAACATTGGCACCAATGTTTGGCTCTTCATTCAATTCGGGGGACAGTTGTCTTCCAGTAGCTGGGATTTCATAGGTGAGTGGCAAAGTATTAGTGGCGATATAAGCTTCTAAACCACTCCTTTGGGTTATTTGGGTACTTAAATTTGATTGTAAAAGGGGAGTACTCCAATAGATACATATTGCCGTAATTGATACCATACTAAGAAATAAACAAAGAACTTCGTCTTGAGGGTTATTATTGTGAATCTGTTGTTCATTATCACTGGGAGAAATAATCGATAGGATGTTGGATTCCGTATCTCCTCCCTTTTTACGTTTAGAAGGAGGCGTACTGCATCTTGTGAAAAGATCTTCTTCAAGCAAACCTGGTGGCAATTGGCCCTCTGTATAATCAATACGTTTCTTGGAACGAGTTTTTCTTTCCGTTGGGGCCATTTCCTGTACCTTATGCGTTTGATTGTATAAGTGATCGTAGCGACTTCGAGAATTGGTTCTTCTTTCGTAAGGATACCTTCCGTCAGGATTTAAAACCTGGTTCAAAATGACCATAGAACTTGACCTGGAGACTTGAACTACTTGAGGAGCTTGAATAACTTGAGGAATTGGAGAACTGGCAGGAACTGAAGAAATTAAAGTAATTGGAGCATCAACAGTAATTGGAGCATTTACAGGAGTTGGAGCATCTACAGCGACTCCAAGCACTTGAGAAGATTGAGCTACTTCAGGAATTGAAGGATCAACAGAAATTTGAGTTTGGGGACCCTCACTAACACTACGACGAAAATTGGCTCTTTGGGGTCTTAATTCATGATTGACCCCGTTTTCGTCAGACGCATCTGAATATGCATCCTTATTTCCAATTACCAGAGGTCCTTGGCTGTTATTTTGGCCGTTTTCCGTGGTTGAATTCATCAGGATGAGGGATCGCAAAGGGATTTTTGAATTTTGTATCTTTTTTTCGAATTGGCGTGATCTGGAACCTCGCAGAACTCGAAATCAAGTATTAAGCAGCAGTTACTATGTTCTAATCAACTCACTTCCAATCAGGAACTTCTTTTTAAAGCTTCTGACCAAGAATCAAATTAATTTTTGATTTAACCGCTGTGTTATAAAAAGAAAAAAGATTCCAAGTCGCGGCTCACGAAAAATTTGCAGCCAAAAAAATCTCATAAGATAAGCTATATTTCGTAGTTCAAGATGTTGGTGGAGTGTGAAGAAGGCGCGAAGAGTATCGTTGATTACAAGCAACTCTTCTGTTGAATATTTGAAGGAGATGTTATAGTTATCTTTCTCTTTTTTGCTATAGACTTAACTCAAGCATTTTCAGGAGACCACACCTTCCTCGAACATTCTAAAACACCATGTCATTCCAGAATTAGGAAGCATCTCTACTTATGCTAAACAAAAAACCGACTTCTCCATTTTGTAACCTTGGCTGCATCGAATTCAAACCAATTTTTGCAACCTCATCAAAAACTTTTCGTCAACATTGGCACCCGATACAAAATTCAAAATGGTAAATTACAAGAATGCAAGAGAATGAGAGCAAACAATATATGAATCAGTAAATACCATCAATAAAATTTTCTCGACTGAAGAGATGTTTGGTGTCCCAAACTTACCTCAAACCACTCAACAAATATCAAGCAGCGAAGAAACAACATTGACCTTCATCAATGACTCTTCATTACCAACTTTTTTCCATAGAGCTCAAGTGGGCCAATAGGTATATCAGCTAAGAATTGAAGAGAAATTGGCTTAGGCATATATATAGTTAAAAACCATAAAATAGTGAAAACACCTGCACAATTTTGAAGCTTGTGTCATACCGTGTCATACCCCTTAACACTTTCAACAAATTTTGCAGTCACTAGCAACGAATAGAATAGTTTTAAATTCGTCATCTCTTTCATGACTTAAGAGTAAACCTTTGATTCTCTAATAACATAAAAAGCAAGTAGTTTTTTCTCTTTCCATATTCTATTATTTTCCTGAATTTACAGAGCAAAACGGAGCTTTTGAACAAACCTCATTTCCAGGTCTATGTATATCAACAGATTCCAATTTACTTATTCTGTTAATCCTCAACTTCGGACTCGTCATTCAACATCCAAGTATTCATAGCTAAGATCCAATTATTCATAGCTACAAGATTTCTCTTAAAAATTTCTCGTTGTTCAGAATGCTGTGTAGCAGAACCACGTTGAGGAATACTCACAGGTTGAGGAATGTTGAAAGGTTGAGGAATGTTGAAAGGTTGAGGAATGTTGAAAGGTTGAGGAATGTTGAAAGGTTGAGGAAGGTTCACTGGTGGAAATTGCGAATCCTTTATCTCACTTAAACCTCTTGCGCGATTCTCAACAGAATCCACAACTTCTCCGTTTGCAGTTTCATTATTGACTCCATCTGCACCCTGTCCTAATACCGGGGGATCAGACATTGCGAAGTTTTCACTTGCGGTGAAATATACTGTATCAGAAGAGAAATTTTGTGGTTGAGAAACCATATTGAGTTCACCACCAGAATTTGCTCTGAAGGCAACATTGGCAGCTGGTTCTTCATTTGCTACGGGTTGTGTTTCAGTAGCTGGGATTTCACAGGTCTGTGACAAACCATTAGCGATGTTATCAGCTTCTGAACCTTCACTTTGGGTTATTTGGCTGGCAAATTCTAAAAGAGTATGGCTCGAAACACTACCAATTATCGTCATATAATCAGATCCATGAGGTTCGTCTTGGACGTCATGAGGAAGTTCGTCTTGAAGGTCATCGTGGTGAACCTGTTCTTCATCTTCGTTAGAAGGATTATTTGTATCGGCATCTTGAATGTGTGGTTCAGCACCACTGGAAGAAACAATTAATATGGGGCTGGATTTTTTATCTCCTGCCCTTCTACCTTTAGCAGGAGGTGTACTGCATCTTTTGAAAAGGTCTTCTTCGATCAAACCTGGTGGTAATCGACCTTCTGTATAATCAACAGGATTTCGAGTACGAAGCTGCCTTTCACTTTTAGGTAAGTAACGTAATTTTTTCTTGAGTTTGAATATTTGATGTTTACGACTTTTTGAATTGGATCTCCTTCTGAATTGGTCTGGTATATCATTTGAATGATCAATAATTCCAGGAACTGGGGGGATATGAGCATCAGGGGCTCGAGCATCGACAGGAAATTGAACAACTTTAGGAATTGGGACTTGCGGACCCTCACTAACACCACGGGCTACATAGTTTGACCCGGGGACTAGAGTATCATTATTGCCAGTTTCTTCTTGAACAGTAATTTGAATAGCTTTAGGAATGGGGACCTGGGGACCCTCACTAACGCTACGAGGAAATCTGTCTTTTTGGGATCTAAATTCATGACTGACTCGGTTTTCATCGGACCCACCTACATTAAGGTCTGTTCCACCAATCATCAGAGGTCTTTGGTTGTTTTTTTGGCTGTTTTTTTGGCTGTTTTCCATAGCTGAATTCATGAAGCTGATGTATCGCAAGGGATTCAATTTTTATAATCTTTTTTTTTTTTGAATTGGCGTGATCTGAAACTTCACAGAACTCGAAATCAATTATTAAGCACTTACTATCTCCTTATTAACTTACTTTTGTTCAGGAACTTCTTTTTAAAGCTTCTGACCAAGAATTTAATTAATTTTTGATGTGTTACAAAAAGGAAAAAGATATGAGTCGCGACCAAGCTATATTTGCAACCACAAAAATCTCATATCCAAACCAAGCTATATTTCGTGGTTCAAGATGTTGGTGGAGTGTGAAGAAAATACGTATACCATCTTACAGGTCACACAAGTTCCCTATCAAACCTGCTCTATTCCAAAAGAGGTATTTACCTGCGATATCCTCATCCTATGAGCTATTATCTATCTCAAACTATTGATAGAACAGAGGAACCCACAGGGAGTCATGTATATTACAAAAAGGGTACTCTAGAACCATGAAGGCAATCAATTATGTGGTATTTTCGACATGTTTCCATCAACTCGTAATCGACTTTCTCTTTTTTGCAGCCATCACTGAAACATCCGTAAGATCAAACCTCATAGTACAAGAAATGTGAATTCATGGCCCTCTACAGTTTAAGTAGAGTTTAAGCACGCCTTCGAAGTGTTCTATGTGTTGTATGAGTGGATAAGCTAAAACTTTCCATTTGAAATCATATATTGAACTTTAGAATCCTGGTCGTTGTACAAAAACAAGAGAATTAGAGGAACGAAAGGTTTCTTTGACCCAGTTTGCAACTCTATCTATGCCTACACCAAAGTGACTGACAGTTTCATTGCTACTCCAAGTTTTGGAGGATCCACAGTATGTGAAGAACATAAGCTGAATAAGTCTCACTCTAAAAATTGGATTGAGATGATCTCTTCTGAGAGCTCTATAAGGAGACTCAATGTGTCGATAATATTTTATCACTACTATCCCTTCACTAATACCCCTTTACTACTACATCTCTAATACCATCACATCCCTATGTCCCCTGTATCGTCTTCGATTAGAATTCTTCGCTAGATTATTTCTCATCTCACTCGCACAAAAAATACCTCATCGCATGTCAAGACCAGAAGAGTTAGCACCACCAGAGATCTTTTATGGGGACACTGAGTCCTTTAAATATACATCATCTACCAGAGTTCAACACATTCAAGCAAAAATGACCCTACGAGCATTAGATTTATTGAATTTATCCCCTGATGAACCTCATTTCTTGTTAGATTTAGGTTGTGGTAGTGGATTAAGTGGAGAGATTTTAACTGAAGAAGGGTATAATTGGGTCGGAATGGATATTAGTCCTTCTATGTTGGCTACAGCTTTAGATAGGGATGCAGATGGAGATTTAATATTGAGTGATTTAGGTAATGGAGTACCTTTTAGAGCTGGAACTTTTGATGCTGCCATATCAATTTCTGCTATTCAATGGTTATGTAATGTAGATGCTGTTGGAAATGATCCCAAGAAGAGATTATTGAGATTTTTCAATACTTTGTATGCATCATTAGCAAGAGGAGGAAAATTTGTTGCCCAATTTTATCCTAAAGATCAAGGACAAATCGATGATATTTTAAGTGCAGCTAAAGTATCAGGTTTTGGAGGTGGTTTAATCATTGATGAACCTGATTCGAAGAGAAATAAAAAACATTATTTGGTATTATCAGCCGGTATTTCTGATCGATCAGTTAATTTAGAAGGAGCTGAAATGGAAGTAAGTGCAAAGAAAGATAAAAGAAAATTAAAGAAATTAGAAAGTAGAAAGTCATTTATTAATAGAAAGAAAGAAACAATGAGGAAGAGAGGTAGAGTGGTGGCCAATGATTCGAAATTCACTGCCAGAAAGAGAAGACCAAGGTTTTAGTTATGGATTAGCATTATTTTCGGTATACATCAGGTTTAAACTAATTTTTCAAACTCTTTATTCTCTGTAGACGTTGTTCGTAGTACGGTAGGGGTGGTTTCTGAAGAAAGATTTCTTTAACAAATGTTTTTTAGAAATTCTACTGGGTTTTTGATAATTTCGTAGAAGTTGCCAAAATCATTAAAAAACATTTAAAAAAGACTAAAAAATTTAGATGTTTCGAAAACATATCCAGGAAGAAGCCATGGCCCGAAATACCCAAGAAACTTCTTCAAATACCCAAGAAACCTCTTGAAAAAGAAAGAAAAAGAGAGAAAGGACAAAACTCATTACGATATTTTACAATGCTACTTAATTAACTTATTCTCATAAACTTCTTCTTCAGGAGCTTCATAATCTTTCAATCTCTTTTGTTTATTAGCTTCCACGGTTTCAATTTGTTTTTCCATTTTTTCATCCAATTTCTTTTGTTTCTTTTCACCCTTCTTTAAGAAATATTCACCACTTTCAATTTGTAAATCAACTTTTCTAGGTAATTGTTGAGGTGGGAAAGGAGTGTAAACTTTCTTTTGAATCTTAGCCTTCTTTCTTTGTACATTACGTTTCTTGAAACTTGGTAAAAATCTTGACCAATCTTCATTAGCTAATTCAGGTTTTTTACTTAATTCTTGTTTGATCATTAATTCTTTAATATGATAAATAGGATGAACATTATTCATACAATCTTCAACTACTCTTCTAACATCTTTTAATCCTTTATAAGGACCCATAGCACTTACAGTATTACCTTGAACTAATATATAACATTTAGTTAATAATTCTAAAGCTTTTAAAGTATTACCATTAGGTCCAACTAATCTTTGTCTTCTTTTAACAAATCTTTCTTTATTACTAACAAAATTCCCAATTTTAATAACATCACAAGCAATATCATCTTGTAAAATCTTAATAGCTTGAGGTAAAGGTACAGATCTTGCTAATAATTTGATTAAATCTCTTGCTTTTAAAATAATAGCTGGATCAAAAGTTTTTCTGGTGGTTTTAACTGTCATGGAACCTTCAACTAAGTTTAATTCACAATTTATATAATGTTTTTCTAAGATCTTGGTTAATTCATTCCAAATAGATTTTAAATATTGTTCTCTATATTTGGGGAAAAGGGTCATAAATGAAGATTCTTCAGCAAATGATTGACCAGAAGCATTATCTTCAGGTTTGAATTCATCAATCTTCCATTTATCTATATCAGGAGTATCCCAAGGTTTATCACGATTATGAGTAGAAACCATTTTGAAAATTTTATCTCATCGCGATAATTTTGGTCTTAAAGTGTGAAATCATCAGCATCTAAAAATTGAATTTTCCAGAGAAAATTATCCGTCATGGCCAAAGTACAGAAGAAGAAAGTCAGTAAAAGTAAAGGGAAATCAGCTAAGTCTAAGATTGAAAAATTAAATGCAGATTTGAAAGAAATTGAGAGTATAAAGTCATTAGTAGGAGTTAGAGAAAAGACCAATAAAGTTCTTGATGCAAAGAAGATTAAGGAGGATTTGACTAAACAGAAGGAAGATAAGGAGAGAAACAAGAAGGCAGAGAGTGAATTGGAGCAACAATTGGAAATGTTAACAGGAATGGGGTTATAAGATGAAAATGTATAATATAGAATGATTAATGTATAATGATAGATGTATGACTCTTGAGGGAAAAGAAGTAAGATGGATTGGGTGGATTTCAGGTGGGAAGTGGACATAGGAGCCATCTAGACTGTAACAATGTGAAATAAAAGAAGATCATTTAACCTGGGGTGAAACTCAGACGCAAGATAGATTCTTGGAAAACCAATGGATCATAGACCGAAAGATGAGAATCCACAGAGTTCGAGTTCTTAGAAATGGCAGAATACGAGAGTTCTTCACCTGTTTCCAATATGCTAGATTCTTCAACTAATCATGAGATCAGTCATGACTTTCAGCCATGAGATCAGTCATGACTTAGAGCCATGGCTGAAATACCCATATCCAAGTTCGCTCGTCTCTAAACCAGAAAGAAATACTACAATTAAAGACCATTTAAACCACAAAGTCCAGATGAACACCAGACCGGTACCTATGCGCATGAAACATGAAACAAATCTGAAACAAATATGAAACAATGCGAACAAAACACGAAACTTGAAAGAATTTACCCATCGATGAATCTCTTCCGGACAATTAAAGCAAGAACATGAGCCTCTCAATCCAAACCTACATGCTAATGAGTCTAAAAATCCTCAAAACAAGTACATAATACTACATTCCTATCTCATCGGACTTATGTCCAATGGAGTTATGTCCAATCAATATCGACGGAAAAAACCCAATTCCAAGCCATTAAATTTCCAACCAACTCACCACCATTTATCTTTCAGGTACCATCGGCACTTTCAGATCTCTTCCATCGTCTAACCACACCCCCAAAGTTCGCCTAAACCTCCATTCGCGTTTAAGGAGTTGAAATGTAAACGCGTCGCGATCAAAGTGAAAAATATTTTAACACCTATTTCTCCTTTTCGACAAATTCAAACCTTTTTTTCCTTAAAGTTATAACTGGTAACGAAGAAAATCATCAGAACATTACTCTAACCATTCATTCGTTTTATTTTAATATTAATTGAGTTTTGTTAAGGATATGTCGTTTCATTCAAGACAACCATCGATTGCTTCATCGATGTTATCAAGTAATACAACTCATCCTCAATTCATTGGACCTTGGAAATTAGGACGTACTTTGGGTAGAGGAGCAACAGGAAGAGTACTTTTAGCCACCCACAAAGTCAATGGACAAAAAGCTGCAGTTAAGGTGGTATCCAAATCAGATTTAGATGAAGATGAAATACAAAAACCAACTCAAGGTGGTTTACCTTATGGAATTGAAAGAGAAATCATTATTATGAAATTATTAACTCATCCCAATGTTTTAAGATTATATGATGTTTGGGAAACCAGTAAAAATCTTTATTTAGTTCTTGAATATGTTGAAGGAGGTGAATTATTTGATTTACTCGTTGAAAGAGGTCCTTTACAAGAATCAGAAGCCATTAAATATTTCAGACAAATCATTTTGGGGACAGCTTATTGTCATGCATTGGGAATTTGTCATAGAGATTTAAAACCTGAAAATTTACTTTTGGATTCTAATTTGAATGTTAAACTTGCAGATTTTGGTATGGCTGCATTGGAAAGTAATGGGAAATTATTGGAAACAAGTTGTGGATCTCCTCATTATGCAGCACCAGAAATCGTTAGTGGATTAAAATATCATGGATTTGCTTCCGATGTTTGGTCTTGTGGGGTGATATTGTTTGCCTTATTAACGGGAAGATTACCATTTGATGATGAAAATATCAGAGATTTATTACTTAAAGTTCAAGCTGGTTCATTTGAAATGCCAACCGATATAAGTTTTGAAGCTGCTGATTTAATTGGGAAAATGTTAACTGTTAACCCTGATCAAAGAATTAAGACTAATTTAATCTTAAAACATCCTTTATTAAACAAATATCCTATTCCTAATGAAGATTTAATTAGTGTTAAAAGTTTACCTCATCCACAAACTGCTTATAAGTCATTGGGATCAATCAAAAACATCGATAAACAAATTTTACAGAATTTATCAATCTTATGGAATGATAGACCTCAACAAGAAATCATTTCATGTTTATTAACCAATGGATCTAATCCAGAAAAGACTTTTTATGCATTATTAATGAGATATAGACATAATCAAGATGATTATGTGGGACAACCTAATGGTAGAATAGTTAGAGGTAATTCTATTAAAAGAAATACATCATTCAGAAATAATAGAATAAGTCAAATATCAGCATCATCATCACGTAATAGACCTGTTCTGTTCCAATATAAAAATGGTATTAGAACCAGTGTTAGTGGTAGAATATCTGCATCTTCAAGTGTACAGAATTCTCCATATAAATCTCCATATAAATCACCCAGAAAATCACCATATAAATCTCCTAGAAATTCTCCTTTCAGAGGATCACCAAGAAGATCACCAATGAAAAATTATGATCATTCAACTACATCTCCAGCAATTCCAAGAAATATTTATAATGAAATTGTTAGTGCTCAAAGAAGTGGTTCAATGACAATGCCTCCACCATTACCTTCAAAAGATTCAATGGATCATTATAAGAGAATTCTGAATTATAATGCTACTGAACAACCTCAAGATTTAATGGCATCAGCTAATTTCTCTCCTACCAAATCTCCTAAAAAGAGAAATTCTTTAATGAGATCAATGTCAAAGAATAGACTTTCTCGTAGGAAATCTTTAAGAGCTTCAACCGGTTTAAAACGTAATTCTATTACTGTTAAATTATTATCAACTTATGCCAAATTATCTGGAGATTCCGATTGGGAATATATGGATAAACAAACTCGTAGAACTTCAGCTACTTTTGCTACTTTATGTGATAAGATCTTTAATCAACAAGAATATGATGAAGATGAAGAGAATTTGGTTGATGAAGAAGAAAAACAGGCAAGAGAATATGAAAGATTAATGGAAATTGAACGTAAAAAGCATGAAGCTGAAGTTAAAGCTAGAAAAGAATTAGCTAAACAAAGAAGAAGACAAAAGAGGAAATCTTTATTATCTTCCCGTAAGTTAAGTATATTCATTAAAGATGATAGTAATAATAGTGAAAATGAAGTTATTGTTAATAGTACTGAACTTGATCAACCTAAAAGACAATTAAGATCAATTTCTGAAGGTACAGGGAAGAAATTAGATGAAGAATTAACTCCGGAAGATTTGGTTAATATCAAACAACGTTCAGTTACTCAACCAATCCCAAGACAAAGACAACATCCGGTATTGACCCGTAGACCTGTTTCAAGATTAGATCCTTTATGGACAGCTTATGAGAATCAAGAACTTAATAGAGCTCAAGATGCTTTACAAGCTGAATTCAAAGAATCCAAGAAATCTAAGAAAAAGAACAGAGAATCTATGATTTCAGTGGTTGATATGGATCGTCAACCTGAAATCTTACCTGAAGTTGCCATGGAAAGAAGTGATTTAAGTGAAGAATATCTTCTGGAAATCAGAAAATCTAAACTTCTTAATTCTCAATTAAATATTCATGGAATTGTTAAAGGAGATAAACAAATCGATATACCTAAGAAGAATCAACGTCATACATTGATTGGTGATGTTAAAATTCCAAATGTTACCAGAAAATCCCGTCATTTTACTAATTCCAACAAAAGGTTATCGGTATTATCGATGTATTCCACTAAGGAAAGTTACCATGATTTGAGTTCTATTGTTCAAGATGAAGGTAATAAGGATAAAGCTAAAATGCCAACTATGAGAACCAGTTTTGCTGATAGATTGAATCGAGCAGGAATGGAGAATTCATTTGAAGAAGATGATGAAGAACCTTTAGATCAAGGATCAATCATGGATTTCGATGAACATTTAGCTGCTAAAAGATCAAGTTATTATGCTGGTACTCGTTCTAATACTGTCAAAAGACATTCTAAATCTACCAATAGACCGATTTCTGATTTACCTAATTTACCTCCATTGAAATCGAAATCTAAGAAGTATGATGAAACTTTTGCTAGTAAAAAGAAAGGCGAAGAAGATTATTATGGTGGGGTTTTAGATAGAGATGAAGAGGAAGAAGATGAAGAAGATTTAGAAGAAGGTGAAACCAAAGTATTTGAAAATATCAAATTACCTCCAGCTAAAAACCATGAATCTACTGAAAAGTCTCGTAAAACTAAATCAATGCAACCAAGTGCTGAATCAATGTTATTACCAAACCTTGAACAGTTTGAAAACAAACCAAAAACTCCAAAACCTTATGCAACTACCAAACCCCCACAATCCAAACCTCAACCAAAACCTCAACCAAAATCTGATTATCAAACCAAACCAAAACCTTTGGAAGATTCAACTAATAAACCAAAGAATAAATCTATCTTTAGAAAGTTATCTTGGGGAACTAAGAAACAATTGGATGATATTTCAAATACTCAATTACCTTCACCTGCTAATTCTCGTGAACAATCATTTGAAGAGAAACCTCAAAGACAGAATTCTTTCTTTAAATGGTTCTCTTCAAGTAATCAAGAATCTTTAGATTCAGAGATTAGAAGATTCCGTACCATATTACCTAAACAGGAAATGTCAACGGCTTTATTTGCCTTATTAAATTCCTGGTCGAATTTCGGGTTAAAGAATCTTAAGAATGATAATTATTCTTATATCATAACTGGGGCTATCTCCAAACATAATGCTTTCAACTTGAAGAGTTGTAAGTTCAGAATTAAGATCAATTCTAGAGAATTAAACCAAAAATCAGAGATTGTTTGTGCCAGAGTTAAAGGATCTAAAGTAACATCAACAACTTTGTTTAAGGAAATTGAAAAGGTTTTGTGTAAGGAAGGGGTAATGGATAGTTAATTGTACGATATATATAGAATAAATAATGATTAAACTCTAGATGATAAGAACTATATCTGGTGAGTTAGAGAGACTGGTGACTGGACTGGTGACTGGACTGGTAACTGGACTGTTGACTGGACCTACCGGCTGTGTACCTCTGTCTGACACTAACTCAGGACCTGTGGTAACCTCAGAAATAAAAGTAGGTCCAATAGTATCAGTGGTCTCTCCCATCCCCCATTGAGTCAACATTGAGAGAAATCCCGTACTTAAAGCAACTTCTGGTCTAATCTGTTGAGTGTCTACTAACATTTCGAAGTCAAACTTGAATTGTCTCATTAACTTGACCTTAGCAAGTCTTTCTCTTCTTTCTTCCATAGACCCATTAGGATTAATGACTTTCTCAAGGTATTTAGACCCTCTAGTCCAGCCATATAAAGCACCATCGTTCAAGTAAAACGTTTGACTGGAACTACCCAACCCATAATCACTAGATATCTTCCTATGAGTGATACCAGGAAGTTGATGGAAAGTAATTGATCTAGCAAAAAATCTGGTATTGATGGTAGCTACTTCTTTTCTTTCAGGGAATGTTAGCATTGACCAAACAGGGTTTAATGACGATAACCTTTCAAAAGAAAACACCTGGTTACCGTGTTTATCAAACACATTGATCACCCTGTTCAAATCTTTCCATAATCCACGAATATAATAAGCTTTAGGAGATTGAGTCAATGGAATGATATCTCCAGTATGGGAATTCAAATTGATTAATCCACCCAAACCCAAATGATTCAATGCGAACGTTGACACAGTTAAGACGTTTGTTAAGATACTAACACCAATAGCTTGAAATAAACTTGACATAGCGATTGTGTTATACAATGTTTTTTTTGCAACCAAATCCACATAAAACAAATAAAAGTCGCACGACATTTCCACACCCGTACACCAGTAAGAAAAAAATAGGTTCCGCCTACGACATTTTCATCTATTACTATACAGACCAAACCTAATAAATGCTCCAGACATCTTCACATCCATGACAGAATTTCGAACAAGCAACTGATGCTGATAATGGATAGTTCGAAAGACCGATTTTTTCATCAACAAATTCATCAGCAAAGTTATCTTTACCTCTGGCCATAGCTCCAACAAATACACAGATACTCTCATCTTCATCTAAAGTTTCAACATAATCTTGAACTCTCCTAATCTCAGCATCGAACGATAATGTGATTTTTCTACATTTGGTAGGTAAATGGTCAGTGATAGGGTTTTTGATGACTTTCAATAATTTCTCTTCAGAATTGACTGATCTGATACTCAATTTGTGTAATAATTGAACCATTAAACCACTGAATCTTTTGAAGGTTCTAGGGATTCTTACTGATGGATTGACTTCAATTAGTACCCCTCTGGCTGTTTGAATATATACTTGTAACTTTCCCGCTTTATTTATAGGAGAATCCAATAAAGTTAATAAACATTGATGGGTTATATCAGGTCTAGCTTCAGCAATATCTCTTCCCATTTTCTTCAATAACCCTTGATGGTCATCACAATTCAATAAAGCATATTTATCACCAGATCCACCGGACGATATTTTATGAGTTTCCAAACATGCTTGGGATAAAACTACAATTAATCTTTCAGTAACTTTATCCTTTGAACTCAAAGCTGTTGGTTGAACTGGAATCAAAGAAGCTGGAGGAGCCGAGGAGGTTTTAGGTTTATCTTCCTTTACAGTTTCTTTAGACATTTCTTTTATCTCCACAATATTTCCAATGGGTGGGTATTACAAAATTTTCAGGTTGATGAGATTTGGGTCGTGCGATGAGATGGTGATAATGTGCGCGGTTTAAACACCATCATTATCAGCATTGTTGTGGCAGGGTGTTTTAACATAGAAAGGACATGGGAATATCGGATTTTGAATTCTCAGATGATGATGAGGAGTTTTTAAAACCCTTGGGGTCAGTTCCACCGACAATTGATACCGATAAAGGTCAAAGTATGGACGTGGATCATAACTCCACTAATACATCATTAACATCTATTGATTATTCCAAGGTTCCTCAGCTGATTAAGGATAAATTATATCAAGCCGATGGGGAAGTGGCGATACTTAAGAGTCAACTCCATCAATCCAAAACTCAAAATCATCAAGAATTGACTAGATTGACTCATGAATATGATACTACCAGATCATCAATGCAAGATCAGATAGCTTCTCTTAAGGCTCAGGTTCAAAGCTTGGAAGATCAGAGAGTGTTTTTGGAGAATGAAGTCCGAGCTTCCAGTAAGAAAAGGAGAACTAATACTCAAATCGAACCTCCTACAGTACCAACAGCTAAAGTGATAAAGATTCAGAATGAAACGTCTTTATTGATTGATTATATATGGAAACTAACTATCAATGGTAGTTCTAGAACCACCATGAATTACCTTAGTAAGATCTGTTTCGATAAACCCATAATTATCAATAATTTCAAATTCACCGCCAAATCGCCTATATCTGCATTGATTCTTGAATATCTAATCCTTCAGAAAGAACTCCGATTAGACGTGTTATTTGAAAATTTCCTTAATTTATTGATAAAGCTTATTGAACGGTTGATAGACTTGAATTTGTTACTTTCAATCCCATTCTTGTTATCTTTGATCCATGGAACTTTACTTTTTAAACCTTTGGCTACCAGTAATCATTTGATTGAACTTCTAGTAGGGAGATTGGTTAGAGTGGTGAAGAAATTTGGATATAATTTGAATACTGAAGAGATGATAAATTTGAATATCAACTTAACTTTACAAGAGAAACTCCTTCAAAAATTCATTATCATATGTGCTATGGATACCATAGAGATTCTTATGAGTTTCACGGTGTTTAATAAAGATCCCGAACTGAAACTTGCAGTTAAATTGTACGATACCCATGAAATCAAGAAATTATTGGAATTCTTTATTCCTCATAACATCGAAAGAGATCAGAATTCTCTTCAAATCAATATCGTATATAATCTTATCAACATAGTCAAATATGTGGTTCATCCTACGAACCAGGGCCATGAAATCTTGAAGAAATTAACTCCGCTATTATTCAAATTATGTTTGATCGATATCCCTATTAAAGAGGAATTCAAATTCTTAGGCCTAAATCGATACTTAGGTAATAATGAAGATTTAGCTAAGTTTGATTTGATCATACCGTTGGATACCGACAAGTTAAATAATTCCATAATATTCAAACCTAATCCTATCATCAGTTTTAAATCCTCAATAACTCCATATAAATGTAGCTTTAACCATGCTATTCATACCATGGAGTTACAATTGGAGATCATCAGAACCATAGATGATTATATAGTCAATTCCCTAGACTTGACGGTGATTAAAAATAAAGACACGGTGAAAATACTTGTGAATATCTTGAATTTGCAACTCAATCAGATGAAAAAATCCCCCCGGTCCAAGCTAATAGGCCAAAGGATTAAAATTGTTTCTAATGTCATCAAAATCTTGAATTATCTATTCAAATTTGAATCAGAAATCGGAGTTATCATTTACAACGATACTTTAGTAGAATTGGTATTGATGTTACTGAGATTAGCCTTTGGGTCAGAGAACTTACACATATCCAGTGGTGATCTTGTAAGGAAACTTCGACTTAAAGGATATAAAGGAAGAATCTTTAATCGAAATCAAGAGATAATGGCCAGAGAAATCCATCATCTAACTTCTAACGATAATGTTAATGAAATCATCGAAGCAGAAATTGACTTCCCTAATGGTTTAGAGTATCCTTTTGATAGTGAAACCATCGAACTAACACGAGAAATCTTAGGGAAAGTTATCAATACCGAAGCTGCTGATAACCTCTATATCAACATCAACGGAGATATCCTTGAATAATAATAGTGTATATTATTTTTATGTACGTTACTCAATAAAATGGTTTATAATTTACATTAAAGGATTAAATTTATTGAGTTTGGAAACCATTTTTGAATCTTCTTGAAACATGTTTTAAATAAGACATACGACCTGAACCAGTAGTTCTTCTTCTTTTAGCTTTTAAAGCCCAGTTGTGAGATCTCATTTTAGCAGCTGGATATCCACAAGATGCACAGGTTTTCTTTTGAATATGGTATGATCTTTTACCACATCTGTTACATAAAGTGTGGGATTTGTTGTGTCTTTTACCTAAAGATGGAGTACCTTCTATAAGATTAGTTAGTATATGATAATTTCAAATGGTTCATTGGAGTGAAAATTTGTGAAAAAGATAATGTCATCTCTCTGGGGAATTTGATGGTGTTGTTCCAGTTGATATTCAAATTAAAGCTTGGTTGTTGATACATTAATGATATTAATTGTCACATCATCACTCCGATGGTATTTTCAATGTTATTTTAAGTTACATACTACCCATGATTGTCTATCTAATTAGTTAGTTGAAAAAAAATTTCTTCTCACTTTTTTACTCAAAGGGTGGTAAGAAATGATGGCTCCACACGACACTTTAATTCGAACGCTGTCACATTTGTGAGGGCTCCAGCCCTTAATTTACAATATATCTCGCATTTAAGGCATGACACGCCACTTAATGCGAATCACACATTTTATCACATGACGCGCACATGATTTACGACGCGAATGTTTAGGCTGCAAAACTTATCGTGACTCTAAATAAACCTAAACAAACATAAGTCGGTCATCAGAAAAAAAAAATCCCACCAACTAACTTTGATTATGGCATCACAGTTCCCTCCATCATCTCCTCTTAGGGACTCTGACTTTAAAGTCAAGAGTTATGAGAGTTATGATCCATTTGCTAAACATAGTCCTAAATATACTAAGAATCACTCCATTGAATTTTATCCCACACCACATCCATCTTCCACCATTGGTAGATCTTCACCTCATGCCAGTGACGATGAAGGGGATCTTCATAGTGCCAGACCACCTAAAGTTCAATTCCATGTGGATAAACCTTCTTTACCCATCAGTTCCCACTTGAAAATACTTAAAGTTCCTTTGAACAAACCAATCATCACCCTTGGAAGATCCTCCAAAAACAACGACATCTGTATCAAATCTAACGATAAGACCATCTCCAGGAATCACATCAAAATCGAAAGTATGGCAGAATCACTTACAATTGGATGTTTAGGACAAAATGGGTTCGGGATCACTATTCCTAGACCTTGTGAGGTACAGAAGTTATCTGATCAACACTTTAAGCTTACAGAGATCCCTAACTTTTCCAGTGTCAAGCAAATATCGGAAACCATCAAGATCAGTCCTAAACATACCGAATTCCTCGTGTACCATGGCGAGAAGTTGGTTCTACCAAGATATAGTAATGTGATTATTCAAATCAAGAACAACTTGATAATAGTCAATCCTCGTGATGAAGATGACTTTACTGAAGATGAGATGCCTATTTTAAGGAACACGCCGGTGAAACGTGTAGAGTTCAAACCCGATACTCCAGTTAAGACCAATTTCAAAATCACTTCTGAGGAATCAACTCCCGTAAGAATGCCTTTGGCCGATAAAACCAACCATCCATCAACTAATCCATTAACTAAGCCATCATCAGCTATTCGTCCTTCAACTAACCACCTTCCAGCGAACCACTCATTTAGCCACCCACCACCACCAACTAACGCACCAACTAATCAACCACCAGCTAAAAAGAGAAAATCTAGAACTTCCACACCAGTTCCAGAACCCAAGGTCGAGAGTCCAGAACCTGAACCAGTTGACCTTGAAGCCATTGAGAACTTACAAGATATAAATAATGTGTTGATAAATCATTTGGCCTTCTCCAGGTTATCCTCCACACCTTTATCGGTGTTGAGGACCATCAGTAGTGCTATCAATGATTTATCCAACAACCAGTTGTTTGCTATCTTAGATCTGTTGAAACCTGTTGGGGCCATTGATCGTGAAGGGAAGGATGCTGCAGGTAAACCTTTAGAGAGAGAATTCTATTATTTGCCTGAACAAGATAATGATGGTGAGAGACGTCAACTTGTCAGTTCTATCAAAGGTCATGGGGGTTTAAGATCATGTAGAAGAACACATAAACAGTATTATTGGAAGAAACCTGCAGCTAAGAAGAGTAGTCAGAAGAAGAACTAAAGGAGTTAGGGGTAGAGACTCACCGTGAGCAGTCAGTAAGCGGCTGAGTAACCAGAAAATGGCTGAGTAACCAGGAAACGGCCAGTAAGTAGCCAGGAAACGGCCAATGAGCAGCCAGTTTGTCACTGTCTGAGCAGCTAGTGAGCAGGTAGAACGAAAATATACATAAACAGAGTAAAACCAAGGACAAAATCTCATCGAGTGAAAGGATACCCATACTCTTTACCTTCTAACACCGTCAATGATCTCGGTTCACTAATAACAATCTCTCGAGTCCGTCTATAACCAAAATACCCTAATCCAACAGCCAATTGTACCATCCATAGACCTAGGATCCCACCACTGATGGCTAATTCTACCACCAACGTATCCTTGAACATCTTCTGGACCTTGTCAATATACGGCAGGAGATCAATGGACGTAGTGGCTTGAGATTTCACAAGATTGTCTAACTGGTCACCAACTTCTGACAGTAAACCAGGAAGACTTATGACCAAATTGTCCTCTAGCCACTCTAGTCCTCGCTCTACCATAAGGAGCTTTCTCGTCACCACACAATACACTACGGTACTGATAGGTTGGGCTAAGGGAGTGTTCTGGAAGGGCTCGATCAAAGTATCGTTCAATGCTTGAACAAAATCTTCAATGACATCACTGAAAGTGCCAGAGACATTCCTGATGGTACCAAACATCTCATCATTTACCACCGTCTGTTGGTCAGAGATGAACTGGTTGGTGGTACGGAGAAACAGTTGGGTGGAATTAGTGATACTTTTGTTGATACTGGTAGTGAGAGTTGATAAGGGGAATTGACCTACACAGCTCTTGAATACCACGAAAAGCCAATACTGAAGACCTACGGCCACCATTCCAGTGAGTCCTAGGCCCAATAATGTCACTGAATAGTTGGAAGTGATGAAACTGATAATCCAGACCGTTCGATCACTCATCAGAAACCATTTCTTAGCACCGTACACCCATAGATTAGTGTAAGTGTTTAGGAGGTTAAGGAAAGTAAAGTCATTGACGGGCCCACCAACCTGGAGATAGAACTCATACTTCCGTTTCCACAGCCGGTACTCCTTCCATGCCAAAATTATCATGGCGATCAAACTGGCGATGATAAGGAGAATCATAATGATGAAGAAAGTTTTATTGATGAGGTGGTGGGATTTGGTGGTGAAGTTAGCGATATTATCGCCCGATAGTTTAGTGTATGGTGGTATAGTGGCAGTGATGGAGTGGTTTATAGGCTGGAACAGACTCAGACTATTGAAAGTACTGATGAGATCGATCAAAGGACGTTTCAAACTATCAATAGCATCGTCTTCCACGTCATCCAACGACGGTACCTTATCCTTAAAGCCATCAATGGTAGTATAGATGGAATGAGGTAAGGAGAAGTTGTTCAACGATTCAATGGCACCATTGATATCATCAATGAATGATGAAGAATCCACGACATCGTCGTTAGTGAAGAACAGCGACACCAGATTGATCCCCGAAGACACCCCGTCAATGATCTTAGTGAGACCATTGAGTCCCGAAGAGATGATCTTGGTCGATGTCTGGATCAAAGTGTTGACAGTGTTCACCACTTCTTCCACCAACTCCAAGACCAACTCCACCACTCCTTGAAGGAGTCCATCGACCAAGCAGACAAACGTACCGACGAACACCTGCACTAGGAACCTAATGATACCAATAATGACGTTGATAAGGAGAACAAGTAAGTATAACCATTGAGACTTGAGGTTGGCGATGGAGTTCTCGACCATGGCACTAACTAGTTGGGAGTATTGGTGGGGGAGTTGGACTAATTGCTGGTTGGCTTTGTTGATAGTTTCAAGGGATTGTAAGGCATGGTAGTCCAAATCATCAATGGCATGGTTCAAGGATCTCTTGAATAGGAAGACCTTCAAAAGCAATAGAATAAGGAGAACAGTATAGTAATTGAAGGCTACTTGGATGAGCTGTTCACGGTAATTGAGGTAGTTGGCGTGAAGTTTCATGGGAGGGAAGTAGAAGTGGGAAGAAGGGAGAAGTGGGAGTTTTAAGTGAAAAGATCGGCATAAATCTGAAACAAATCTGAAACACGGGAGGAGAAGAATGATGGGGGAGGAACGGGACACGGTGGATGGAACTTGTAAGGAGATTAGCAGTAAGAATTGAGGACAGGGATGGTTATGGGGTGGTTAGATAGGAATCAACACAGACCAAACACTGAAGTTTTGACGTATAGTAAGATAACAAGTCACACCAGGAGATAGCTGACATTTCATCCAGATTTCACTTCCTACCACGTCTAACTCTCCCTTTCACCAACTCTTTGATGATCTACCACCATCTTCATCACCTCCTGGTCACCATACGTCCTAGTCACCTCCGCCTTTCCTCCACCTCCACCTTTCCTCCACCTCCACCTCCACACCTTCCCTGTTTCATCTCCTGCGACATATCGCGACATTACGACACCGCGATGTATCGCCATCTTCAATCCTCGCGCCCTCTCAAAATCAACATGTCCGCTGAACCCAAGGAAGAAGAAACCCATATCAACATCAAAGTTAGTGATGGATCCGCTGAGATCTTCTTCAAGATCAAGAAGACCACTCCTTTGAAGAGATTGATGGATGCTTTTTGTAAAAGAGTAGGTAAACCTATGGCCAATATGAGATTCTTGGTCGATGGTACCAGAGTTCAACCTGAAAATACTGCTGAAGATTTAGATTTGGAGGATGGTGATATGATAGAAGCTCACCGTGAACAGACGGGGGGATGTTAGAGTGCCGGTGGCAATGTTTTTGGCCGGGCGTTTAACAGGTAGCTGGCGGTTAGCTGGTACTTTTAGGGAGACTCAATAGGAGTTTTCACTGGTGAGGTCTGGTGGCGTCGTACGTGTTCAAGGAGATGTAGGTGAACACTGTTGAGTAGGCGCCACTTATTGTGTAGTATAATATAAAGTTGTTGTGATTTTCTGTGTGTGTGGTACTAACTGTGTCCAAGCTGACCAAGGAGTCAGCCAAGGAGCTGACCAAGGAGCTAGCCAAGGAGCTGACCAAGAAGCTGACCCAACGAAGCTAAGGAGTGTATCAGGGAATGGAGTAACGACGACCAACGCTCTGAGAGACAGAGGAGATGGCTGAAGGGGGACGGCTGAAGGGGGGACGGATGAAAGAGACGGAAGAAGGTAAGACTGGGATTGGTAGGGAGAGAGGATTGGAGGGGGTTGGTAGTAAGAAAGAACTGGAGGAGGTTAACGGTAGCTCTGCCAACTTCTCTGGGAAAGTTTCACCTAACTAATCCCCTACGGTGACAATGTCTTGTGAGGTGCTAACTTCTCTCTATCGATACGCCTAGGATGAATTGAATAGGAAAATCAGCTTTACTCAATGACAGTGGTACTTCGAACCTACGACCGTGCTGTAACAGAGTTATGTAGACCTGCAGTCACAAATTGCCGTGACAAATTGCTGTCACAACACAAAATTTCCCAAACAAATTCTTTTCACGTGAACAGTCACATGACACATCACGTGATGATAAGAAATTCTCTCTTGATCCACAGCTATACAGCACCCACAACCCCTTAATTAGAGCTACTATATAACCTTTCCAACACCATCAGCACTCCCCACATCCTCCAATCTTCTTAAACTCATCCAATGACGGTGCCACAATGGTCATGTCTCCTCATAGTCATGGTCCCATATGTCCTTAAGTGGCGCGAAATGCTACCGCCACCCTCCACCGCCATCGCCCCCTATTTCTCGCATTTTCCGCACCCATCACCATTCAACTCCTCAAATGACTTCCCTTGATAAACTCATCAATAAGGCCACTGATGAAACCCTAACTTCCGACAACTGGCAGTACAATCTCGATGTTTGCGACTACATCTCGGCCAACCCCGAAGAGGCCACCAAACAAGCGATAAAATTCATCACCATCAGACTCAATCTCAAGGACGCTAATGTCATCCTTAGGACATTATCCCTTCTCGTAGCAATTGCTGAGAACTGTGGGTCCAGGATGAAGCAAGAGATTGCCACAAAGAGCTTCCTCCAAGATTGTTTACTCAAACGTCTTGGTGATAAGAAGTTACACAAAACCGTCAAATATGCTATAGCTGATGTGGTGAAACAATTGAACCAATCGTTCAAGAGTGATCCCTCATTGAAGCCAATGACCGATGCTTACGATATTTTAGCCAGAGACTATCGCCAGTACCTCCAAGGGGCTGGTGGTAGCGGTCCTGCCAAACCAGACAAAACCCAAATGTCGCACCACGATAAGGCTAAGGAGGACGAAGACTTACAGCGAGTTTTGAAGTTATCGTTACAGGAATATGAACGGGAACAGCTGGTTAAGAAAGCTTACCTCGATAAGCCATTACCTGAGACCAAACCTACCGCCAATTCTGGCGATGATGGGGAAGAGAAGACCATTGCTACGGTTTCTAAGGTGAGAGCATTGTACGACTTAATTTCCTACGAGCCGGACGAACTCTCGTTCCGCAAAGGCGACATTATCACGGTAATTGAGTCAGTTTACCGCGACTGGTGGCGAGGATCTCTCGCTAATGGGAAAGTGGGTATTTTCCCCTTAAACTACGTCACTCCCATAATTAACAAGTCTCCCAAGGAGCTTGCGGAGGAATTGGACCAGGAGAATTTGATTTTGGCCCAGCTGAAGAAGATAGATCGATTATTGGCATTGTTATCGGGGCCTGGTGCCGATGAGGACGAAGTCAATGGTTTGTATAACGAGATTTTACCTCTTAGACCATCGTTGGCCAAGTCTATCGAGAAGTACAGCGTACGGAAGGAAGAGTTGATGGCATTGAACAGCCAGTTGAACGGTCAGGTGAAGTATTACAATGAATTGACTGATAATGTGATTAACCTGAAGACGAGGTACCAGGCTACTGGTCAAGCACCATATCCACAATGGGGTGCTGGAGGGTATCCACCTGCTGCTATGCCACCACAGAGCTCGGGAATGCCAACACAGGGCTCGGGAATGCCACCTCAGCCTTCAGGAATGCCACCACAAAGTTCGAATCAGGGCCAATTGCCCATGCAACCCACCAGTAATGGCTTCGGCAACGAACGGTACGATCAGAACCAGAACCTTTACTCCCAGAACCAACATACTTACTCTCAGAACCAACACGCTTACCCCCAAGCCCAGCATTCCCACCCCCAGGCCCAGTACCTGAACGTCAATAGCTTCCCTTCAGTGAATAATTTATAATTTGGCACTAAAATTTCTACCGCGACATGGACCTACGACATGGACCTACACATCGCCCTATCTCACCGCCATCTCACCGCCATCTCTCCTTTCGCACAAATCAACATGTCAGACTTATACGGTCATAGAGAGAACCAGAACAACGAACGGTTCGATCAATTGGCTTCCACGTTACGTCAGTTTCGTACCACCGTTGACGACATCAACAGTAACGTCCACCAGGAGAATTCCCTTTTAGACACGTTGAATGATGGGTTCGGTAGGTTAGCTTACTCGGTCAAGAGAACCAGTGGAGAGTTAAGAAACGTCATGAACAGGAACCAAAGTCTCACCAGGATAGTGGGATTGATATTGCTTGGATTTTTCGTCATATGGATGTTGTACAAGATGAGGTCGTAGAAATATATAAGAAATAGGAGAGATTTTAAAGGGTAGCTCGCGTCACTCTGTTTATGTGAGTAGAATGCTCGGTAATTTACCGAGGTTGTCGCTAATTCTAGAGAGGATGCTCACTAACTCTAGGGAGATCCTCGGCAATTCACTGAGACTCTCACCAACTCTAAGGAGAACCCTCGGTAATTTAGCGAGACTTCAGACAATTATCATACTTCGTTTATTTCACTATAAATGAGTTACTGGCTCTTCCACAGTCCTACCAGCCGGTTCTTTCCCTAGCCAGTAATATTCCTAGTCCACCCTTATCTCTGGTCCGGCCTCTCAGTCCTATTTCTGGTTAACCACGTCAGATCCTAACCTATAGTTCCCAATAGCGTTCCCCCAATTGATCTTGGCCCTAGTAATAGGCAAAAGTCTCCTTAAATTCTTGAAATACTTCACGTTCAAGTCATTGAAGCTGTCAACGATCTTCAAGGTCAACTGGTTTTCGGAGTTATTGATGAAATTGACGATATTTCTACCACCAGCTGTCACTGAATCCTTCAAGGTCTCATTGAAGTTCAATCTAACATTTCCATCTTCATAGTAATGAATGTCCACCGCCACGTCTCCGGTGATGGTACCATTCTTAATGCGATACACCGAGTTCCATTGCCCCGTATAGTAATTTTCCGTGTTCAATTTCTGACCAACAATGATCACCACCACCTCATCATTTTTAGGAATCACCGTGAACCCGTAGGTCGAAGGATAATGATCCTTACCGTATTGTTTTAACAATTCCACCAACTCATCGTAGTACGAAGGATAAGTTTCTTCAGGTTCGTAGGATTCAATATCAATGGCTTGTTGATTTTTCAAATCAATGTTAAAAAGCTTTTTGTGGACATAATCCACAAACTTGGTTGATCCTGATAATTTGTTGAGACTTGACGCAACATAACCACCGAAAAGTCCACCTTTTGATTCGATGAACGATTCAATGGATGAATTGATGAGTCTTTCTTGACCAGGTAAGATGGCAGCCAAGTCCTTTTGTACACCATTCAATTCACCTGGAGGTGCTGAGTCCACTAAAGATGAAACAAGACTATCTAATTGAACAGACATGATTTTCGCAATTTTTCCCCTGTTTGTGGATTTTGTTTTTGTGGATTTTAAAAACCAAATTGAGAGAGAAAAAGAGAATAATTTTTTCCTGGCCACAAATACAAAATGCCACAAATACAAATAATTGCCACAAATACAAAAAATCCACAAATACTGAAAAAATAGCTACGAATACAGAAATAATCCACGTCATATATTTATGATAATAAGAAGGCTCCAGCACCTTCATTGACCGCTTGTAATAACCTTTCCTTCATAATTTTCTCGTTAGAATAATCAGGTAATTTGAGGTAGTTAGCACAAGTCATGACACTAGGTAAGTAGTCGTCGTCTTTCATGTTACTTTCAGGGTATTTCCGTACCACTGTGAGTTCAGGCTTAAGGCTCTTGAACCCTCCGATGGGTAATTTAGGGGCTCCGGTTAAGAACTGGAGGAATGATCTCTTCTCTATATCGTTGAACTCCACTAGAAGCTTCACCAAACACTTGATAGTGTCCGAGTCCTTGTTATAACCATGGTTGGCGTTGATGGAAGAGAAGATGGTGGTATAGGACCAATCCTCTTCAGCGTTACCGAACAATTCCACTAATTCGTCAGGGGAGAACACCACTAAGGAATTGATGGGGAACACTTTACTGAAACCTTCCATGAACGCTTTGACTTGGGAGATCACGCCACTGTAAAGGGTGGTTTCGATGACTTTGTTGATGTACTGGTCGATGTTGGCCGTGGTTAGGGCGACGTTATCACCATCAGGGACTAATTCGTAGTGAGGGTATCCTGGTAAGGTGAAAATGAGGGAAAGGTCTTCGAGGGTACCATCGCCAGAACCATTGGCATTAGCACTATCACCGCCAGAACCTTCCGCAGCACCAGCACCATCTCCCACATCACCAGAACCTCCCACACCATATCTCTGTAAGTGAGCCATGGACTCAGCCAAGTATGGGTCCACCATACGAAGACTGTTCAAGTTACTGAGCCTCTTCAACTCCCTGGTGACATCGTCACCACTGAAGATCTCCACCAACTTAAGGAACAACGGGTTGAACTTGAAGTCGATGATACGGGAATCGAGCAAGGCTCGGGCGATGAACTTACCCAACATGGAGTAGAAGTAAAGTTTCTTCTTCCCCAGGTCGGTAGCCAATTGTTCAGGACTTAAAGGAGCAGGGAATAGACCGGTGGAAGAATGGACGTAATCTTCACCATCTTCATGGGGACTATCGTCACGCCAGAGGTCCAATTTCCTCTTGGAGAACTCCTTGGAAACACTGGAATAAAATTCCAACGTTGGACCTAACCCTGAGCCCACTTCGTCGAAGTATTCGATCTCCAATACCCCCGGAGTCGACCCATAGAGTCCCAAGACCTTAATGGCACTTTGGAGCATCAGTTTACGGGAGATTCTTACCTTATGACGAGAAGGACGGCCCAATTGAGCCCTCTGGGTGCCAGCGTCGGTCTCCTGGTTGGTACGAATCTGCCACTGATGAATGAGACGAGAGTATCCGAAGGATGTGGACTGGAGGAAGAAAATTCTGGTGTCAAGGGGGAACATGAAGGGGAACTGGCGAGTTATATGGAGGGCCCATCCTGGTAAGGTACCACTGGCTACGATCAAAGGTTCCTCGAGCTGTCTGTTGAGTTTTACCAGGAGTTTCCAGTTCATGAACTTATCCTTGGAGATGGCACGAGTGCTGGTACCGGTACTGGCACCGGCACTGGCAACACCACTGTTCATACCGAACAAAACCTTTAAAAGTCTCAAGATACTAATAGTCACGGAATCGTAGTTCTGGAGTTCCTTAGCATCGTTGCCTGCTCCGTACAATGGAGTAGCCGTAGCTTCTACGGAAGTTTCTGCCTTACGGAACGAGATCGAATGGACAGTGTTCCATACTTTAGAAGCATCGATAACCTCATCAGGGCCCCCTTGGAGCGACCTATAGATGGCACCATAGATGGTGGTCTCGTTAGGGATAACCTCGCCATTGATGAGAAACTCCACATCGTTGTATTTAGCATTATCTACGTCCATTTGGTCATTGGAAACGTCATCGGTCAATTCCCCACCATCGTCAATCGAATCGTCGCCATTTCTAGCGGAACTGTCGTCCAACGACATGTCCTCGTCCCGGCTTCCATGGCCCCTGCCCATCAATTGGTCGAATATGCTTAATCTTTGCTTCAAAAACGTATCAATGGACGAGAAGGTGGCAATGGCATGCACTGACAACACCATGTTTTGCATGGGGCCTGGTAAATTGGTGGTACCATTGGGCACGAGTCTCAATTTGATCTGTTTGGCCATTCCAGCAGTCTGGGAATTGTCGTAGTACACCGAGGAGGCAAATCTCGTGGTGTTACCACCAGCAGATAAGATCTCGAACGATTCTGATCGAGTTAAGGCTTCTTGTAATCGTTCCACCAACACTTCAGCTGGTGAGAGTGAATCTTCGTCTCGTGGTGGTACGAAGAAACTGGCCATGAAGGTGGTATAGGCCAAATCAGCCTCCGTACTATGGGTGAAAAGGTCGGTCAAAGTCCCGATGAAACCTGACGAGATCAACTCAAAGCTTGACAAATTGTGGTCGAAGGTGGTCTTAAATTTGGCCCACACGTCAGTCCATTGGTCGCGCGACTTGGCACCATCACTTCCTACCACTTGTTTGAGCTCTTCAAGGGCCCTAGCACTCACAGATGCCGCTAATGAGTCCCCTAACTTCTTATAATCGTTGTAGGTATCTTCAATCTCACAGGTGACATGGAGAAGTTTGTTGTAAAGCCTGGCACTGGTGAGTTTGTACTCATAATCTTTAGTTAGCTCCATGTCGATGTATCGGTAGCTGTAGGCCGGGGAGAAAGGTCTTGACTTCTCGTAATCATCGTTAGGATCACTAAGTCCTGCTGTCTTCAACGTAGTACAGATGGAAAGCACGTCACTGATCAAACCTTCCTTTTCAAAAGCTTCAATGAAATCCTTGGAATTACTTCTGATCAAGTTCAACATGATCAACGATGAACTTAATAGCGAGATGTTGGCATTAAGCTTGGACGTACTATCCCTATCATCATCGTCCACCATTTCGACATCTTCTTCTTCATCATTTTCATCATCAGTTTCATTATTGGTTTTGTGGTAATTGTATTTGTGGTTATCCACAAACTCATTTTCAGTTTGATTTTCATTTTCATTATGAGGGTTGTGCGACATCGACGACATTTTGTGTTTGTAACCTAAATCTTTAATGCCCAATTTACTTTGGTTAACTATGGAAGCAAGGAGATTGGACAAAAGATGAACGTCATTGACCTTCTTCAAGTCTTCAGCAGTATTGAAGAATTTCACCACTCTGAACAAATTTATAAGCACCTTTCTCCTGACCTCAAAGTCCATAGATGCTTGGAATCCATTGATTAAAAGTGACCAGATCTCGTTGACAAACTTAACGTACGACAGGTGGATGACTTCGCTGTAAAGCTCAATACGTTTCTCTTTTAACTCAGTTCTCTCTGTTTGCTCCTCGTAGGAGTTCTTCAAGAACGGAGTCTCTTGCGGCGTATAGGCAATAGGGAGCAAGTAGCCTATCAATGAAAGAAACTGGGACACAAGCTCAGTAGGAGCAGCCATGATCACTTCCACAGAAATAATGTCGGCGGAAGCGGAATGCAAATTGGTGTCCGTCTTCCGATACCGATTCAAAGCTTTAATGATACTTTCACCTACGGCGATGTCTGTCAAAAGGAGGGCGGAGATATCCACGCTGGTACTACAAAGAATGATCAAGGACTTGACAAGACTGATACAGGAGCTGAAGTTCACCGGGACCTTGGACGAAGACTGGTCGGAGGTTTTGTTGGAGCTAGCGACGATGATTTGAACGAGCTCGTTCAATAAGTCGCTACGACTCAAGAACAACTTCTCGAGCAAATCTGGGTAGCTCTTGAAGCTATGAATGATGCGGGAAATGGCCAACCACGCATGTTCTAGCACCGCGGGGTCAGAGTGGTTCTTGACCACGGTAGAAATGTTCTCAAACACTTCATTGACCAGGGAGAAGTTATCGTACACGACGTTGGTACAAGCATTGGCGACAATGGTGAGACATTTCCGCTGAGAATGGATAGTGAGGAAGTCAAGGTACTGGAGGCATGCCATCAAACCATTATGTTCAATGATCTGACTATGGGAAACGAGATCTCGGGAGATCATCTCCAATGTCTGGAGAGCTTGTTCGGTGAGATCGATGTAGGTGATTTCATTGAGCTTGTGACACAAAGTCTCAATGGCATCGTTGTTAATGACATCATGGATGAAGTCCTGGTTGACTTCAAGGAAGTTATAAAGACACCTACAGGCCACAAGCTGTAGTTCCAATTCTTCCGCGAGCAGGGGGTCGCTCATGAGTCCCACGAGACTTCGCGCGAGCTTGTTGGCCGGGATCACTCGTTCGGCAGTGATACCATTCATCATCAAAAGCTTGCTCAGAAGTTCGTTCAACGTTTCAAGGATGAGGAACGTATCGTCACGTTGGTTTAAATCTTGAATAAGACGGTCCATTTCGCTATCACGGCCCATATTGGAGATGATCCCGCCACCGCCACTGTTAACTAACCTTTGAATTACGTCAGTAAACGACTGGTGCGAATCGTCGCCGTTGGTGCCACCAAATGCTCTGAAGAAATCCCCATCGTCCTGGCGGCCTATTCTGGACTGGAGAAGTCGTCCGATGAAATCATGAGGACTGATCTCTTCTTCTTCGTCATCTTCATCGTCTTCACCGTCTTCATCCTCACCATCCTCGCTGTCTTCTTCACCTTCTTCACCATCGTAGCGATCATCGGCATCTTCAAAGCCATCATAGTCATTCTCTTCATTAACATCCATATCTTCAAATTCAAAACCATTGTCTGTTTGTGGTCGTTGTTCACTAAATCCTGATAACCCATAATCGTCGTTATCACTACAGCCACCATCGTCTGATGAGGTTGAGGGTTGGGAGTTCTTAGGCCTAACCATCTTCACCGTGACCTTTTAGTTAGTAAGGGATTTTGCTATCAGATTAAATGCGAACTTTAAGGAAAGTACAAATGGGAATGTGCACAAACAGAAAATTTGATTCACACGACATATACCGGTGAGGTGATAGTGAGGGATTGATGAAGGATAGTGGGACCTTAAGAGGGAAGGTCTGGATGTAGAGGAGGTTTAAAGAAGTGGGAAAGAGTTGAAATATTGAAGTACACAAAAACGAAGTACACAAAAACTGAAGTACACAAAAACTGAAGTACACAAAAACTGAAGTACACAAAGAGCCAAAAACTAACATATATATTTCATGGATGAGCCATCTTATACGGAATTTCATTAATTCTATGGAATCCATATTTATCCTCCAAACTATCCATCAACTTCATATCGTCGTCTTCCAATTTAATGGTGACTATGTTCTGTTCAATTCTCTCAAACTTAGATGATCTAGGTATAACATTGATACCTTTTTGTACACACCAAGACAATAAGATTTGACCTGGTTGAGCTTTATACTTCTTAGCTAAGTCCACCACATCAGCGTTATCCACCAAAAATGCTCCTGTTCCTCCTAAGGGACAATAAGCTTGAACCAAGATTTTGTTTTTGTGGCAATAATCCACAAGCCCATTTTCAAATTTTGCAACCAATGGATGATATTCAATTTGGTTGATTACAGGTACAACACCGGTATGTTTGATAGCTTCCAAGTTCTCTACAGTGAAGTTGGACACTCCTAAGGACTTGACCTTGTTGGTGTTCTTGTAAACCTTCACCATCTCCTCGTAGGTATCGATGTAGGTCCAATCTTCATACGCCACTCCACTAATCTCTGGGTTTTCACAGAATGGCCAATGCATAAGGTAACAGTCGACGTAATCTAAGCCTAAACGTTTCAAACTATCGTCCAAAGCTCCAGCGACATTTTTATGATGACTGTTCCAAAGCTTAGTAACCACGAAAATCTCTTCACGAGGGATTCCACTGTCTCTGATAGCTTTACCCACGTCCACTTCATTGTTACCTTTGTCATAGATAAAGGCAGTATCCAAGTGTCTGTAGCCCAGCTTCAAGGCATGAAGAATAGATTCGGTGGTGAGTCTCATGCACCCAAGACCAACTTGGGGAATGGTGGCACCAGTGTTCAAGGGAAAGGTTTCAGTGTTCATTGGCGACAATAGCACGCAGGAAGAGGTATTTATACCCCAATGACAGTGAAGGTACGGTGGGGATATTAGTCATAAAGTATGGGGAAGGATCTGTGGTGGGGGGAGGTCAAGGAGAAGTTGCCTTTTTGGGAGAAGATGGGGAGATTCTGCGAGAGGTTAGGGGGGATTTTGCGAGGATTTAGGGATATCGGGCGAGAGCTCAGGGATATCGGGCGAGAGCTTAGGTCGAGGTGGGGGAGAAAATGGTGGTAGATTAGGGAGTCAGAAAAGAATATAATACATTTGAGGTGGGATAATGGGATGATAGGAAGTAATGGGATGATGGCACCACCGTAGAAGTATGGCAGTAGCAGCAACAGCATCAGTAGCAGCAACAGTATCAGCAGCAGCAACAGCATCAGCAGCAGCCACAAAACCGGCCACAAAACAAGCCTTACCTGTAAAAATCAGGTCTCGAGGTATTCAACCCGTACTCCGTCAAGGCACTACTTAAATCTTCCATAGTTAACACAATCTTTCCCTGCTGATTACCGGCATTACTACTCGACGTATGCTGAGGGATGTCTCCGTCGACATTATTACTATTGACCCCAGTGATTTGTTGCTGGTTGGCGTACTGTTGGCCCTGCAACAACTGCTTTGCTCTGACTTGTGGATTGGACGAGTTGTAGACGGCGGAGGAGTTTCTGATTCGGGAGTACTCGTAAGCATCTTGGGCCACGTCGGAGATGAACTTCTGGGTAGCTAAGGCCAACAATCTCTTGATCTTAATGTCACTGGACTCAAACCCATTTTTAGCGAGGTAGTAATCAGTGACCGTGTCAGGGATGATGGGTGCGTAGTCTCCGTCCATTAGGTCGAGAACTTCTTTCAAGGTTTTATCCTTTCTGGCAAGTTCAGGGAGATCGGTGATTTGAACATTTACAGGGTCGGTTTCTTCATGGACAATATCATTGTTGTCGTTATTATCATTGAATTCATCATCGATATCTTCCACAATATCTTTTTCTGTCATTTTGTATTTGTGGATTAAATTTTTGTTTTTGTGGATTTTATTCGTTTTTGTGTAAAGTTTGTTTTTGTGGATTAAACCTGTTTGTGGATTAGTTCTTTTTGTGGATTATAGTTAAAAATTTCGACAAGGATTAGGAAAAAAGTGCGCGCGCTTTGGCATAGATTTAGTTCCATCATGGACCTAAATCCTGGCACCATCCTAGGTCCATCAGTTCCGCCTAAAGAAAAACTCATTCGCATTTTCCAAACCTCCACAAACACAAAATGCAAGATCCCTTTGAGTCCATCACTTTTGGCAATTCCCTTCTGCTAAGAGTGGATGGTGCCATTGGTGCCATGTCACTTTCGCCCAATGGGAGGGACGCCGTGCTAGCAGGGCGTCGAGGTCTTTTCATCATCGATTTAGATGACCCTTTCACCACCCCTCGTTGGCTCCATCACATCACTTCATGGGAAGTGGCAGACGTTCAATGGTCTCCCCATCATTTCGCCAAACCATCGTGGTGTATTTCCACCTCCAACCAGAAGGCGTTGCTCTGGGACCTTTCCAGACCGTCAGATAGTTCCATTTTGAACGTCCTCCACCAACACACCAGGGCCATTACCGACATAAACTTCCATCCCCTGGACCCAGAGATCCTCGCCACCTGTTCAATCGATACTTACATTCTTAGCTGGGATATGAGGACCCCCAGGAAGGCGGTAGACCAATGGGCCGAATGGCGGGCTGGTGCTACCCAAGTCAAATGGAACCACCACAATCCTTATGAGATCGCTTCCAGTCACGACCATTCGTTCTACATCTGGGACACTAGAAAGGGGGCGTTACCGGTGCTACGGGTCGAGGATGCCCACCACGGGAAAATCAATGGAATTGACTTCAGTCACGGGCTTGACCAGGTCATCACTTGTTCCAACGATGGTACCATCAAATATTGGGACCTCACCACGTCTGCTGCCAGGCACACCATTGATAGTTTCAACTACTTCGACCGGGCTCGCGGTAATACCATCGACCCATCGATTATCATCAACACCGATTTCCCGGTGGCTCGTGCCAGGCACCTCCCGTTTGGTAGTGAAGATGCGTGCGGTGTGATGCCACTTCGGGGCGGCCAGGATTCGGTCCATATATTGAATGTCAACGCTGCATTGGACCAATACAGGACCACTCACCATACCCAGGTGTTGGACTTTGAACCTGTTCATCTGTTTAAGGGCCACCAGGGACCCATCAAGGACTTCCTTTGGCGGAAACGTCATGGGAATTATGAGGACTGTGCTACCACCAGAGATTGGACTGATTACCAACTTGTCACTTGGTCACTGGCGGACTACGACTTGAAGCTTTGGCCCAACGAGGACGAAGTGTATCAGAAGGTCAACTATAACCCCTTGCACCAGAAGGTATTGAAGTCAGTGCCCATCGATACTTATGACACTGGTACCACCGTCAGCAGTGCCAGCACATCGCCTAATAGTACAGTTAGTGGTACCGACCGTGGTGGTGAGCGCGGTGGTTTTGGTACCAATGGATTTGGCGCCAGCTCATATGGCACCAATGGCGCGAATGGTGCCACGCTTGGTGGCTCAGACGGTACCATGCCGCACGGTTACTTATACAATTCCTACGCCATTGAACCACCAGTTAATCTTACCAATATCATCACTAAAAACCATGGGGATATCCTCCTGTCTATGGCAATGTTCCAGATCGCCAAGAAACACAAAAACCTCACCATTCTCCCCACACAGTTGAACCATCTTGACTGGATCTCGGGAGTTCGTATTGGTACGGCCAACGATACTGAGGATCGGTTGACTGACAACCCCACCAACTTGGGTGAAGAGGTCAGTATGGTGGCCCATACATTCCCTAAGGTTCGGTTCGAAAAGATCTCCGTGTCCACTGGGGAGCTTATTTTAAGTTTACAAGGTCCAGTGCCAGTGGCGGTCCAGACCACTACCGCGAAGGCACAGACCGCCACTGCGAAAGTCGCGGCAAAAATCGTGGCCACCGCCAAAGCCACTACCGGTAAACTGGACGGTGTTCCTTCGCCAAATCCTCAGGAAGACGATAAACCCGATGATACACAAACAGTCATTGATGAAACCAGACCTACGGACGAAGATGACACCGAAGAACAGAAGCTTATCTTCATTCGTCTCCAGATCAACTTCCCGCGAGCCTACCCGTTCCTCGACCCACGAGCCTCAGCCACCGCGCTGAAGAAATCCCTCCGCCAAAACTTCATCTCCTTCGAGATCGAGGAGACTCATGAGTTGACCAAGGAAGTTAGGGAGGAATTTCTCGCTAACTTGAAGGAGATCTCCCAATTCTACGCCAATAGACACCAGAGGTTCTGTCTCGAGCCATTGTTGCGGTACTTGATGGGGGATAAGATCGTGCTAGATGATAATTTGGTGGCCGTAGAAACCCCCATGGAGGAAGACGACGTAGAAGTGGGCGAGGAAGGATGGGCTGATGATTTAATCAACCAACAGCCAGGTTCACCCCTTACTTCTCCTCCGAGTGGACCTACGTCCCCAGATGACGAAGGGTATGAGTCGCCAGATTCCGAGTCCTTGGACGGAGAGTTCTCAGACTTCATGCCAGCATTGAACGATGAGGAAATGATCAATAGCACGGGGTCTTTAGGTCGAGCTCTGGCCACCGATGCTCCTGTGGTGGTAGATAACTCCAGATTCTTCGACTCCACGCCTATTCCCAAGGGTTGTGGGGCGATGTGGTCCCGTACGGGTCAGTTGGTGTGTTTCTTCATCCCTAAGAACACTGAAGAGGAAGATAACAAGGCTTTACAGAAATTTTCCATCTTCAAATTCACCGACGCTGGGTTTAGTCTTACCCAGGGAGGCCAGCACGATCATTCGCACGAGACCTCGCATGCGGTTTCGCACCATTCGCACCATTCTGATAGCGACTATAGTGAGGAAAGTGACGACAACGCTTCCACCACGTCGTCCGACAGTTTCACCAACGACTGGGACGATATTGAAGAAGAGGACTTAACGTCTCGTTTCCGTGTACCGGGGCTCTTCAAGACATCGGTAGGACTCGGGAACAGATACGTTTCTAGGGCCACCAATCGTATGAAGACCGTCACCAGTGGCGGTGGCACTGGGTCCAACTATAAGTCGTCACTCCCGGGAGCTCTGGTGGACTTAAAGAAGAAGAAGAAAGCTGAACGGAACCATAAAAACAAAAACATCGTAGGGATCTTTGACTTCAAGCATTTACTCCCCGATAAAGAAGAGCTAGCACGAGAATACCGTGTGTTAGGGGACTCTCCCGAGAACCTTGCGCGGTACAATAGCTCGGTGGCCCTAAAATATGGTCTCAACGATATCGCCAACGCCTGGAAGCTCTTGGAGATGGTGTTGGTCAAGGACATTCAGATCAATGATATCCATCCGGTGTACTATTCGTCCAACGTTCTCCCCAACACCACGGTGGCCCGTAACGTGGAAGCCATGAACCATCTTTTGAAGGTTAGTCACATGACCAAGAAGCTCTTCAATGGGCTGAATTATCGGTTCTACTGGGGGGCCCATCCGTTCGGATACGCCTGGTTGGTGGAGGAGATGATGAACTACTTCGAACGGAAAGGGAACCTTCAAATGTTGGTGATGATGCTGTGTATTCTCTTTGAGAACGATGAGCCTGGTCCCGCCACCCAGGGTGTAACGACCTATCCCGCGACCCACGCACCGTACCAAGGATCTGCGTCCTACGGGTCGACACTGTTTGGGTCCGCGCCTTATGGATCTTCGCCCCATTACCACCACCGCCCACTGGCCACACCACTGCATGAAAGTTCTTTCCATGAGAGTTTCAGCACTGATGCCAGAAGCGTGGACATGCGAACTATTCTTCCATCATCAGGCCATCCATCCCAGGCCCATCTATCACCAGCCCACCGTACGTCGTCCATGATCACAAGAAGAGAATCTATGACGTTTTCTTCCAGTCTAGGCATTGCTGGATTGGGTGCCATGGGTAGTGGTGCCATGGGTGGTGGTACCGGTATGAATGCCATGGGATCAATCCCCTATGCTCGTTCCATAACTTCGTTATCGGACGATAGTCCCGATAAGCCCCGGAAATCCTTAGACGAACGTCTTAGGAAACATGCCACCGCCACTGCGAGAAAGCCTCGTCCTACGCCCAAAAGACCTCCGCGCAAGGGGGGCGTAAAACCACCGCCAGAGATTTCCATCCACTACGAGAACGTAGCGTCACTCGACCTATTTGACGACATTTACACCAAACCTCTCCTTAGTTCTCAAGATAGTGGTAAAATTGAAGCCTACAGAGAGTCCTACGCCAACATGTTGTACGCCTGGGGGTTACCGGCCAACCGTATCAAGATCCTTAAGTTCAACTACCCCAACTTTTCCCAGGAATTCACTCCGTCCAAGTTTGTGGAACACGAGTGTAACTTTGGCTACCGTCCCCAGGCCATCGACTTGGCCCTGGAGGTGAAATACGTCAACCAGCCCACCAGTATCGAGAGTGCCAAGGGGAACGTATGGTTGGGGGAGGACCATGGATTGAAGTATTGTGTTTTGTGTAACTTGCTAGTGTCTAAGAGGTTGGTTATTTGTACTAACTGTGAGCACGTGATGCACTCTGACTGTGCGTTGGAGTGGTGGAGCGGCGAGGACGAGTGTGGTAGTGGATGTGGGTGTGAGTGTTTGAATTACCGGTTGTAGCTATGGCTGAGACTGTCGAGCGATAGCGAGGCAGACGGAGCCATATCGAGCGATAGCGAGCCAAAGAGACCCACGACACAAAGTATGTATTTTTATAGAACTAATATAAACGGTAAGGAACGGGAGACTTTCGCCAACTGGTGCGAGGAACTTGGAGGGACTTGCAGGGGAGTCGGTGGGACGTTGAGCTGGGAAGCCAGTGGGACCAGGAACTTGGAGCTGGGAGCCAGTGGGGCCACACTGGAAGGCAACCTTCGTCGGCTACGCCTCCTCAGGTGCCTCCTCAGGTGCCTCCTCAGGTGCCTCCTCAGGGCTTCCTAGTCCCCACAATCTGTCCCTCTAACTTCTCGTCCCACACTCTCACTAACTTATCCAAGTACGCCACCACATCCTCCGCCCCCGTACCATCGATCTCATCGTACCCAACATATTCCTTCCCCCACACGTCACTACACGAAGCTACCTTCTTATCCTGAGGCTCATCCCCCCAAGCACACTTCATCAACAGGTTGGCAGCATTATGGCCGGAGATATTGTGAACCTTCGACCCCAAGAACCTCGCCATGTAGAACAACGCCAACATCCCGTAGAACGTGAACACGTTCAAATACTGGTTGAACACAAAACTGGTGAACACCCCTGGGTTTACCACGTACTGGTGGATGCCTTCACTGGCCAACTTTCGGTAACTCCCCATATGAAGAAGATCAATAAGACGTTTGGACCCCTCGTATGGACTGGTGTTCTGCACGAGCTCTAGGTCGTTGAACGATAAATACTGGGCCCCACTGGCAGGTGAAGATACCCAAATAATTTTACTTTTGTGTAACAAAGGTTTCAATTTGTGGATCAAATAGTACGGACCAAACACATTCCCTTGGAACAACAACCCCATGCCGTCGCCCGACTTCAACCCAGCCTTCTGGATTTTCATCTGGCCCTCAGTGACGGCGAAGATGGGATCTCTGATGATGTCCTTAATGGCGAACCAGAAATCCACCCCCAAGTACGCTGTTTGGGCGGAGTTGATGAATAGGAAGTCGAGGTGGTGGTACTTCTTGTTGATATCGTAGTAGGCACTTAACACCGACACCATATCACAGAAATCGACCAAGATATAGTCGAATTCGACGGAGAACTTGGACGACGCTTGGGCGTAGCCATGGAGCTCGCTGATGGTATCGAGGGCCTTGGGTAAGGTTCTGGAGGTAAGGATGATGGTGAGATTGGTGGTGGACTTGTCGATGAGACGTTTGGCTAAGGAAATACTTAGATTGGAGGAACCTCCAGTGAGTAAAGCTACTGTCATCGTATAGAAATGCGGTACGACGAGAGTGCGAAGTGTGGGAAGTGTGATGATGGGAATGATGGTGGGAAGGATGGTGCGAAGTGTAGGTCCTTGATGGTGCGAAGTAGGGAGGAGTAAGTCGCGCGTAGGGCCATTGCGATGGCCTAGACAGTGCGAAGAAGGAAGGTAGTAACACCCAGTGAGTTGCCCGACTGGTGATGTGCCACACAGGATTCAGTTGATTTGACCGATCTGATGAGCAGAAGATACCCACAGTGTAGATGTGGCCCAGGTGGCACAAGATGAGGGTACACATAGCAGTGAACCAGGCATATGAAGTTGTAAAACCACTAGATATGGTACTATGGAACAGTGTAGATTAGTCGACAGACCAGAAAGTAGCCAACAGTACTGAGATCACAGCCAGTACCGTTACAGCGTTCTAACCAACACTGTCTTCTTGTCGCCCCCCACTTCTACCCCCCCTCTGGTGGCGGCAATGTGGCGGATCCCCTAAAAATAACTTCCTGGTGCCCCCACGACCCCCAACTGATAACGTCGCAATCTATCGCGATCTTTATCACCCAATGGACTGCCATTTATTCGTCTTGGTTCATGGATTATGGGGAAACCCCAACCATATGACCACCATCGAGACCGTGTTGAACGATGTGCTTGAGTCCACTGATTCCAAGGTGGCCATCCTTAGACCTTCGAGTTTCAGGTTCTGGAAAACTTATGATGGTGTTAAGATCTGTGCCGAAAGAGTACTTATCGAGATGTTCTACGAGATCGAAACGTTAAAGAAGAACAATCTCAAGGTTACTGAGATCAGTTTCGTGGGGTACTCGTTTGGGGGGCTCATCAGTCGATACCTCATTGGGATCCTAGAGGAAATTGGGTTCTTCCACGAAGTAAAGCCTGTGTTCTTTACCACCTTCGCCTCCCCTCATGTGGGGGTGGAATTCTTCAAGAAGAATTTCTTCGATTATACCGCCAATGCCATTGGGGGGTACCTTTTCGGGCCCACAGGTCGTCAATTGTTCATTAATGATAGGGATAAGATCCTTGTTACTATGGCTGACCCCAAGTCTCGGTACTTTAAAGGACTTAAACGGTTCGAGAAGTTGATGCTTCTCGCCAATGTCAAGAACGATAGGTCGGTATCGTTCTTCACGTCGTTCATCACCGACTACTCGCCGTTTGAGAAGTTCGATGTGGTGAAAATCAAATATTTGAAGGATTTGCCCGAATCCAGTATCGGGAAAGTCCATGTCCGTGGTAAGTTCGTTGATCTTAGACGGTCCCATTACCAACTTGGTGGTAGTAATGGTGGTAGTTTGAATGTTCAGGAAGAAACCAGTTTCTTGAGAACCAGTAAATTGTTCAGAGTGGGACTCATCCTTCTCTCGGTAGTGATTCTCCCTATTTGGATCCCTACCATCCTTACCGTGACTTTCTTAACCTCAATGTATTCCATGATCAAAGTCAGAGTGTTGAGTTATCCCTCTATTGAACCTCATTGGCAAAAAGTCCGTACCGGGGTGTACGGGTCTCAAGGTGTGGACGATGAAGATTTCAAGATCGGGACCAAGAAGAGACAACAACGGAAGGAGATTGACCGTAGTGAGAGTTTTAAGGGAGATACGTCCAACTTGACGGAAATGGGGATGGAAAGTATGCTTTATGCTGACGAGAGAATCCATGGTGATGGTCATGTGGTGGGGGAGGAAGATGTGGGGGATGCTAAGGTGGAGGATGAAACCAGTTCTTTAGTGAGTACCCAGAACTTCCATTTCGACTTAGACCTCCATAAATCTTCAGTCAAGAAACACCTTCCTTCCCTTACCGATACTGATTACTCCCAGTTCCCGTTGTTCGTCAAAGGGGCCAAGTTACCGGTGAATAAAGATAAGAAGGCTATCATTGAGAACCTCAACCTGTTGGGGTGGATCAAGATTCCTATCTTCCTTGATGCCTGGAATGCTCATGATGGGATTGTAGCTAGACGAGGAGTCGTCAGTAATCCTAAGGGAACGGCTTCTATAGCTTTATGGGCCAGTATGTTGGTTGAACATATGGAGGGAGGTAGTGAGGCTCACTGAGACCTTGGAGAAGACGGTTTCCTGAGTACTTGTGCTTAGGAAGTATACTTGGGTACTTAGTGCCGGCAATTCTTCTAGACTTTCGTGCTTGTCATTCCTCTGGACTTTCGTACCGGCAATTTGTACCGGACATTGAGTGCCGGTACCAATCCTCACCTCACCTCCCGCACCGGCATACCTCCCGCATCACTTTCACGCTAACCAGCGCGCATCCATTCTTATAGCAATCAATACATAATGCTTAGACTAGCTAGGCCCCTACTTAGACCTAGGTTCAACCATCTAGTCAAATTCTCCATCGTTGGCTTCACCTCCTACCAAATCTATCGCCAATCCCCCATCATCAACGAAATCCATGCCATTGATACCTCCAAGCATGATCTCACCATAGACTCATCAGCTGAAACTTTTGAAATGGGGCTTTATATGGCCTCCCAACAAGAAGAAATCGACCAATACCATCAATATCGTCACGAAAAACTCACTGGGAACATCTTTAAGCGGTTATGGTACCATCTTGGCTTCAAAATCGTGGATTATATCATAGATCCCCTTATAACCTTCACCAGATTCGTGGAATTGAGTTGTATCCTTACTCCCATCATCCTCGCATATCCCTTGGTGTTATACGGCCGGAGAAACCAGGTCGGGGCCAAATTATGGTACCGATTGATACGATGGTCAGCAGAAATAGCCGGAGCTTCATTCATTAAATTGGGTCAATGGGCTGCCACCAGAACTGACCTTCTCCCCAAGGGAATGTGTGACGAGCTTAACAATTTACACTCCAATGCCAAAGCCCATTCGTTCCATGCCACCAAGAAGATCATCATGGCCAGTTTCAATAACGGTGACCTGGAGAAATTCCAATTCGACGACATTTTCGATGAATTCAACGAGACCCCTATCGGTGTTGGCGCCATTGCTCAAGTCTATTTGGCCAAGATCAATGAAAAGTTCATCAATAAAGTCACCGATGCTGAAACTGACCTTCAACTGAAACTTAAGCTTCAGTCACGTGACGGATCACATGATTCATCACGCGACGAAAATTCTTATAGTTCAATTATGGAGAAGTTCTTTGTTACCAAAGATCCGTTGGAATCCAACCAAACGGTGGCCATCAAAGTCCTCCACCCTAAGGTGGAGGTAAAGATCAACAGGGACTTGAAATTGATGAAATTCTTCGCTAATTTGATCAATTGTATTCCTACGATGGAATGGCTTTCGTTACCGGACGAGGTAGACCAGTTCGCAGTACTAATGAGACTTCAGCTCGACCTAAGGATTGAGGGTTTAAACCTCGCTAAGTTCCGTCATAACTTTAGGTCCAATAATGACATTCATTTCCCTAAACCGTACCTTAATTTCTCCACCCGGACGGTATTGGTTGAAGAATTCATGAGAGCCATCCCTCTTGAGAAGGTTCTCTCCATCAACGACAACTTCGGTAAGAATCTTTCCAAGGAGATCAGTGACAAGGGTCTCGATGCTTTCCTTAAAATGTTGATTTTAGACAATTTCATCCATGCCGACCTACACCCTGGGAATATGATGGTACGGTTCTATAAGAATGAGTTGTACAAACATGAAAAAGAGTACAAAATCGTTAAGACCAGTAATGAAGAAGAAACCAATCGAATCACATCAGAATTGCTCGCTATTCCTACCGACAACCAGGCGGCATGGTGCGAGAAATTAGCGAGACTTTACAACGATGGCTACCACGCGGAAATTTGTTTCTTGGACGTAGGAATCGTCACTGAACTCAACCATACCGACCGGTATAATTTCATCGACTTATTCAAAGCCCTCCTGGAGTTTGACGGGTTCAAGGCAGGAGAATTAATGATTGAAAGATCCAGAACTCCCGATACTGCCATAGATAAGGAGGTGTTCGCCCTTAAGGTAGAGAAATTGGTCGACCGAATGAAACAAAGGACCTTCGCCTTAGGTAATTTGAGTATCGGAGACCTTCTTGATCAAGTTTTGAACATGGTGAGGAAACATCACGTGCGTATGGAAGGAGACTTCATCAGTATCGTGGTAGCAATTCTCTTGCTTGAAGGAATAGGGAGACAATTAGACCCCAACTTGGATTTGTTTGCAAGGTTCGTATATTCTCTAGCTTTTGACTATGATTTGTATGTACTAACACCGTAGCTCGTTGCCTATATTGAGACAATTGGGTGCGCTGAAGGAAGGGAGAGATATCTTGAGGAACGAGAACAGTTTGTCCATGATGAAGGTGTGGTTGGCGTTGGAGGTGAGACAGTTTATTCATGCATCGGTCCAGGATGTGAATGTATTGGTGAAAAGTGATATGTTGAGTCCTAATGTTTAGGCCGTCGGGCATTGCCCGAAGGGGTCGGTAAATCGCCCGTCGGGTAGTTTTCCCACCTTGGTTTTCTCATTGGTTTCTTAGCTAGCAAGTTAATAGGTGGTGAGTTGTCAAGGTTAAGAGAACTGGTTCCTATTAGCCCCCATGGCTTTTCAAACTGGTCACAGACCTTCAACACCGTCCAACACCGTCCAACACCGTCCAAGACCGTCCAAAACCTGTCGTTCATAGATCCATGTAGACCATGGAAGTAGAAATGAAATATTTAGATGCTTGTTCTCTGTACGCTGGCAACATACAGCCTAACCTCCTAGCCTAGCCTCCTAGCCTCGCCCTGTAAACAACCCTAGCAACTCTCCTCCCCAGATCACCTCAGTACACCCACAATCTCGGACTATTGCCACCTGTGTCCGCTACCGTATCGTTCTAATCTACAGCGACATCTTCGCACCATTTCTAACCATTTCTCCCTACCTCTCCTCCCCACTGCGCATCCGCCAGTCGCCCGCTTCGCACTCTAACAACCAGCATCGTACAACTCCACGGTATCCTTGTGATAATCAAACAACTTACACAAAGCTAACCATTCAGCTACTGAGAGATCTCATCAATGTCAGAGAAAAGTCACCCCTTAGTGGGATCAATCACAGCGCTGGGACCCACCGACGTACGGGGATCATTAGGTCCCACCAAATCTTCATCAGGAGAATCAACAGCTCCCACCATATCCCCATCAATACCACCAACATCCACCACTACACATCCAAACCATTGGACCCACGGCTTTCAACCTCCCACCACGGCGTTCAAATTCTACCCCAGCAAAAAACTAGCCAATCGTCTTACCCTCAACACCATCCAGGGCAAGTTCTTTAAGCCCATGGCCGTGCTAGAACTGGTGGGCCACAAATCCATTCATTCAGACAACCACCATTCCATCTATGAGGACAATGACGCTAGCGATAGCTACACAGACCTTCTATACCCCCAGACGAACCCCATCCAGGCATTCTCGTCCCATTTCAGTCTCCCTAAAGTGTCACTAAACGTCCCGTCGTTGAAGAACGCTAACGATGTCATCGACCACTTCCAGAACGATATCAGTCGACTCATCTACCACAACTTCTACGCCCACGACGATATCATTCTTTGCTGGGGAGGATTGTACAATAACGAATATTCCTGTTTCAGTAAAATAGGTCTACCAGCTAACGTAGACATCGCCAAGGTCTCGGTGTACTTCCCGGTAGACCTCCCACCATTCATCGACCGAGATATCTTGATGAGTCCTTACTTATCACTGAACAAGCATCTTTACCTATTCAATCCCGACAGAAGCACCATCACGTTGTTGGACGCCTTTACGTCCAATCTTCCTGATCATTTGTGTAGCTGCTCGTTTGCCAAAATCTCCGACCGTCATGTGTTCATCTACGGAGGGTTCGAGGTAAAGATAGTCAGAGTGTACCACGACGATACCACCGACCGATGGATCGTAGAGAAGGATTTGGTACTAAACGAGGATGGTTATATCATGGACACCATCACCTTCAAGTTCGTTAAGGTACCGTTGGTGAAGAGTGAAAATGAAGATTTCAGTTTAGGTCGATTGGGGAACGGTATTACTGCCAACGTCTACAACGAGGTGTCGTACGACGATACGGTATCAAGTTTCGCGGGGTCTGCGCAATTCAATAATTTCACCGATTCCTCCTACTACAGTCCCTATATCCCTGCCAAACTGGACCGGGATAGTACAACCAAACTGGACCGGGAGAGTGTCAAGGATGGTACCAAATCTCCTGCCACCAAGAAGAAGAATATCCTCTCGGAACCAGGAACTCCTACCAGTTCTAGTGGCAGTATGACGCAGAAATTGACCAAAACCAAAAGTGTTGGTTCCAAGGACTCCAAAAGGGAACGGTCTAACAGCAATGGTGGTAAGAAACACCGAGATATCTCCCACCTTCATTCGTCCTCACCCATAGGCAAGTCCACGTCGCCAAATTACCGACAATCTTCACCATTACCGGTGGAGTTCCAACAAGCAGTGGGGATTCCAGCCCATTTACAATCATCTTATTCCAACCAGGTCAAACAACATCGTTCTAACTCCGGGTCGTTGAACAGTAGGCCGGTGTCGCCCCAACCTCAGCAGCCTACAGCCGTCAGGCCCAATTTCAGTAAAATCATTACTTTCGATGGTAGTGAGTTGGACGACGATATCGAAGCTACCGATGTGTTTGGCGAAACTCCCGTCAAACCCACCCATTCCTTAACCTCCGTATTCATTTTTGGTGGGTTTATCGAGACCATGGACGGAGGTATCAAGAAATACGTCGCCACCAATGATTTCCTCCGTATCGACCTAATCTGTGAAGGGCCATTTTTCATGACAAACTTCCACAAAGTCGCCAGAATCTTCAAGATCGCTCCCTCCATCGACACTCCGTCCCCCAGAGGATACTTTGCTTCCACGCTCATCGATTTGAACGAAAACCACGACGAAGAATGTGATTGGACCAACCCTCGTCCGTTCTCCCCCAACGATGAAGAGTCCAGTAACTCCTCCATCCAAACCTCCAACTCCAGGCACCACAATAAGATCACTAAGATCCTTACTCCGGAGGAATTCTTCAGCCAAAAGGGTCTTCTCGTCCAAGGAGGCTGTGATAACGAGAAAAGAGTCTTCTCCGATATGTTTGTGTTCCGTTTCGGTACACAAAAGTGGGAATCCCTTGATACCTTCACCTACGACTACTTCGACCAGCAACAACAGCCTATGGAGGACAAAGATCTCGTGTCGGAACGTCAAAATCTCAGTCCGAATTTGGTGGAGGCAGAATTGAGGGCTTGCCACCACCAGGCCATCTTCTATAATAACTTCGGTAAACAGTTGGTGATCTTCGTGGGAGGGTTCCGTAGTGATTTCTTGAAGTACGTGGACGAAGAACCCTATGTTACCGATAAGCTCGATGTGTCATGTCTCAATAGAATGAAACTTGCGGCCAAAAACTTCGATACCTGTAGGGTTCTTGTGTTCAACGTAAAGACACAAACCTGGGGGTTCTCCCGGTTCTACTACGATCTAAGGAAGAACATCTCCCACCAGGCATTCGAAGATATTAAGGATAATCCCATGTTCATCGATGCCAACCTCGTCCACCATGGTGCTGGGTTTGCCTTGAACGGTAGAATCCTCACTATTTGTCAGGGGTTGATCACAGTGGTTCCTGAAGATGAAGAGAACTTTAAGAAATGTCAGGATATGTATACGTCGATGTTATTTGGATGTCATCTTCAAATATCATTCCCTAGTATTTAATGAACGATTTTACTCTTTTTTTTTGGTTTTGTGGATTTTACTCTTTTTGTGGATTTAACTCTTTTTGTGGATTTTATTATAAAAAGCGCAATTTTTTGGCTGCGAAAAACTTCACAGAATGTCAATCTTCAGTGGTGATATCACTACTGTTGACCCAAAATCTATATTTCCTGCTAGATCTGGAGAGGTAGGGGTTAAGTCCAATGTCTCAGTCGATGGTCCTATTCCTACGAACAATTTTTTTACGAATTTATTGGTGGAAAATCAAGATCAACCTGTTTGGACCAATCCCTATAAGTTCACATTTTATGGCAATGGATGTAATATTTACTACCCCCAGCCTAACCAATTGACTTATGGACCTTCACCAGTGAAATATTTCCTTCATCCTAGTGGAATCAATAATCTTACTTTCACTTCATCTGATTTTTCCCAAACTCCTTCGTTCCAATTGACGAACTTGTCGAAATTCTCCATCACTGCCAAATATTCCAACTCCTTAGGGTCGTTAGAGACTCCGTTGGTTCCAGGAATGGGGTTTTGTACTGCTATTTACAAAGGACTTATCCCTAAGATCACTACCAATGTAGGATTCAAGAAAGTCGAAGGAAAGAGTTGTCAGAACCCTCAGGTGTACAAATACATCATCACCTTAAACGATGATTCCCAATGGTCTATGTTCCTCACGAAAAACATCAGCTTGAAGAATAATGGTAGTTCGATCTTATTCGCTACTCTGGCTGACGTGGTGGTACAAATAGGGTTCGGGACCTTTGATTATTATGACCAAGTTGCTGGATGTTATGCCACAAACATGGAAATCCTGGCTTCGGAATCTCAATATACTTTGAACTATTCCGTTTCCGGGTCCTCACTTACCAAGGCCTTGATGTTTGCTCCTCCCCATATGGTGAAGAACTTCTCCAAGGAACTGAAGGGATCCCAGGTGAATATCACTGTGAATTCATGTACATTGGGCCCATTATCGGGGTGTATTGGTACGAAACTAACGATGAATCAGACCCTCCCTCCTGATTCCCTAACCTTTAAGAATCAGACATTTTCTGATACCATCAAGCAAGATCTCTTGGACCAAGCTAGAACTGACGCTAACGATGATATAGCGGCCGCCACTAACGTTAGTTCGATGTACTTTGCTGGTAAAGCCTTTGCCAAATATGCCAACTTGTTATACATCTGCCGGTATATCCTTAACGATGAAGCATTGACCACTACCGTTCTAACAAAACTTACTAACGCTTACACCACCTTCATCACCAACCACCAGCAGTTCCCGCTTATGTATGATACTAACTTCAAAGGTATCGTCAGTACAGCTACTGGGGACAATGATTTCGGTAATGGCCATTATAACGACCATCATTTCCATTACGGCTACCATATCTATGCCATGGCTATTATCATTAAGGTGGACGTAGAACGGAACGGTCAGTTTAGGGCCAGGGCCAAAGATTGGACAGATCTTCTTATCATGGATATCTGTAATATTAACCCCGATAACTCCGAATTCCCTTTCATGAGGAACTTTGATTTTTACACCGGCCATTCGTGGGCCAAGGGGCTCTATGCCAGTGCTGACGGGAAGGACGAGGAGAGTTCTAGCGAAGATATCAATTGTTACTTTGCCATGAAGATGTATGCTGATGTCATGGGATATACCAATTTGAGGAAGTGCTGTAGTTTGATCTTAGGGATTCTTAAAGATAGTTTGAACAGTTACTTCTACTACGATCACAATACCATCGAGCCCCAACAGTTCGTCTACAATAAGGTCAGTGGGATTTTATTTGAGAACAAGATCGATCACACAACATATTTCGGTAATGAAGAGAGTTACATCCATGGGATTCACATGATCCCTTTGATAGCGTTATCGTATTGGTTTAAGTCCAAAGAATTCGTCAACGACGAATGGCAGTTGATCAAGGATGATTTGGTGGAAGATAATTTCCGGTCGATTCTCATGCTTAACTATAGTTTAGTGGATGCTAAAGCAGGGTATGAGTTTTTCAAGAGCTGGAAGGGGGTATTGGATGATGGGGTGACAATGACATACTGTTTGTTTTATTGTGCTAGTAATATGTAATTTATCAGTTTTTACGCCGCTCTCTGCGCCGCTATTTTTGCGCCGCTCTCTTTCCGCCACGAGAAGAGGCTCTTTCTAACTCTTTGGCACGGCGACAAATAGGTATTTCGCACTACGAAGGTGTCGCTTTTTCTTTTAATCGCCGCGAGAAGTGGCTATTTCGCACCGTCAAAACACTCTTTCACACCGCGACCAAAGGACCAAGTGCGACCAAAGGTGCGAAAGATGCCAAAAGTTATGAAGACCTTGGAGTTGGTGGAGGAGTACCTGAGACGGTATGGTCAATTAGAGGTGTTTAGACGTTCAAGGGGAGAAGTAACGAAGGAACCAAGGACCGACACCGACACCGCGTCCAAAGTCGACACGGCCACTGTTAAGGAGAAGCGAAGAAGGAAATTGAAGATTCCTTTGATGAAGATCAAGTCGGAAGATGTCGTTGTTACTGAGAGTGCCATTAAAGTGCCGTTGTCGGTGAAAAGGTTGTTGTAAATAGGAGGGTTAGGGAGAGAATGGTGCGGCGGGGGAAGATGAGTACAGTAGAACTAGTCCGAGGAGCCAGAAAAGGAGTCAGACAAGTAAGAAAAGACGACAGAAGAGGTGGCCAGGTATCGTCAGTTTATAGTGAGCAAAGCTCCTGATATGGAGTCAATAGGGTAGAAACGTTGTCTACGGTAATATATATTTAGGTTATTAGTAAGCTGGTGCGGTCATTAGGTGCCAGGGCATTGCCAGGGCAGTACCAGGGCAGTGAAAAAAGTACCAGGGTATTGGCCAGGGTAATGGAGGTGCCAGTATCGGTGCAAGCACCAACACAGGATTGGTGCAGGACACTTACAACCTCTCTCGCAAATTCCTCACAAACCCCTTATCGTAAACATTATCTATCTCCTCCATCGACTCCACCTTCACCATATCTTCAAACACAAACGTCTGAGTATTCTGCATATTAATCACCTGGTTACCCACTCGTTCAAAATACTGACTGTTCCTACGGTAAAGGGTACCAATTTCCACCAAATGTTCGATTTCTCCCCATTTATCTAGCTCATTGGTGGTAATACCAAGGTATATGTACCGAAGTTGTAACCCGGTGAACAATGCCACGATCAATGAGAACAAACTACAGAGAATAACGAAAATTCCCGTGATCTTATGAGCATCATCGGACTTCACCGCCGTCCAGAACCCTCGCCACGGCATGGCTTGCATGCACAAGTAATCCCCGTACACCAAGAAGTTGATATTGGCCACCAACCACCCCATGAAGTACTTATAGTTGTATAATCCCACACAATTATTGATCCATATACAATGGTGATCAAATAGGGCCACGCATCGGTCACAAGTGGAGCAATGCTTGGACCTAGCTGGCTTGACGAGGTCGCAGGTCGAACATATGTTATGGGAGAAGTAGATGATTTCGTTATTGACGAACTGGGAGTTAATGTAGTGAACATTATATTTGGTGATGTTACCCAGATCTGAGAACGTACTGATGAAGGTGAGGGCTACCACCAGTAGGATGGTGATGGCGATGTAGCATTGATGAAATAAGGATGTGGTGATGGTAAGGGGAAGAATGGACCAGGTTTTATGGAAGAATTGGCCCAAACAAACGGTAATCACGGTGAGGTAAAATAATGGGATGGAATAGTAAGTCCATGGGGGGATATTGACTGAACCGAGATGATTGAGGATGTAGGTGTTGAGGAGAAGGAGTTTCTGACGGGATGATTGGATGGGAGTGTTTCTGAAACTGGGGGAGTCGCCGAAGATGATGATAAAGGCTAGTAGTAGGATGGGTATTAGCCAGAGCATGAGGGAGTGAGCGAGCGCGAAGGGTTGAGATGTAGTGAGGGAGGTGGGCGGCGGAGAGTTTTTAACCTGGTGGCGGAGAGTTTTTTTAGCTGGCGCGGTGGAGAGTTTTTCTAGCTGGCGCGGTGGAGCCACTGCGCAGTATTTGAGAATTTTCCCCTGCGCAAACTTCCATCTCCCTCACTCACCGCCCTACGGTGAGCTCAGTTACGTTCGCACCACCGTCTGCTCACTCGCGCTCACTAACGTTCGCTCTCGTTCACTTACTTCGTCAACATGAACTTCGTTCAAACCCTTAATAATGAAATAGAAACCTATGAACTCCTCCTCCAGTCCATCCCATTCACCGACTATCCCACCACCATCAACTACCTCAAAATTTACAAACTCAATTATAAAGAACTCCACAAATACATGTCTTCCAACAGTTTCCCCATCGATAACTCCAAGCTCCTCAAACTCACCATAAGTCTAGGAAACCTCATAAAGTCCCTCCATTTAGACGAAGAGATGTACCGCAACCAACAGAAGAACGGCATGGCGTCCAAATTGAACGCTTTAGCCGAGTCCCCCAAACATTACATCAATTCTGTCCCCATCAATAGTCAGCCCTTATACCAGATCAAGTTCATCAAGAATTTACTCCTAATTCTCAAGAATTTCGACATAGGCTACCACCTTAAGGACCAAGCTTCGTCCACGACGTTGAACCAGTACACCAGTTCTCCCATTAAGTTGAATTCGAAGCAATTGTTGATTGAAAAGCTAGAGATTAACATCAACTTGGATACTTTATTCATCTACAAACATTTGTTGAACCTCTTGGTACGGATCTTTGACATCTTAAAGATACACCTTGGGTTCAACGACAATTACCTTATCAATTCCAACGACCGGTCGTCGATATTTCTGAGTAATTCTGTCAACTCGGGGTCTTCTGACTCGATCTCGGTGGACGAGTACTTCAGGGTGTTGAACCAGATCTTGAACCGGGTGACCAATGGGTTGGTGGAGCCGTTGTTGAAGTTCATTATGGATTTTGTGGGACAAAGTGTGAGCAGTGAGTTTGGGACACTTATCACGAGTCTTTAGCTTGTGGCCACGCCTTTACCCTACAGTGGGTTACTACGACATACTCCCAAGTACCATAACTTACCACTACTCCCATACTGTCACGCTGCCAGTATCACGCCAGTATCACGCTACCAATATCTTAATGTACACCCCTCCTACTTCGCTCTTCCGCAGTCCCTTGGTGGTAAAGATTCGTTTAGTCAGTCGCCCACTTAGTGCCCACCTGACCATCTGGGAGGTCCAGCTAGTCGACCGGCTTAACAGCTAGTCAGCCAGATAGTCAGTCAGATAATCAGCCAGGTAGTCAGCCACCTAGCCGGCCATCTAGCCAGCTAATGAGCAGGTAGTCGACCGGCTTAACAGCCGGCCAACTTACAATCCACCAGCAATTCGAGCCCAAATGATCTTACTCACTCTTCGCCCTAAAATCTTCCCTATCAACGGCACAATAATCCAATTCACAAGCCCATTGATCTGTTTCATACTCTCTTCCCATTGTTCTTGAGCACTTAAGCCGTATTCTGACTCGTAGTCACTGAACTCTTCTTCTGTTTCCATGTTGAGGTTTTTCGCGACTTTTTTCCTTCAGTTCTGCCTGATTTTTTCTCCCTTCTCACTAATTTTACCCACCTTGTCGCTAATTTACCACGACTCTCACTAAATAGGTCCATGTTGTCGCCAACTCTCACTCCCGCACCTCATCAACCCTCAACCTCACCTCATCTCATGTTAAAAACCATGGCTGAAAAGATCATTAAAGAAGGTAAAGCCGAGATCCTCGCCGGGGATAAGGTCTTCTACAACCATATCCAACAGTTCAATCGTGATTTGTCAGTAATGGTGATAAGAAGCTGGCACGAACTTTACCACGATCATTTCAAATCCAGGAAGAGAAATCATGAACAGACTGAACCTGCAAACGCTCCTTATATCAATATCCTCGAAGCTTTAAGTGCTACTGGTCTTAGGTCCATCAGATACGCCCGTGAATTGGACCATGTCAACAAAATCGTCGCTAATGATCTCCTTGCTGATGCGGTGAAGCTCATCAATGAAAACATCCAATACAACAACTTATCCGATAAGTTAGTGGCTAACCATGGAGATGCTATTAAATATATGGGATCCACAAACACAAAGTTCCATGTTGTGGATTTAGATCCCTACGGTACTGCCATGCCGTTCATCGATAGTGCCATTCAATGTATAAAAGATGAAGGGATCTTATTGGTCACCTGTACCGATGCTGGGGTATTGGCTGGTTCAGGGTACCCTGAAAAGTGTTTCTCGTTATACGGGGGTAACAATTTTGGTGGGTCGATGATGGGTAGTGAAAGTAATCATGAAGTTGGAATCCGATTGATTTTGAATTCAATTGCCCAGATCGCTAGTAAGTACAAAAAGTCCATTGAACCATTGTTATCGTTATCTATTGATTATTACTTCCGTTTGATTATTAAAGTTCGTACCAGCGCCATCGAAGTGAAAGAATTGGCCTCTACCACCATGATGACTTATCATTGTGCGGGATGTGGTGACAAGATCAACCAATATTTAGGCCGTAAACTGGCAGAAAAGGGCAAGGGGAAGTATCAATATCCTCGTGTGGTTCTCCCAGCAAGTGAATGTCAATATTGTGAAAGTGCTTTCCATTTAGCTGGTCCCATGTATGGAGGGATCATCCATAATAAGAACTTCATCGAGAAAGTATTGGAAATCAACGCCAAATCTGACCCTGAAGTTTATCAAACCACAGAAAGGATCAAGGGGATGCTTACACTTGCGTTGAACGAATTGGAAACCCCATCATATTTCAATTTGAACCAATTATCGTCATTTTTCAAAGCTCCGCCTATCTCCATCCATCAATTCTGTAATGCCATTGGGTCCTTAGGGTACAAAGTGTCATTGACCCATGCTAAGAAGAATTGTGTGAAGACCAATGCTCCATGGGAGGTCATTTTACAGGTCAACAAACAATGGTTAAAGAAATGTAACCTCCAATTGATCGAAGACTTTGATAACGGTAAGGTCAATAAGACAGACAAGGTGATAGAGAAGATCAACAAGTTGAGGGAGAACCCCGAGATGAGTTCCAATTTGACCGAGGGAATGATTGGGTACAAGATCTTGAAGAATTTGAAGGGAGAGTTGACGGTTGATTTTGATACGGAGAATGAAGAGAGTATGAAGATTAAGAAGTTGAGGGGGTTGAAGATGGTGAGGTTTCAGGAGAATCCGAAGAACTGGGGGCCCAAGGCCAGGCCGAAGTGATCTGGTGGCCGAAGGACGCCAGATTTATTATCTGTTCACCACCTCCTGTAGGTGTCTGAGTCATTAGCTCCACCTCCTGGTCCAATGCCTTTTCCAGCCGTTTCATCTAACAAACAGTATCTAATATAAGACAATTTACTCTTTTTATATCGTCCGACCGCAAGGTGACGTCCCGGGCAGTCAGTGGCGGCCTGGTCACTCTTTGACGTCCTGGGAACCCAATCACTACCACACTCAGTTACACAGGACTCTTATTCGAACTTGTTTCAGATTCGTTTTATATCTGTTTCATGTTGAATCTGAAACAAATCTGAAACATCTTAGGGGTGGTAGATAGGGCAGTTGAAATGGTGGTAAAAAGAGTTGGAATGGGGAGAGAGGCAGAGAGGGGGGTTGTTGGGGAGAAGAGCAATACAGGACAGGGATAGATGAGGGCAGGGAGCAGGGCAGGGAGCAGGGCAGGGAGCAGGGGAGGGAGAAGAGAAGGAGAAAATGGGAGAATAAAGTAGAGAGCAGAGGCGTGAGGAGTAGAGCAGAGAAAAAGCTTCACAACCCGTACACTAATAACTATATCTAAAATTTAAATTTTGTTTATCGGTCAAATCCAAGAATTCAACGTTTTCCACCTCTAATTTATCACCTCTCTTATCTCTTTGTTTATTTTCCCAAGCATAAGATGCCCATAAAGCCACTAAAAGTACAATTGAAAGGGCAGCACATGCAGCAATGGAATTAAGAGCTGTGTGATAAGTTGGAGCTTCCTTAGCTAAGAAAGTTTGAGATCCTGCTAAATTACCCACACAATATCCCACTAATAACATAATAAACACTGTGGATTGTTTAGTTGAACCCAAAACATTGGTTTGAACCGTTGATAACATTACAATGAATGATAAAGGTGCCAAAAATTGCATACAATACCCAGCAAATCTAGCTTGTTTATCACCAGCAAAACATAACATGAACATCCCTGTTACTGCAAGACATTGACCTACAGTAGCCCAGAAAAATCTCGATTTATAATACATACTGAAAGAAGCAATCACTATAAGTCCTACAAATTCAACAGCTCCACCAATGGTTTGTAATAATAATGATTGTTGAACAGTATAACCGAAAGTTTCATTCATTAAGATGGAACCAAAGTTAGTGATCCCTCCATTAGGAATATTACCCACAAATGTGGAAGCAAAGATAATCCAACTTCTATAATCAGTTAAAGCTTCGATAATTTGAGCTTTCTTAATGTGATGGTTACCAAAACCTTGTTGATTACCTCTAATTCTTTCCACAATCAATTTCTTCTCGATATCAGTCAAAAACCAAGCATGAGCTGGAGAGTTAGGTAAATGGAAGAACATTACCACCCCGAAAACGAAGGTTAAAACCCCAGAAATGATGAAAATTAATTTCCATGGTGCTATGGACATGGAATCTTTATGAACATCAATCCCATAAGCAATGAAAGATCCTAAGATATAACCAAGACCATTCCCACTGAACCAAATGGCAGTTCTGAAAAATGTCTCATCTTTACGGTACCATTGTCTGGTGATCATACTGAACCCTGGAGTGATAGAACTTTCGAAAACTCCCAACATAACTCTTAAAAACATAAAACCTCCAACATTAGCAACTGAATGTAATGCCAAAATCACTCCCCAAACCATAACAAATCCACTCAATGTCTTTGCTAATGGTAATTTTTGTAACACATAACTGATAGGGAATTCGGCGAAAAGATATCCAAGATAAAACGCCGACCCGGTCCAGGAATAAATTTGACCTGTCATATTCAAATCGGTTCTTAATCCTAAGATAGAACTGAAGGAATTACTTAATTTATCCATGAATTGAAGACAATATAATGTTACCATAATAGGTAAAAGATACATATCAGTCTTACGTTTCAATTTTTTTTCAACTTCTGGAGTCAATTCGATGATATCTCCATCAGCCAAACCAAGTTTCATGATTTCATCACCTCCATCAAGTTTAATGATCTTACCATTAATCTGAATTTGATGTTCATTGAAATCTTCAATCGATTTGATACTGGTGATAGCTTCAGGTTTATCCTTACTAGGAACTGAAGTAATGGTCTTTTCTGGATCACTCATAGTTTTGAATTAGAGTTTTTCAAAGGATCTATTGTTTCTATATATCGTTGGAATGTGAAAAAAACCTTATCAGTTTATCAGTGGGCCGATGAAAAAGTCGCTTAATCGGGAAAGTTCAATGTAACATGGATGTGTGGCTGAAAACCATATTGTTATCTCGGGATTTTAAGGTTTTCTCCCGATGTTTCACATTTCTATCGACATCGGTGGTATATTAACCTAGATCTTTGACTACTTAAACAGTTGGTTTCAACCAAACACTTGTGGGAGCTTTGTCCGTTTAAGTCCATTAAGCGTCTTGGTGTCACAAGAGATGCGCTTATTGACAGGGATCCGCGTTCCATTTTGGGTAGCGCATTTAAGATAAGCAATGAACTTTGTGATTCGTCGGAAAACCATTGTTACTTGACCTGATAAGTGGCACATAGGTAGCCAAGAGGATCTGACGATAGGCAACGGGAAAGTTGGGGGAAATATCCATGGCCCCACACATGTGGGGAGATTTGGTGAGATTTGGTGAGATTTGGTGGGATTTGTTGGTGAGATACGGTGGAGGATAAGTTCGGGAATTCGAGGGATATAACCGGGGCGATTCAGGATCAGTGTTATCGTGTTATCAGTTAGTGGCCGGAATGAGCGATTGAGAGGTATCAGTAAGATAGTGTTTCCACGGGAATTCAAAGGCTTATCAGGCCATGGTTTAAGCGGAAGCAAAAGTGGAACCAGGCTATTGGGCTATTACAAGGGCAGGCCATTACGAGGGATAAGGACATAACCTGATAATTAAAGGGACATAACCTGATAATTACACCGACATAAGACACAGGAGCATAGGACAGTATCCTTATTGACATAGGACAATGTCCTTATTGACAGAGGCTTCCATCAATCAGAGACACAGAGGCTTATCAGTCAAACAAACAGAGTCGGGCATAGAACTTGACCGGACTTATCAGAATAAGGTTTTAGCAACGGTTTGTCTGGGCATTTCTCACCGTATCAGTGTGGGCACTTGTCAACCGTTTTATAAACCGTCTGACCGTCTGCCCGTCTGACCGTCCCACTGACCGTGTTGACCGGATACACAGAGATACGACAGAGACACAGAGATACAACAGACATACACTGAAGGCACCATTTATTCTCGCTTCTCTTTAACTCTCCTCATTCTCGCTTCTCTTTAACTCTCCTCATTCTCGCTTCTCTTTAACTCTCCTCATTCTCGCTTCTCCTTAACTCCCTCCACACTCTCCTTCATCTTCTCCTTATGAACGTTGAAAATCTCGTTGATCTCATTAACAAAATTCCCATAAGCTTGTTTCAAATCCTTCCCATCATCATCCTTGAAACTGTTCCATGCTTGAGATAACTCTTCCAATTCTTCACTGATTTCTTCCTTATCCAACTTCTCCAAATCGTCTAACGAAGGTAATCCTAGGGTTGGGGCATACACTAAATCTCTATCTTTGGAGATATAAGAACTCAAAGCTTTAACCACTCTTTCAGATTCTACTCTATTGAACCCTTTAGGTCTAACAGTGGTATCTTGAGACATATGATACTGAGCAATGAACTTCGATACTTTCTTACCATAAGGACCTCTGAATGCAAAGAACACGGTAAAGATCCCTACTGGTACCCAGAAGTATACTGTGGTCCATACATAGATGGATTTTTTGAAATCAAGAATATTGAACGGTTGTACTACAAATCCAAAGGCTAATTGATTTATCACATAACCAACAAAATCATATACCGGCTTAGATTTGGCCTTATTACCATCTTTATCAATGAAAATCGGTCTAAAGTTCCTACGGAAGATCTTACCCACAGTTTGTAACAAAGCTCCCACTAAAAATGTCAAATAATATCCCGGTCTGGTTCCATGCCAGAAAGCACTGGTTGCGAACGTTGCTACGGTACTTTTAAAACCAGGCTTTTTCCCCTTACGGGCCAATCTGAGGTAAACGAAATTCTTTAACCATTTGTTAGTGTTCATATTCCAAGCTTCCAAGCAAACATGAACATTCTGACCAGTTTCAAATACTAAAGGATTGATGTTTCTAACCCTATCCCATTTGAACTTATCCCTAAGTGAGTCATAGCCATTATACCCAATACCACATAAAATACATGCTCCTTCGGCAATGGTCCAAATACAGTAATACTTCAATCTGAGGAAGAACCCAACTATCCACATATAGAAGATTCTATAGATAAATCCATGACTTACGTATTCCTTACTGAACATATGATCAGGGGAAACGTAGTTAGGGAGGATAACAAACAAAGCTGCCCATGAAAACCCTTGTAAGAGTCTCTTTGTGGCAACTTTACCACTTCTAGGGATTCTTCTTTTAGCTTTACCTGGTCTTCTACTTTCAGGAACATCTTCAAACAATGTATTATGCACAAAACGGTCATAATCAGCATAATCGAACGCTGGACCAGTTAAAAGTGATGCAAAGAAGAAACAGTAACCCAAATAAGGTAATAAGTTAGGATGTTTGGGGATTATACGAGACCTCGTATAGCTGGTTAATTGGTCAGATGGTTGTTTGGCATCATAAACGCTCCAACCAAAAGCCGATAACTTCATCACCATCACCATTAATGCCCCAGTGATATCAATGGTAGTGGGATCATATACTTGGAAGAATTGTTCCCTAACATGGTGATAACTAAGGTATAACATAAGGAACACAAAGTTAATCCAAGGCATTGACTTGGCCGTGACATACCTGGTAATGAAATACGACCCCAAAGCTGCTAAAAGTAACGATACAAGTCCCAGGTATAATTCCAAGATCCCAAAGATGTAGAACGATGAGATGGTGACAATATAACCATTCTTCAACGTATAATTTTGGTCCGGTAACCTTTTGAAGATGGCGGAAAACGGATAGGATAACAACGAACAGGTGAGGATTCTGATGTTAGCTGGGTCCAATCCAGACACCTCCAGGAGGTGATTGATAGGGATTTGGATGATATTGACCATTGTTGCGATTGAGTGAGAGTGCGCGGATTTAGGAGAGGTGAGTGGGGGTTGGGTTAGGAAGGGTTCTGAAAAGAGAGGGTTTCATTAAGAAGGGTTTTTAATGATGTTGGCTGGTGTTGGGTGCCACCAAGGGAAGCAGTGGCTCATGAGAGTAGACTACTTTAATATACATTTGACCATATATCTGAATCTGACACATCTGAATCTGACCACACATCTGAATTTGACCACACATCTGAACCTGACCACACATCTGGAACCTGGGCTCAAGTCACCAACTTAAACCCTTCCTCCAATGCCTTAGTGATATTTTCATTCTTATAAGGAATCGACTGTAACACAAAGGCAATGTCGTCCCATTGATCACCAGTTTGACTTTTGTTCAATCTCACCAATAACTTCTCACTCAACTGTTTCTGGTGTTTCTCCTTCTCGATGAATCCCACCAAAAACTTCACTATACGTTTCATTGATTCCTTGTCCAACGATTTGTCCGACGACAACCCACTAAAGATATCGATGAACCCGTTATAAATGGCATTATCTTTAGTGGCCAATTCCGTGAAGAATAATCTACACATATCACTCATTCCTTGGTCTTCATTTTCAAGACATTTGGCCATAGATGAAAGTTGTCCTTTAACTTTGACTTGCCCGGCAAGAATTAAGAACGTCACTGTCATCAAACAAGTTCTTTGTACCATTATATTATCATCAGTCAATCTACGGTATAAGAAATCAGTATTTTCGTCCACCAAGTTATTGAAACATACTGCCATGTCTCCTAAACCTAACACACAATTGGACCTAATGATAGGATCAGGAGATTTCTCCATGACAGTGATAAGGAGAGGAAGATTCTGTTCACAGAACTTGGATGAAATACACATTAACTTCACCATACAAAGTACAGCTGACCGTTGAAGGATGATATTATCATAGGTCTTACTATTACTGATAATCTCCCTAACTACGGGTCCAAATCTCGTCAATAAGGCATTATCGCCGAATAAAATCTCTTTTTCTTTGATATAAATCACCGCATCGGTGAAATCATCTTCGGTAGTTCCACCAATCATCTCCAATTCATTCTCTTCATCTTCTTCATTATCCTTTTTGTGTTCACTTTCATGTTTCTTCTTCTTGAAGAAAGTTTCAAGTTTTTCAAGGAACACAATCGTCTTGATGGCCACATGACCTACCATGAACAAAAGCTGGGATAAGGAGTTAATGTCGTCGTTTTGAAACACCGATTTTGATCTTTGTTTAATGACATCGGAACAAATGGCATCAGGAGAACCAGAGACTTTGAAAATCGCCGAAATAGCTTGTTCGGCCACTCCGTACCACGAAGGATCATCATTATCGGTTAATAAGATCACTTTCAACTTATCTATGATCTCATCTTCTCGTTCAACTTTGTGAAACATCGTATCTTTACTCTTTGACACGGTGGGTACGGTTCTCTGAAGGGCAATACAAGTATACTTACACAATTCTGAATCATCAAATTGGTCAATATTAAGACCAGTATTCAAAAGAAGATCTAAACCTTTCAATACTACGGTATTATCGGCTATAGCCATCATTCCTAGGACGATAATGGCCCCACGACGTTGGGATTTCGACGATTCTACTTGTTCTTCGGTTAACAGATCAGTTTTATGACCATAAATTTGCCATAAAATAGTTATCACGTCACGTGATATCAAATTTTCTGAATACATTAAACAAATCAATTTTTCAAACGATGCTAAATCAGCTAATGAAGAAGTTAGGGTGATATTGATCAAATTCTTAGCAATATATGAAGCCTTTTGTGTAACGGTAGCATCTGAAGGTGCTGATAAGAAAAGTTCTCGATAACAATCGATTAAATGAGAAGCTATGGATTTCCCTTCATCAGAAGAACCTTTCATCCAGACTAAATGAAGCATTCTACGGATCCCATCGCTGGAATTTTCAATACCGTAGGCATCAGCAAGGACAAGGAAATCCATAGATTCAAGAACTTCGTTTCTGTTTTTGGAAAAAAGAAGATTGGAAATGGTTTCGGTACCTTTATGGATGACTTTGATGAAATTGACGGCATCGTGGTAGTACTGAGCACTGAGTTTAGCTTTAAGCATTGCGTTTGTGTCTGTAGGTATTTGTTGTTCTTGTTCTTCTTGTTGTTGTTCTTGTTGTTGTTCTTGTTCTGGCAGGTCTTCTTCTTCTTCTTCTGGCTCTCGCTCTTCCTGCTCTCGCTCTTCCTGTGGCTCATCAACTTCCATGGCATCTTCATCTTCAACTCTTTCCCTCTCCTCCATCCATTGCTCAAACTGTTCAGCCGGTAAATACTCTTCCAAAATCTTATTAGCTTCTTCTGATCTCTCCATCCATTTACTCAATCCAAGCTGCGTACCATGGACGGTAGCAAACGGATGGTTCAATACCAACTTTGCCATGAACTTTATACCATTCCTCCTCACCAAAGTACTTCTATCGTCCAAAGACCTTACTGCCAATAACATAAATATCTGTTTTCTCTTGGTGAACTTGACATTCAACGAGCAGATCTTATTCAATGCCTGAATGGCTTTGGTCCTAACATAAGGATTCTGATCTAAAAGCCTTTCTTGTAAAAGATCAATCAAACTTTCAATATGTTGTTGATTTTGTCCTTCTCTTCTTTCGTCGTTTAGCTCGTTTAGCTCATGATTCAGGTTTTCATCAGTATAAGAACCATCAGATTTAATGATATCTACCACGATATTCCCACAAGATTCTACCACTGAACATCTCAAAGTTTGATTGGAATTATCTAAAAGTTGAGCTATTGAAGCCATTTGTTTAAGGAGTAATCTGGGACTAAGTTGGGATAAGTTGACCAAAAAATCAGATATGGACTTGGGACCAGTGTTATCGTTGGAATCAAACCGTATAGATGAAACTTCACGTAAAACTTCTTCAGTTAACACACCATAATCGAATTTGGAATCAAGAAGATATAGTAATTCCGCCATAAATGGTGGTAAATGGATGAAATAAGTCAACGATTGAATTATGGAGTTCTGAACCGTACTGGAATGCTGATGGTTCTTCACCATCAAACAAACACAACGGAACATGACGGTTTTCAAAGGAACTGATTTCATCCGTTCAGGAGTTTCCATGAGATGAAAGATAGGACGATTGAATAATTCCATAAAAGCCGTACGTTCTGGGGTGGTGACAAAGATCTTGGATAATTCTAACTCCAAACATTCCTGGGAACAATCTAAAAGGTCCTGAACTTTACCACAATTATTCTTCCATGTAGCCATCAAGGTCTTATTCTTAGTTCTTGATGCCAAACCACTGAAATCTTCTTTACCGAGGATAGTAAAGAGTACAAACACAAGGTATCCGAACTTCTCTAAGCTGGCCTTGATCTGGGGAATAGTATCGATGAATTCACCTGATTCAATTGATGCTTTGGTGGTCATACAAATGGTTTTGAAAGATGATGCCACCAAATATGTCAATTGTTTCTGGGAATTGGATTCTAGACCTTTGAACCCATGACAAACGTCAAGAAGTTCTTCAAACACTTCAGGGTCGTGGATAGTTTCTGGATCATTGGCTAAACTGTTAGTGATGGTATCAACTCTTGAACTTGAGATGGCTTCATCGGGGATTTTTTCCACATCAAAACTGTTGAAATATTTCGTCAACGAGAACGTTTCCATTATATGTCAATCAGGTTTGTCTAGATTTCGTCTACGGATGTCTGTGTATACACAATGATATAGATCAGTGTGTTTTGTTTATCTACCGCGAAGAATGGAGAGAGCGCGCAGGGGTCGTGTGGAAGGGGAGAAAGTCCTCATAAATAGTTAAGTATGGGTGTACGGAGGTAGACCGCAAAAGTATGCATTAAAAGTGGTGTACCGGCCTATATATTTCAATCTCTTAATTTAGAATAACCTTTAAGAAGAGCTTTATCTACACCAATTCTTTCATTTTCAATGGCTGATAAAAGATCTTTCATAGTAACAGATTGTCCCGTACGGATCTCTCGGTAACGTAAACCATTTTCCCCTCTAGCAGTCATTATATGAGATTTTTTCGATGAAGGGTCTTCTTTTGTAGTAGGAGCATTAGAATTACCTGAACCTGCAGACATCCAGCTATATTTCTTTCGTGAAGGATTCATACTCATCATAGCAGCTGTAGCATTGGCAGCTCTATGTAAAGATTCTTCTGCCCCTCCTTTTTCTTTCTTACTTCCATCATCATTTTTCTCTAGACCTAAAGCCATTCTACGATTAACTCTTTGTTCTTCAAGTTCCTTTTGTTTCAAAGCAATATTCCTCAATTCTTTAGATAATTCCGATCTTTGTATGGCTGAAGGTTTCTTATTAACATTAGGGATCCCCTTTTGTCTATGACGAGACATTATCAATGTCTTGGTGATGATATCAGACATCCATCGTTCACACAGTACCGACATTAGTTCCAATAATTCGCTATCTGATAAGAAATTCTGTATAATCCCGTTATCCCGGGAGATTCTTGACATAAAAGTGGATATTTGATAAGGGTTAAGGAAGTTAGTCACACGGACTTGATTAGTTTGATAAGTGGCCAATCTTCGGTTTTTGTGTAAATATTCTTCTTCATGTTGAATGTCCACCCCAGCAGCTGCTAAGGCATCGTTAAGTTTAGTTGGGTCATTACTATAAAGATCTTTGGTCTTGGATTGAGATTGAGGTTGTGGTGGTGGAGGTGGTTGAATATTTGATTGGGATGGTGGCATTTGTGGAGGTTGTGGATGTCCCAATTGACTGGGTTGATACATTCGTTCAGGTAATGGAGTGTTGGATCGACTATAAGCCGGAGGAGTGGCAATATTCTGGTCTATGGAATCTAACAAATCATCAGGTAAGTCATTAAAATCAAGTTTATCATTCAGTTGGTTTAAAAGGGCATTCAATTCATCATCCAAGAGTCCATCACTTGGCTCTAACTTCGGCCTCTTGCTATCGTTATCACCTTCAGCACTAGCACTTCGTTTATTATTATCCATTTGCCGCTAACGTTGTGGTTGAAACTTTTTGTTTTTGTGGATTGTTGAGGTTCACAAAAAAAACCTCGGTCGTGGCGTCACCTGGTGCGAAAAAAAAAAAAATCTGTGAGCAGAGCATCTCTCAATCAATAGATTTTCATTCAAATTATAGATCATTAAGGAGAGGGAGATATGTCAGCAGCAAAGAAGATAGAGAGTATAACGTTTGAATCATCAAGGAATTTCAGGTTTCGTTTAGTACTTTCAACATTATCAGGAACTCCAATTAAAATCACCAAAATCAGATCAAATGAATTGAATCCTGGGTTATCAAGTTATGAATATTCTTTCTTAAGATTATTAGATTCCGTGACTAATGGTACTCACTTAGAGATCAGTTACACCGGTACCACCGTTACCTATAGACCAGGGATCATTACGGGGGGAGAAATCACCCATAATTGTGATAAAGGTAAACCTATTGGATATTACCTCGAACCAATGTTATTGTTGGCACCATTTTCTAAGAAGAAATTCTCCATTATTTTCAAAGGTATGACCAGTTTAGGGTCTAATGATACTTCTGTGGATAGTTTGAAATGGGGAGTATTACCATTGATGGATAAATTCGGAGTAAGAGATGTTTCCATACATATATTAAAGAGAGGAGCCCCACCTTTGGGAGGAGGTGAAGTTCATTTATTATGTAACTCCTTAATACCTCAACCTTTAACTTTACATGCATTAGAAGCTTCGAAAATATCGGCTATAAGAGGAGTGGCCCATTGTGCTAGAGTGTCACCATCTATAGTTAATAGAATGATTGATACCGCAAGAAATATTTTACGTCCAACAGGTGTAGAAGTTAACATATCAGCCGATGTTTGGAGAGGAGAAAATAGTGGGAAATCCCCAGGGTTCGGTATAACATTAGTAGCTGAACTGAAAAAAGGATGGAGAATTTATACCGATGGGGTAGGAACTCCCGGAGCATTACCTGAAGATGTGGCTGAAAAGGTAGCTTATAATTTACTTTATGATTTAAAGACCAGTTGTGTGGTTGGTAAAAATCAATTACAAATGGCTCTTTGTTTTATGACCATCGGTAAAGAAGATGTAGGAAGATTATTAATCAATAAAGAACAAATCGATGAACAATTATTCTTTGATTTGAATGATATAAAGAAGATTTTCGGTACGGAAGCCTTCTTAAAACCCGAAGATTCAGATTTCTTACTTTCAATCAAAGGAGTTGGGTTTACTAATGCATCGAAGAAAATTGCCTAATCGGGCGATTTCCTTTTTGGGAAGTTTTTTTTTTTGGGACATTTCATATATTAAATACACATTACCAGAACACTTACAGAACAAGCACATCTACCAGAACGAACACCAACCGATGAAATGTTGACATAAATTTTCTACACTGGTAGCTTGTTGAATAAGTTTATCTACTTGAGTAGGAACATTCAATCCTTTCAAACGACGGATATCATTACCTGTTAACTTATCGGTGATTCTCTTCAACACCAAAGCAGCTCTAGCATTTCTTATTTCTAATTCATTTCTCTTATTAAGTTTCACCGCTTCTTCTTCATTGATTTGACCATTACGGAGTAATTCGGCGACATTAACTTGATTAACTCTAATACCAGTAGCTTCAGCCACCGCTTTAGTAGGGAAATCGAACCCCCAATTGATCAAAGGATCATAAGCAAAAGCTTCTAAGATAGCCATCAAAGATTCTTTGTTATCTCTTAATACTCTCATTACATGTTCACAAGTAATTCTGAAAGATCCTTCAATACCACTAACTTCCATAGCATAGTTTAACATTCTGGTTAATCTGAACGGTACCTTTTCAGGGTATTTCTCTCTTAAGATGGCGGCTTCGAAACAATCACCGAAATCAATATGAACCACTTTCCCGGTATTTCTGTTCAACATCAAATTAGAAGGATGACGATCTCCTAAACCAAGAATATATCCTACCATCGACATCACCGCCAATGATCTGGTATAAGTAGTACGACGATCCAACCAAGCTTCGGAGGATTTGGATTTCAACCATAATACCTTATATAAATCTTGACCTCGGGTATTATCAAGAGCTCCAGTAAATACTTCCACCTTCTGTAATAATGTCAAACTATCATAATCAGGAGCCATTTGTAACATTATTCTGTGTTCAATGTTCAATAAGATCTTTCTTGATTCCCTATATTCTCTGATTAATACATGGAAAGTATCACTGTTAGGCACCCAACCCAAAAGACCGACTTTTGGTGATAATGGGATACAGGAGTATCGTTGAATATCCAAATGACGTTTGAAACATTCAGGATCATTGACCAATAACGTATTAACCAATCCAAACAATTGCATAACAAGATTATCTTGCCTAATATCTTCATGACCTTTCAAAAGGAAGTAATAGTCCTTACCATCACTTCCACGGATAAGTAATTTCCTTGGTCTTTGTTTGGAGGAGATAATGGCGATGGTGGGGTCTATTTTAGCAATTTTTACTACTGGTTTACCGGCCTCTGCTGTACCAGGGACAGCTAATTCCAAATCAATGGCTACTTCCAATTTAGGCGATACATATTGAAGTTCTAATGATGATAATTGAGGTAATTGTCTACTAATACGACGGAAAACGTTATAATAGATATCCCAAGCTTGGTTCAAATTGGTGATATCCTTAGTACGACGATAATTAATCACCCATTCATAAGCATCGGCCAATTCTCTACCAAAAGCATTGGCAAATGATGATTCTCTCATGGTTTCAGGTCCTTTTTGTAACATAATATGAAGAGGTTCAAGAACTTCAAACATCTTATCGGTATTATGTTCACCAAAGAATAATCTGGAAGCATCTTCAAGACCTTCATACCATTGTTCGTGCCATAATACCGCGATACGGATCAATTCCGAACTAACAAGTTCTGATTGTTCCACCAATACTGGTGAATGCATGCGTAACTTCTCAATAATCGACAAAGCAGCTTTCTTCCTACTGATACTTTCGGATTTTACTGCCACAGCTAATGGATAAACCAAAGCTTGGGGATGAGCTTTACCTAAATCACTCAATAATCCAAACAATGACCTACTAACCACTTGATTAGGTTGATGGATACGAGAAATCAATTGAGGGATGACTTCTAGCCAATTATCGATCTTGATCATATTGAATCCTTCAGTCATGGCTTGAGCAGCTTCAGGAATACCTCCAAAATTGAACCATAGAGTGAGTAATCTTAAGGTATCCTGGAGGGAATTGGAATTGGAGAGGGCGATGGAATGGAAGAATCCTTTGATTGAAGGTACCACATGTCTTTGTACCGCTTCCATAGGGATGGTTGTATGGAGTTGATTATCCGAATCTTCACTTCGAGTAACGGAAGTTCCTGAAGTTGCTGAGACAATGGATCCAGAAGCTAATGCCGGTCCAGCTAATGCTGAGCCAGCTGCTGTAGAGTCAGCCACTGCTGAGCCCGAAGTTCCTGAATCAGTTCCAGCTCCTGAGTCAACAGGTTCACTGGCAGCCCCTGAACCAAGAGAACCATCTCCGGTTACACCACCATTACTCTGAGTGAAAGATGAAACTACCTCAAAATTAGCCAATGCCCAATTATGCCATGCCTTATACCATTTATCATCAAAATGAGTGGCCAACAAGTAAGCTCCCAAGATAATCTCTGAAGTCTCATTCTTCCAATTACTATTCAAAGCTATTTGCCATTCTCCTTGTTTCAAGAAACATCTAGCAAGTAACTTTGTGTAATCTTCCACATGTTTAGGTATACCTGGACCTTCTGAAGGTAAAGGTTGAGTGATCAAATCATTAGGATTAAGACCAAGATCTTGAGACATTCTAGTAGTGAAATCTACCAAATGATGGAGAGCTTCTCTCTGTTGACCTTTGGCCCACATATACTTCAATTGAGCATAAACCACCTGTGGAGGAGCTCTTGAAGGGTTTTCTGGTGATCCTTCTTCCAATAATGAGTTTAAGGATTTCTCTGCTAAATTTAACCGTCCAGATTTCCTACAAAGGTTAGCAAATTTAATCCACATCTCCATATCTTGCTTGGGCTTGATCACTAAAGCTCTAACTTTCAACATTCTTTGCCAAATATCAACATTTCTTTGACATCCCAATAATCTCGTATTCCAAGTCTTCCTCATAACTGACCTTTTATCTGATCCTTGAGGTAAACATTTATATTTGATGATTTCTTCTAGTTCGGCCAACATTTGAACTCTCACCACCACTCCATAAGCTCTGTTATAACTTTCACTGACCAAGGCGGTGATTTCGGTTACTAACAAATCTCTAGCTTTCAAAATATGATTAGAAGCATCTTCAAAGTTATTTCTGTGTAAACTCAAGATAGCGTTAAAGAAAGCTCTATCAGGAGATTCCAGTTTCATTACTTGGATATAATCATCCATTCTATCCCATTGACCTAACCCCCAGGCCGCAGCTGCTGCTAAGGGAGAGATTCCTCGTTTGATATCACTGGTGGAATTATTCCATTTACTTTGAGCCAATTCCGATAATTGTTCCCATTCTCCTAAAGCATGAAGACATCTCATCTTCCCCATAGTGATTTCCATATTATCGGGTTCATTCTTCTCACGATCATTATACGCTCTTAAAGCATCGTCCCACCGTTGTAACTTCTCAAACCAGGTCTCTTTCAATTGTAAGTCGTGATGGAGTTGAGCATGTTTCAAGATCCCTACCGCAGCATCTGATTGTTGTAATTGATTGTTTATAGTAATCAATGATTCAATGGTAGGAGTAGTTGGTTCTTCATAGAATTCAAGTTCTTTATAATGTAAGGATTTGGCATAAGCATGACATCTTTGAGCATATTGACCTAAAGTGGTGATAGCTATAGGTAAGGATTTATCGTCATGTTCCATGAACTCTGCCAAATTCAAGAGAATTTGATGAATCTCTGGAGGATTATTTGGTGATGATAACGCAATACATAAGGATTCTACCAATTCTTCTTGGTTCTGGGAATAAAGTTCGTTCCAACAACTGGCAAAACTGGCATTAAATAAATCTTTGGCTAAAGGATAATAATCTGTGGCCAAAGGTGCACAAGCTCGGATGGCATGCGATGGACTATGACGTAATAATTCTTTACTTAACTTTGAAATCCATTCCGACCAATCTTCTCTGGTTCGATGTTGACTTGGATCCCATACTGATTTCAACGTTGCTTGGTTGAACGCCAATTTCTTAAGGGAAATATCGTTAGGGATATCGAAATGACTCATTACCACCTCATAATCCTTATAAATGTTGAGGTTGGCAGGTAAAGGTTCACCGTTCATGAGTTTACTGACAAGTTGATCGAAGTTCCCTCCCAGGATTTTCTTTTCATGAAGTACTTTCTTGATGGAAGGAATAAATACCGTGAATTCTGATCCCAATTGAAGAAGGAGGTATGACATGGTGTTCAAGATAACTCCTTTGAGTTCATCACCATCATTTTTCAATACTCTGATCAATGGATGAATGATTCTAGAAGCCATATCATTAAGAAGGACGTTTTTGGAAAGTCTTCCTATAGTTTCAATGGCAGCTTTTCTAAGTAACAATGGACCACTTTCAAACATTTTCACCACACTGGGGATGATTATATGAACATAATCTTCAATATTACTACCAAAGATGACGAAAGATTTCAACACATGAAGAGTGGTTTCCCTTTTAGGCGATTTGTCTTGATCGAAAACGTTCAAAAGTAACGTCAACACTTCAGGTAAGTGCATTTTGAACTCTCCGTCCAATGCCCGGGATATGGATTCTATCAAATTGATGATAATCACGGCAATGTTGTTTTCATCATTGATGGAGAAGAATTTCTGGATCACGGCGAAAATCTCCGGTAAGAAAGGTCTTATATGTTGTTTAACTATGAGAATCAAAGCTCCAAGTTGTTGGAAATAGAATTTCTTCATAGCTGGTTCACATGAATCCATAACGTTGATAATCCCAGGAATGATTTGAGGAAGGAACGATACACAACGAAGTCCTAAGGTTTGAAAGATATACATAATGGCTTGAATCACCTTACTATGATGAATTTTCAACGAAGGATCTTTCAAAATCTTCATGAGATTGGTTATAGCTACGGTGGGATAATATTCATCATTAGATGGAGACATCCCTTGCATCAATAAAGCTACGTCGATGGGAGGAGCATTTTGTTCGGAAGAAATCGATTTCGAATTTTGTTCAACTTCACGATGTTTATAAGGATCTAAAGCTCCAAGAATACCCAACAACCTCACGGTTTCACGTCTGATGGTGGGAGAAGCTTCCAGTTTCAAAATATTCACCAACATCCCTAATAATTGAGGATAATCCAATAATGGCTGGATGACATAACCTGACGAACTAGCCAATTGACCAAGGGTTCTCAAGGCAGCATCTCTTTTATAAGAAGAACTTTGATCCTGGAAAGTATCAATGATTAATGGCATCAATTCGGGGATAAACGGTTTTAAGTCTTCACCACCAACAATAGCCAATTCACCCAAACATTTGATAGCACTAGCAGCCACGGATGATCTAGGATCTTTAGCTTTAGGGAGAAGTGCCTCTACGATAGGTTTAACGTAAGGTTTAGTCAAATCTTTAGAACTGGCTATTAATAATGATAATAAGATAGCACTCTCTTCTTTCTTCCTACTGGCAGTGGAATAATCAAGTCTGGACAATAATTGAATTAAAGTTTTCCTTAATGACGGTACTATGTAAGCAGGGTTTATGGAAGATAATCGACCTAACAATGAAATGGCCACTTTCCTAATGGCAAACACTTCATCGTTCAAAGCTATGAAAAGTAACTTCAAGTTATTAGCTTGAGATAATTGAGGATCAAAGCATTTACTCTTACTAAGACTGGTCAACCCTTCAAGTCTGATCTCGGCATTGGGGTCAGTGATGGAAATAGATAACAATTGGTCAAGGATCTCATTAATGGCATTCAAGGCATTGACACTTACTTGTTCACAAATAGGATCCTTGATAAAGATCTCACATGAAGCTATAACGGCTGTTTGACGAACTTTGGCACTAGGATGGTCTAAATATGTGATCAAACAATATCTGACGAATTCGTTCAATTGGTATCCTTCAAATTTAAAGAAAACTAACATTTCCAATGCTTGTACCAATAAAATACTTTCCTGTTGTTCATACAATTCCTGGTTATTCAAGATACTGTTGATGCTTAACCCGGTATCTCTAGATATCATGATAAGACGATAATCTCGAGCATAACTTTCATTCATTTTAACTGTTCCATAAGGTGACCCTGGAGGTTGGAATAACACTCCCGATAAAACCAATGATGAAAGGTTTAATAACTTAGCATTTATGATCCCTGACAATACCGGGATGTTGGTGATAAGGGTCTGTAAGACATCTTGCATGTGTTTGGAAAGGGAACAATTACTAAAGATCATATCCAAGATATCTCGTTGTAAGTGTTTGGTCAAAGCTGGACCCACAGATATCGATAAGTTCCCTATACAATCAAAGATAGCGGGTTCGGTACTTTTCCTACTTGAACGATATTTTGATGACATTGATACACTTGTTTGAAGGTTCAAACCATTTGGATTGGGGTTGGAGTTCCCGTTCAAGAAGGGATTATCTGAAGTGCTGGAAACAGCATTAGCAAGAATCAGTTGAACACTGGAATTGGTAGGATAACTTAAACCTTCTCTTATATTATCCAAGATAGCATCAAGATATGTAGCCATCTGATTGCCTACTTCCAAAGCTATTAACCCGATACTTTGGAAGATATAACTCTTATCAGCAGCCACCACATCATTATACTGGTTCTTATACTTCTTAAGTTGAGTTAAATAGTAATATAATGTCTTATGAAGGTATTTTTCCACAAACAAATCAGGTTTAACCCTACAAATCAAGGGGAAAATGTTGGTAAGTTCTTGTCTAATGACGGATTTCTTATGATTCTTATATAACATGGTATTTTCATACATCTTATCAAACTTGGATACGATATAACTATCATTATGATACTTTAAAAGTTCTCTGTACACCAAAAGTGACCCATGAATGGACTCAAAACTTTGAGGAGTGGTGGTATGAACATGTTCTTCACCAGTATGATCATCATTATCGTTTAAAACTTTAGATGCCAGATCTATAAAGCTTTTAATCCAGAATTTCCGGGCATTAACATCTCGATGATAGATGATTTCCATACATTTCTGTAACGTTACTGCCGCATCGGTCCTTAACACTAGTTTTGTGTCAGTTAATTGAGTCCATAATTGTTCAAGCACTTGGTTAACGAAGTTGTGTAATAAATTAGGGGAATTATCAGCTAAGGAATTTAACATGAGAATGGCAGTATGTCTTCTATGATCATGTTGTTTATTTTCGTTTTGTAACCATTCAATAGCTTTCTTAGCTTCATATTCCACAAAGTCTCCAGTTAAGGTACCACCAGGGATAGCTAATTTCCCGAGAGTTTTGGTGGCTCTTTTCATTATAGTCAAATCATTGGACAAGGTTAAAGGATAAAGATAATTGGAGAATCGGGCGGTTTTGGTGGCATTTTCTTCCCCTATGCCTGAATTGAAATCTATCAATGCATCTATAGCAGCTATCCCCCCGAATTTAGCAGAATTATCTGAATGTAAAAGTTCAAAAATGGTCTTATTGATGTCGTTAATGTATCGATTGAATTGTTCCACTGATAAGTCTCGAGCCACGGATTCAAGATGGTTCCGAAGTTCAATGGCATAACGGTTTCTCTCTTCATCGTTGTTAGAACGTAATCCGGTAAGGATTTGGTTGAGTTCTACGCCGTCAACGATTTGTGGTTGAGTTAGCATGTTGAGAAGATTGTGCGCGATCAGACAAGTTTGACTGGGACTGGCAGTCTGCCCTGGCAGGCTGGCAGGACCATGCTAGTCACACATTCTAGGCAGGCTATCAGGATAGGTCTGGCAGTCATCAGAGTGTATGCTGTCAGGCTGTCAGAGTGTATGCTGTCAGGCTGTCAGAGTGTATGCTGTCAGGCTGTCAGAGTGTATGCTGTCAGGCTAGCAGTAGGTACTAACTAGTGAACCAAGTCAAGAAGTCAGGCAGGACTCATAGAGATCTGAAGAGTTAGGTTAGTCTGACTGGGCAGGCTATTAGACTGACTGGCAGTCAGCCAGTCAGCCAGTCAATCAGCGAACCATAGTCAGAGAACCATGCTATAGAGTGACGTCGCCAATCTAAGTATCCTACATTTATGGTACGGAAAATAATGAAAAGTTTCTAACAATACTTGGACCATATTCATCATAATCTTGTTTTGTATAACAATAACTCTTGAATTCAGAGGTTTGTGCTAATAAACTTCCACCGAACCACACAGCATTTCTTTGTTTCTTATGACTGATAACTTGAACATCAACACCAGTACTTTTAACTCCACTTAATCTTTCACTTAATTCTATTCTTTCATTAGCTAAAGTCTTTAAATCTCTTTGTAATCTTCTACCAAAATCTTTAAACATAGTTGACCCTCCCGATAATACAATGTTCTTATATAATTTCTTACGAACATCAATAGGTGAAGCTTGAATTACTTGATCAACTACTGTTGGTAAAGGAGTTAAATAATCCGATGAACAAATTTCCGGGTTGAAGAAAATCTCTGGAGCTAAAAATCTTTCATATCCAACATCAACAGTATTGGTTTTATTCTTATCGGTGTATTCAACGATATATTGGGCGAATTTCTCTTGAGGATATTGATCAAATTTACTAAATTCTTTAACTATATCAGGACAAACATAACAAAATTGTTGTTTAATCTTTTCGGCAGTTTGTAAGGAAGTATCGGGTTCACCTCTATCTCTTAATAATGATTGAATGAATAAAGTTATATCTCTACCAGCCAATGGAATGTTTTTAATGGCTCCTCCAATGACATATCCTTCGGCAACAGGAATCACATGAGTTACCCCATCACCAGAATCAATAACAGTACCAGTTAATGATCTATCTTTAACTTTAGATGAAGTCCAAGAGGCTGCTAATGCTAAAACTGCTTGAACAGCAATATATAATCCAGCACAATTGAAACTTTCAAACATGATTTCGGCAGTGTTCTCCCTATTCTCCGGAGGATTCAATGGAGGTTCAGTTAATAAGAAATAATGATCTTCTGGTTCACATCTTAAATATTTAAAGATACTGTTTTCCCAAAATCTTTCCATATGATCCCAATTTTCAACTTGACCATGTTTAATGGGGTAGGATAAACTGTAGTTGGCCCCATTGGCAGCATTGATGGCTTCATCACCAATAAAGAAATCCAAATCTTCCAAACCTCTTTTAGAAGCTAAAAAGGAGGTTTTGGCAGCTGATTTGGAAGTCTTACCAGCAATTGTGGAAGTGGCAATAGCTGTGGGGAAAATGAAGGAAGGAGAATCGTTACCTGCGAATCCTAATTTAGTTAACCCGGTCCCATTGTCCATGACAACCGCAGGAGTTCCCATTGATGCCATGATGAATAAGTGTTGATGGTTGGACGATTTAGGTGATTATCGCACAGTGTCGGGAGGGTGGGTGACATTTGGTAAAATGTCGCCATACTCGCGACCTTTTGTATAGAATTTGACGACACTTGACGACATTTCTTGACATTTTTTATAGAGTGGGACGACACTTTACGACATTAAATGCCATCTTTCAAAGAGCTCTACGACACTATGCGACATTATGTGACATTCTTCTCTACAATCAATATTCATCTTTACCACTAATAATAACATTATTAATCTTAAGAATCATTCTAGATAATTGAGTGGCTAATAATAATTGTTGTTTCTTACCGATCAAAGGATCAATGACAAATAATTCCTTCATATCATTGGTTCCCTTATTTAAACAATCAACCCCTAATTGAGAACATTTCTCTAAAACTTGCTTAGATTTTAACGTAGATAAAGCTTCAATTGGATCTAAACCGGAATTTTCAGCTAATGTTGTTGGTATAACATCCAAAGCTTGAGAAAATGCTCTAAAAGCATATTGATCAATACCTTTTCTTTTATTAGCTTCATTAGATACCGCAATTGAACAAGCTAATTCGGCAGCTCCTCCTCCATACACGACTCTATTATCTCTGATTAAGTTTCTCACTACACAAACTGAATCATGTAAAGCTCTAATACCTTCATCACAAATCATTTTATTAGAACCTCTAATGAAACAAGTAACAGCTTTAGTATTTGAACAATCTTCAATAACCAACATTCTATCTCTAGTAGTACCAAATTCTAATTCTTTAATAGTACCAGCATAACCTAATTTTTCTTCAGTTAAATCTTCAAATCTTGGAACAATTCTACCATTAGTAGCGATAGCTAATAATTCTAATTCTGAACCTCCAATCCATCTAATAGCATTTAATCCATTAGTTAATAATAAATGATTGGCTTCATCATCAAACCCCCACTGACAGGCAACAGTATTGGCACCGGACTTCTTTACGTAATCAATCATTTCTTGGAATTTCTTTTGTTCATATTCTTGTAATACTTGGAATTCTTCAACGGTGGAAATATTTAATTTATGTTTGGTTTTTGGTTTTGGTGGTTCAAATGAACAGGTTAAAATAGCAATCTTACAATCATTAATTTCTTTAGCCATTTGGGGATGAGAGAAATCTTTATCTAATAAAACCCCTTTAATTAATCTAGAATCTTCTATTGATCCACCTTCTTTACTAACCATTTTAATTAATTCAAAATCAACATCTTTCCTTTCAAAGTCAGCTACAGCTAAAACTGATTCAACTGCCATCTTAGCAAACTGATCATGTGATTTACTGACAACTTTTGAACCTAAAGAAGTTTTAGCAGCTTTTAAAAGATTAGAATCATTGGCTTCATTATTAATATCGATCTCATCAGCAATTGAATCCAATTCATTGATAGCTATCTTACAAGCTTCATCAAATCCATTGGCGATTTTGATTGGATGAATCCCCTTTTCAATCAATTCCAAAGCTTGATCTAATAAAGCACTGGCTAAAACCACTACACCTGTAGTACCATCACCGATTTCATCATCTTGGGATTTAGATAATTCCACTAATAATTTGGCAATTTCATTATCTAAGTCCATCTGGGATAAAATAGTGGCCCCATCATTGGTGATGGTGATTTCTCCATCTTGACTTACTAAGATTTTATCTAATCCTCTTGGTCCTAAAGATGTCTTAACAATAGAGGCAACTGCTCTAGCTGAAAGAATATGGGATTTAGTGGCTTCTAATCCATGTTTTCTTTGTTTCTTTCCTTGATCTCTGACAATTAAAAACGGTCTACCCATTTCATCTTGTGCTACAATAGCATTGGACAAGTCTGGCATTTGTTGCATTGGAGCTGCCATGTTAAAGAAATTATCGATTTGAGTTTTCGCGTTGAAAATTTTTCAATGTAATTGTAGAGGTAACGGGTTGTTTGAAGGGTTAAATTCGAAGTTGTAGAGGTTTTTAGATGTTGGTGATGAATTTCCATGGTTAATTAATGTATGGAAAGGTTTTTCAACTTTTTAAAACTGGTCATTCTTGAGATATTATTTCTAAATCCCGTAATTTGCCCCTTGGAACTCTGAAAATTCTCTCAAATATACTTTCAACCATCCCCAATCATTCGGTTGTATCCAGAGGTCAAATTTCGTCATCATACCATGGTCTCTGGGACTGTTTGTACCATCACCAGATCTCATCTCCAAAGCTGCGAAATTTTTCACAGCTGCGAAATTTTTCACTTACCATGACCGAAGTCGATATTGATAACTGTTCTTTAGAAGAATTAAGAGATATTTTATCTAACAAATCTGGAGATGAAAAGTTAGCCGCCAGATTCAGAGCTTTATTTAACTTAAAGAACATAGGGAGTGAAAGTTCTAATCAAGAAGAAGTACAAAAAGCTATTGATTATATTGCTGAATGTTTTAAAGATTCTTCGGAATTATTGAAACATGAAGTTGCCTATGTTTTAGGACAAACCCATAACTTATATGCTGCTCCTCATTTAAGACAATGTTTAGCTGATCAACAACAACAAATTATGGTTAGACATGAAGCGGCTGAAGCTTTAGGAGCTTTAGGTGATGTTGAATCTTTAGCCTTATTACAACAATACTATGATAATGATCCATCGATTGAAATCAAACAAACCTGTGAATTGGCCATTGAAAGAATCAAATGGGAACAATCAGAAAATTCAAAGACCGAAGTATTGGAAAAATCTTTATACACTTCAATTGACCCAGCTCCACCAATGCCAACCACTCAAGAATCCAAGATTCCTAAATTACAAGCGATTTTGAACGATCAAAATGAACCTTTGTTTGAAAGATACAGAGCTATGTTTAGATTAAGAGATATTGGTAGTGATGAAGCTTGTTTAGCCTTAGCTTCAGGATTTAAAGATCCATCAGCTTTATTTAAACATGAAATTGCTTATGTTTTCGGACAAATCTGTAATCCTGTGACTGTTCCTTCATTAATTGAAGTATTAAAAGATGAAAGAGAAGCAGGGATGGTTAGACATGAAGCTGCTGAAGCTTTAGGAGCTATTGGAACTGATGAAGTGTTCCCTGTATTAGAATCATTTTTGAATGATGATGTTCAAGTAGTTAGAGAATCAGCCATTGTTGCTTTGGATATGACTGAGGTTTAATTGGGTAGGATAATTTATATTACTATGATACATTTCTCGTCTCTTCTCTTTTTGTGCTGTCTTTGTGTTCTCTTTGTGTCTTCTGAGGTCCTTGGTGTCCTCTGAGGCCCTTGGTGTCTCGGGGTGCTCCCTAACGTTCTTTAAGCCTAATTATTAGTTCTGAATCTGTATCCACAATTGGTACAGGTATAAAACACCGTAGCCCCTTCATCAGCTGATCTTAATTGTAAAGTATGGTATTGCATTTCATCATTACCACATTTAGGACATTTCTCTTTGATAGTGGCCCCTTCGTCAAGTTCATCTTTCTTTAAACTGGTCTTAACAGCTGATCTATTCATCTTCAACGTTGATGGGAAAGCATCTTCATTAGAAGTGGTTTTGACTTTTAAGTTCTCAAACTTCGATGATTCGTAAGATTTGTTACAGATCTTACAGTCTATGGTTTTCTTGGATGTGAGTTGGTCTAATAAGTTACCACAATCGGTACAAAAGATCAATGAACCTACTACTGACATGCTTGAAATTTTTTTGCGAAGTGATGAGATGATGAAGGGAGGAAGTGAGGGATGGCATTGAAGTGTTTGACGGTTTGCGAGGATGTAGGGGTGGGTACGGGGGGTGGAGAGTGGTTGGGAGGAGGAAGAGTAGATTAGGTGGGTAGAGTGTTTAAACTGGTGAAGTAAAAGGTGTCTATGGAAAGTGCTTATGTAAGTGCTTATGTAAGCATTTTTCATTTTTGTAACACACAGTACTACAACTACCGTTACAAGCTACTAGGACAGCCCAGGGTAATTAGGGTCACAAAGTTTCGTGAACGGCTCCCTAAAGGCTAAGAAGAGCCAAACTTGCGGAGCATTCAAGAGTCTACGGGCCCCAATAGTCTACCGGCCCCAGTCAATAACAGGCCCAAATAAAGAGTGTCCCCAAAGGCATGTACATTAAATATGAGTCTCATCTAATTTATCGGCAATACTATCAACACCAGCATCTTGATCTTCATCAGTACCATCTAATTCCTTAGCCAACTCTTCAAAATCTATAATTTCTTCATCTTCTTCTCCTTCATCATCTTCTTCATCATCACTATCTTCACCTTCCATTTCATCCATTTCATCAACTTTATCTCCCAATAAATCTTGATATTGTTCGATCAATTCATCATCATCTTCTAATTTATTACCATTGATTTCTAAAGATTCCAAGGTTAATTTTTGTACTACATCAAATAATTTGGTTAATACTTCTTTATTTAACTCATTATATTGTAATTTCAACGTTTTTAAACCATCTTGATGTTCTAACACCTCCAAAATTTCACCAAACCCTTTAGATTTCAATAAACAATCATTCAAGTTCAATTCGGTTAACTTCCAATCATTCAAATTCTTAGAAATCGAAGTTGAACCTAAGTAAGTTAAAGTATTATCTTGTAAATCCAAAATTTTCAAGTTTTTATTGGCTTTTAAACCATTGATTAAGATGGAAATCCCAATAGGTCTAATCCCGTTCTGATATAACCTTAATTCTTGTAAATCTTTATGATGAATCAACCCTAAAGTCAAATATTTCATCGATCCATTTTCCAATCTATTTCTACCACAAATAAATGTTTTTAAACTTGGATGACCATTTGATGCCTTTAATTGGGCTAATTTATATAAGGATTTCCCGATTCTTTCCCCGGCAAATGGTCCCATCCCATTATTTGATAAAATCAAATTCTCAATAGTGACGGCTTTACTAAGATATTGTTCAATAGGTTCGATTGTTTGTAAACCCAAAGCATTGTCACTCAAATTGATGGTGGTTAAATGTTTACATTTCAATAATGTTGGTAATAAGTATGATAAACATTGAGGAACTTCAGTATTTAATCTTCCAGTGAAGATATCTGATAAATTGATAGTTTGTAAAGTATCAACTGAGGATTGTAAGATTTCACTGATTTTTTTCGATGATTCAATACCAATGGTGTTACCTGATAAATCTAAAGATTTCAAAGGATTACCGTTGATTTCTTTAACGATGAAATCCACATCCTCAGCGTTATTTAACTTGAGTTGTTTGCCAGCAATTGAGTAGTCCATAGTTTAGTCTGCGCACCAAAAAAAATTTTCATCAACATGGAAGAAACCTACTTGGAAAGCTTAAAGAAATTACCAATTTACACTATTGGAGTCAACGTTGCGTTATTTGCCGCAGGTGTTGCGTTCATTCAATCCGAATTAATGGATATGTTAGTTCCACAATTGTAAATAGAAATATAGGAATGAGAGAAAATGGATGTTGGGAGTTGGAGTTGTATTTGGGAGTTGTGTTGGAGGTATTGGAAGTGGTGGTTGTAGTGGTTGTGGTAGTGGTGGTTAGATTTGACAGTTCAATGGTAGATGATATGGCCATGGTGGTGATACTGATGGTCTTTTGAGTCTATTGAATGTGTCTGGTGTTGATACAGGTATTTTACTGAATCTACTTGGTGCATCATCCACTAAATCCACTAATCAACTAAATCCACTAATCAACTGACTACTCACCTACTTATCCTAACCCTAGCAATCACTTTAAACCTCTGAAACTCTAAGTGGTACTCTGACTCTCTCTTGCCACTGAAATCACCGAACCTCTCAACCCACTGAACCCCTGCTGTACCCCTACCCTACCCTACTCCTACTCCACCACATTCCTAGTCCTCCCCCTTCTGGCCTCATCTCGCTGACCAACTCCGGATCATACGATCCCCACAGAGACATTCACAGGACCTATCTCATTTATAACCGAAGGATAAATCCATCACGTGACTCGGCAACAACATAAAAATAATCTCTCCTATAACTAACCAACTACAGCCCCTACAACTCCCAAACTCACCCAAACCATAATTACCCCCATCAACTCCCTTCTATTCTTCTCTCAACCTCCTAATCCCATTCCTTCACCTAAAAAATTCACCCTGTCTCATCACCCTGGTCCTCGGTCAATGGCCATATGTGGGGACCGCGATCACTATAAAAACCTCAAAACATCCCCAGATTTTTCAATCAATCATGTTTAACGTTGCCAATACTATTGAATCTTCAAATGGCCCAAATCCTAAGGAATCCATTCAAAAGGAAAGATCGAATCAGAAGTTCGATCCTGTGTTGATGAATCATTTCTTAGAAGGGTCTAAAAAGACTTCAGAATTGAACAGAAAATTATTACAACAAATGGAAAGAGATCCAATTTTATCATCTAATCCTAACTATTATGACTTATCTAAAGACCAACAAAGAGAATTGACTGCGTTAAAGATCGAAAGAATGTCAAAATATATGGAAGTGGATTCCAAGGAAGAAAACCATAGAAGATTGAGTTTAATTTCAGTATTTGACCCCCAATTAAATACTAGAATTGGGATTAATTTGGGATTATTCTTGGGTTGTGTTAGAGGTAATGGTACGGCTGAACAATTCAATTTTTGGGCCAATACCAAAGAAACTAGTAAATTGAAAGGAATTTATGGATGTTTCGCTATGACAGAATTGGCTCATGGTTCAAATGTAGCTGGATTAGAAACTACTGCTACTTATGATAAAGAAAATGATCAATTTATCATTAATACTCCTCATATTGGTGCTACCAAATGGTGGATTGGAGGAGCTGCTCATTCAGCTACTCATGCGGCTACTTATGCCAGATTAATTGTTGATGGTAAAGATTATGGAGTTAAGACTTTTGTTGTACCATTAAGAGATTCTAATCATAATTTAATGCCCGGTATCACTGTTGGGGATATTGGTGCTAAAATGGGGAGAGATGGTATTGATAATGGTTGGATTCAATATTCTAATGTTAAAGTTCCAAGATTTTTCATGTTACAAAAATTCGCTAAAGTTAGTAGAGAAGGTGAAGTTACTTTACCTCCTTTAGAACAATTAAGTTATAGTGCTTTAATTGGTGGTAGAGTTACAATGGTTTTGGATTCTTATAGAGTTGGTGCTAGATTCACCACTATTGCTTTAAGATATGCTATTGGAAGAAGACAATTTAAACAAGGAAAGAATCCTTTAGAAACTCAATTATTAGATTATCCTTTACATCAAAGAAGATTATTACCTTATTTGGCTTTGACTTACCTTATTTCCAATGGAGCTTTTAAATTAGAACATACTATGGATACTACTTTAGATGCTTTAGATGATGCTGTTAACAAAAATGATATGGTTAAAATCGGAAAGTTAGTTAATGAAATGAAAACTTTATTCATTGATTCAGCTTCTTTAAAATCTACTTCTACCTGGTTAGCTGCGGAATTGATCGATCAATGTAGACAAGCTTGTGGAGGTCATGGATATTCCGGTTATAATGGGTTTGGTAAAGCTTATAATGATTGGGTTGTTCAATGTACTTGGGAAGGTGATAATAATGTGTTAGCCATGAGTGTTGGTAAACCTTTAATTAGAACTATTGGTGAAGTATTAAAAGGTAAGAAAGCTAAAGGTTCTATTAGTTTCTTAAACAATACTCAATATTTGAATGAAGAAGCTATTTTGACTTCAGTTTCTGATATTGAAGATTTATCAATGGTATTGAAATCTATTGAAGTGTTGATTCTTAGATTATGTAAGGATTCTTTGGATACTATTCAAGAAAGTAATGGAGTTTATGAAGTTGTTTCCAATGCTATGGTTACTATTTCCAAATTAAAAGCTCATCATTATTTATTATCGGAATTTTTGAATAGATTATCTGAAGCTGATAGTTCAGTTAAACCTTATTTAGTATTGATTGCTAAATTATATGCTACAGCCATTGTTTTAGATAAATTTTCTGGTGATTTCTTGACTTATTCAGTATTATCACCAAAATTAATGGGTGAAGTTAACCAAAAATTGATTCCAAAATTATTAGCTGAAATTAGACCTTTAACTATCAATTATACTGATTCTTTCCAACAACCAGATATGATCTTAAATGCCCCAATTGGGAAATTTAATGGTGATATCTATGAGAATTACTTTGGAGTGGTTAAAGCTCAAAATAATCATTTCCATACTAAAGCTCCTTATAGTAGTGCATTAGAAGGAATGTTGAACAGACCAAGTTTGAACGACAGACAAAGAGGTGAAACATCGGATGAAGTTGCCAGTATTTTAAGTAAATAGTGAATGGATTGTTTGGGCTATTACCCACTGTTCTTACCCTCCTACTCTTGTACTCTCGTCCCACCCTTGCACTTGACGGTACACCCATTTCATGACTACCCTGTCACTATAAGACCACTCTGGTACTATACTCTGTCACTTCCTCACATGATCTGATCAAACTCCGCGATAACCTTCTTCCCCTTCTTTCATCTTCACAGTCTCTTCACCGCTTTAAACTTCACCATACCCTCTACCGTGCCCTCCATCGCCACTCCACGCCCTCCATCACCGCCACTCCCCACATCCAGTAACCGTTTATCCTCCGTATTCGCATAAACTTGATCGGAGATCTTACCCCAACTTGTGATAATGCTGTACCCCACAATTCACACTATAAAGCTTTTCCCCCACGGCAGTCATTGACTGATATGGAATCCTTAAGAGACTGTAAGTTACCCATTGATCGTATTCACTCCATCCTTGAAGGGGGTGATGCCAATGCCCGTCATGTATTGAATATTTATCAAGATTTGGAACGTGATGGCATTCTCAGTTCAAGATTCGATGAATATGATATGAGTACCGAAGAAACTAGGGAACTTACTGCTGTAAGAATCGACAGATTGACTCAATACTTGGAAACTGAATCTTTTGAAGATTTCTTTAAGAGATTGAACATCGTCACTGTGTATGATATGAGTTTAGGGATCAGAATCAGTATTAATTTGGGGTTATTCCTTAATTGTATCAAAGGAAATGGTACTGATGAACAAGTTCAATATTGGAGTTATACCAGAGAAGCTGAATCTATTAAACAAGTTTATGGATGTTTCGCCATGACAGAATTGGGCCATGGATCTAACGTTGCTGGTTGTGAAACCACAGCAACCTTTGATAAAGAAACTGATCAATTCATCATTAATACTCCTCATATTGGTGCTACTAAATGGTGGATAGGTGGTGCGGCTCATTCAGCTACTCATTCAGTTTGTTACGCAAGATTATTGGTGGAAGGTAAGGATTATGGTGTAAAGATCTTTGTAGTTCCCTTGAGAGACTCCAAGCACGACCTCTTACCCGGAATCAGTATCGGAGATATTGGATCGAAAATGGGGAGACATGGTGTGGATAATGGCTGGATCCAGTACACCAATGTAAAGATTCCTCGTCATTTCATGCTTCAGAAATGGTGTAAGGTCGATAGACAAGGTAATGTGAAGTTACCACCATTAGAACAATTGAGTTACATTTCTTTGTTAGGAGGAAGAGTTTATATGGCTATTGATAGTTATAGGATCTGTGCCCGATTTGTCACTATTGCTTTACGTTATGCATCGGTAAGAAGGCAATTCGGTAACACTATCTTAGACTATCCTTTACATCAGAAGAGATTATTACCATGGTTAGCTATAACTTATGCCATGGCCATTGGGACTCAAAAATTAGACCAACAGTTAAAAGGGATTTATCAAGGTGAAGATGTGATTAAACGGGCCAAAGCATTGTTTATTGATTCTGCTTCTTTAAAATCTACTTGTACTTGGTTAGCTGCTGATTGTATTGATCAATGTAGACAAGCTTGTGGAGGTCATGGATATTCCGCTTATAATGGATTCGGTAGAGCTTATGATGATTGGGTTGTCCAATGTACTTGGGAGGGTGATAATACGGTATTATCATTAAGTGTGGCCAAAAGTATGAAAGATAGGAAACCAATCGATTATAAACTTGAATTATTTTCTGTTGATGGAGTTTTGAAAGCCGTCGAAAGTCTTCTCTCCAAAATTGATTCTCCAGTGCAAATATCTAAACTTAAATGTCATTATTATCTTCTTTCAAGTTTCAAAGAGAAGTTGATCCCAGAATTAGAACCTTTGATCAATGTCTATGGTTACTTCATTCTTGAAACCTTCCCTTTCATTGAATATGAAATCGTTGAACCCAAACTTCAAAGATCTTTCAATAAAGAGTACACCAAGGAGTTAACAAAGGTTAGACCATTAGCTATTGATTATACTGATTGTTTCAAACAAACAGATAATCTTTTGAATTCAGCTATTGGTCAATATAATTTGAAAGTATACGAGAATTACTTCAGAGTAGTTAAGACCCAAAATCCCCCACATAAAACGTCTCCTGATTATCTCCCTAAATTTTTGGGGATGTTAAACAGATAATATACGTAACTCTTCAACGGCTACTATTCGGAAAGATGAAATTAACCTAAAATAAACTCCTCCCCCACTATGTTCCCCCAGAAATTTCCCAATGCGGAAATTTTAGCCTCGATTCGATTGCTATTGCATGGCTCAAGATTGATGTTTAAAAAACACGGTGGATTTGTTTATGAGCAATTGTGACTGGAAAATTCTATAAGATCAATGGTTTATTGTCAAACAGTTGTATTTAGATAATGGAAATTTTTCCGGATCAATTTAATTAATATGTCAAATATAAGGTTGGTGGTTAACTCTCAAAAAGGGTCAGAAGACTTCACGCCTCGAATTGACCCCAGTCCAGAATTTCTGCCAAATACTGAGATTCTAGCCGTTTATGTACCAATTTGGAAACATCCACGAACTTAAAATCGATTGTTTTGTTTCCCACTCTGTTGACGAGGGGCAATGAATTTACCCTTACTTTTTCAACCCCATCTTTTTTCGGGTCAATCTCCTGCAGATAGTGGGGATTTTCCATGGTTGTAAGACCGATGTTTTGCCCATTTTGAAGGTGAACATGGTAGACAGTGTTATGATAGTACATTATGGCAGGTGGTAGATAGTAGATACATCAGCTACACGGAATAATCTCTAATAATGACCTTAATCTGTGGATATGGGCCAGGAAAAATGTCTGAGTTTCCATCGCAATAGCTGCATGAGCGCAATTACATCATACCTTCCGCAATCAAATAACTATAAATAAGATTGGATTTCCCCAGTTTCTAAACATTAGAAATGTCTAGTCTTTCAGACAAGAGTAAAAGTTCGCTTGAGAATGGAGGTGATGCTTTATTTGAAGATAAACCCTTAGTTAACGAAAAAGAGGGTGTTGAAACCCCAGTAGATCCTGATAGTGGATTTGACGATGGTGAAACTTATAGTTTCATTGGTATGAGAGGTAAGAAACTTCATAGAACCGTAGGATTAATGGCTTCTATTGGTTTCTTATTGTTCGGTTATGATCAAGGGGTCATGGGATCTTTATTGACCTTGGGTGATTTCAGAGAAACTTTCCCTGAGATCGATACCATCAAAGATGGTTCTAATTCTACTTTACAAGGTCTTACTATTGGTATTTACGAAATCGGTTGTATGGCTTCAGCTTTAAGTACCATTTGGCTTGGTGATAGATTAGGAAGATTGAAATTACTTTATATTGGATGTATTATTATTTGTATTGGGGGTGCTCTACAAAGTTGTGCTTTCCATTTAGCCCATTTAATTGTTGCTAGAGTTGTTACTGGGATTGGTAATGGGTTTATTACTTCAACCGTTCCAGTTTGGCAATCAGAAATTTCCAAAGCTGAAGATAGAGGTAAAATTATTTGTTTACAAGGGGCTTTGATTGCTGGTGGTATTGCCATTTCATATTGGGTGGATTTTGCCTTTTATTTCACTAGAAATTTAACTCCTCATGAATCAGTTTCTTGGAGATTCCCTATTGCTTTCCAATGTATCTTCCCACTTTTCATTATTCCTTTCATTTTGAAATTACCTGAATCTCCTCGTTGGTTAATGAGAAAAGGAAGAGAACATGAAGCTAGAAAAGTGTTTAGTGCTTTAGATGATTCTCCAGCTAATTCTCATCTTGTTAATGAACAAGTTTCCGAAATTCAAAAAGCTATCAAGATGGAAGAAAATGCCACTGGTGGTGTTTTCGACTGGAGAATTTTATTCACTCAAGGTCCAAAACGTCATTTCCATAGATTATGTTTATCAGGATGGGCTCAATTGATTCAACAAATTTGTGGTATTAATTTGATTACTTATTATGCTGGTACGATTTTTGAACAATATATTGGATTAGAACCTTTAGATTCGAGAATCTTAGCTGCTTGTAATGGTACAGAATATTTCTTAGCTGGTTTAGTACCACTTTTCTTCATTGAAAAATGGGGTAGAAGACCTTTATTATTAGTGGGATCTATTGGTCAATGTGTTTCCATGGTAGTATTATGTATTGCTAATTATTATTCAGATGATGCTTATGGTGGTAAACACACCGGTGCTCCAATTGTTGCTGCCATTTTCCTTTTTGTTTTCAATACTTTCTTTGCTTTAGCTTTCTTAGCTGAAATGTGGTTATTACCACCAGAATTAAGTTCCTTGGAAATCAGAGCTCCCTCTGCTGCCATCTCCACCGCCTGTAATTGGATCAGTAATTTCGGTATGTATTTTTGCAGCTAAGCTGCTTCGCACTTTTTTTTTTTTGCAGCCATACTAACATTTTTTTAGTTATCGTTATGATTACCCCTATTTTATTCAATGCTATTGGTCCTTTCACCTATGCATTGTTTGCTGCCATCAATTTCCTTATTATCCCAGTCCTTTACATTTTCTACCCAGAAACTAAAGGAAGAAGTTTGGAAGAAATGGATTTGATTTTCAATAAAACCCCAATCAACGCTCCTTGGAAAGTTGTTGGAATTGCAGCCCGTATGCCTTATATGCATGCGGGAATTGGTGATAGACCAATTGCTGAAATGATGGATGAAGCTGATCCAAAACCTTCTGTTTCTCATCATGATCATGCTTAATGTAGTATAAATGTACATGTGATAGGACTCTAGAGATTTCTGAAGGAGTCATATACTTTTACTTCTAGATAAATTCTATAACAAATAGATCTGTAACAAAGAGATCTGTAACAAAGAGATCTGTAACAAAGAGATCTAATATATTGTAACAAAGAGATCCAATAGATTGTAACAATAAGATCAAAGGGCTGACCTAACATTTGATCTTGAAGGTTGAAATAACAGGTCTATGATCACTGTATCTGAAACCTTCTTCAGTCATGGTGTCAAGAACATTATATTCTTCAACAACAACTGATGAATCACGGGTGTTGGAACCTTTAGGAGCCCAGATGAAATCAAGAGTCTTAACGGTGTCGGTTGATTCGAATCCGGTGTTAGTTTCAAGTAAAGATAACTTCTTAATGGCGATCTCTCTAGTATCATCAAATGATTCGATCAAGGTTTGGTAACTGAGATCAGAGGAGATAGAATTGAAATCTCCAGTGATGAAAGTTTCATAATCATTTGGAATCAAACTGGCCCATTCAGCAATTAATTCACTGGATTTTTGTCTAGCTAAATCACTGATGTGATCATAGTGAGTATTGATATAATTGATATGGTTACCGGTAGGTTTATGTTTCAATTCAGAAATGGAAGCAATTCTAATGTTATTGGCACCCCATGAAATAGATGGAACAAGTGGAGTTTCACTCAACCATCTTGAAGTACCGTTGACTAATTCCCATTCGTTATCTTGATATAAGATAGCGGCATATTCACCGGCTTCAACACCGTCATCTCTACCTACACCAAAATATTTCCATTGACAGTGAGTTTTGGCTGATAATCCTTTAATAAGATCATCAACTTGAACCTTGGTAGCTTCTTGAACACCAATAACTGTTGGTCCATCTTGAGTTTGACCAGCTAAAGCGGCGATTTGTCCGACTTTTCTTTCATCCCATGATCTTTCATGTTCAAATCTACTACCTTCACCAGCATTGTATCTGATGTTGGAAGTAACAAGCTTTAAGTCGAAATCTTTATCAGAATGGTGAGGATTAGGACGAGCAACAGCTCCAACTAATAAAGTAGCAATAAGTAATAAGTTAGGTAACATTTTTTTGAAGTGTAATGACAATATCCAAAATCAATGGCTATTTATACTGTTACATTACTTGGTTCCGCCATGGGTCTTCCGCTCCAATCCGCCATAACGTAGTTATTCCCACATAAACTGCAAATTTGCAACCATTTTACACGTGCAAATCGGTATCTACAGTTTTCCAGGGGTACATAAAAAATAATCCCAAATTGATTTATGCATAAAAAATTACACATTTAACAGGTGCGATCTACCTTGTCTTCACACATCATACATTACCCTGGAAAAGGGAATCAACTTACAAGGTTATATAATGCTTCAAGGTAAAGCTAATGATGAAACCCGTTATCTAAGCGAATTGCAGTTTTTGCGGCTTCAATCACTCAAACGTGGCTCATTAATTTGTATGTAGGATTAGCTGCAATTCTTTTCATTAAGAATGTACCAAAGATCGATTTTTCTTGGTATACCTCAAGGCTATTATAAATACAATGGCCGTTATGTGACAAATCACTCCTTTGTCCCACGGTTTTCCACCACGTGAAATCGAACAGGTGACGAGAGAATGTATTGGCAGAGTTAGAATTGACATACATTATAGGGGTATAGATTCTTGTGGCTTTCCGCAAGTTCGGAGTTATTCTCTGCAGTTACAAGTCCCCACATCGGATGGAGGAGGATCTATGATTTTTGGAAAATCTTCTGGATACTGTTCTACTCAATTTCATATCAAAATGATGTTTCAACTTGATGTTGGCATACTTGTTATGATATGATCTTTGTCTTTTCAATTGAAAGTTCAAGAATTGGTTGTAGATGTATTTTTTGTGGACATAATTGGCTAAATGAGTGCTAGTGGGACATTTGGGAAACTCAGGTTTGACAATTTCCGACTCTTCGCTACCCATAGATAAGCAGGTGATGTATTTTTGGTACATGATCAAGTCACTTTCTTCAGGTGGATGATATTCTGGTAATTGAATAAAGGAGGTAAATGAGCTGTTCCTTGAGACGGTGCTTTCGTCGGTAATTATTCTTTTATTAAGCGATGGACTTCTTTTGATGGCATCAATCAAGGCTACCATGGAAAATCCAGAACCCGTTGGACCTGGAGCTGGGCTTTTGGGGTAGTTTCGTTTGAATGGTTGTCTTTGAGTAGAAATTGGAGCCTCTGGCTTGTGTTTGACGTTATCTCTAGACACCGCAAACATATTTTCAACCATAGGAACACTTATAGGTTCTCCCCTTTCCATCAAACTGATATTGGAGAAAATCTTATGCTCCAAAAGTTCCAATTCCCCATCACCAAACAACTTAGTATCCAAACTCAAGTCAATAACATCTAAGAAATTGACTGCAACCATTGTGAAAAAAAAATTGATTTTTGTATAAAATCTGCCATTCTTATAGTTTTCTCTATGGCTGCAAATTGGTAAGTCTAAGGATATTAATAGCACCATATCAGAAGAAGAAGGAAACTTTTCTACTGTTGCCATAAATAGATATATTGAACAATGACATCTGAAAACCCTCTCTGGCGATTCTATGGTACTGACAAACTTAGAGTTACCTTAGATGTAAAGTTCCCTCAATTGGCTGCAAATGCGTGATCATCTCCATCGCCAATTATTCCCATTTAAATCGGATATTCTTGCCTCATCTGGTCAAATCCTTACGATTATTTGAACACATTCCCCCCTAATCATCCCTTAACCCATCCTATCCCCCCTACCACCGCTCTACCTCCTTCCCACCATTCCATCAAATCATCAACTTTTTCCGGGTAACCTTTCGCACCATATAAGCTTGAAATGAAAAATTTTCAAAAGCTCACAAAATGAATTGGTTTCAAAGCAAAGATGATAACAAATTAGGCTTTGATCCTAAACAAGTGGAAGATGTGTCAACATTCTTATCCAATCCCCAAGTCATGGAATCAGCCAAACTTCACCCTCTTGCCGGACTTGATAAAGGTATCGAATATTTAGATCTTGAAGATGAACAATTAAATTCAGTTGAAGGTGCTCAAGGTTTAATTCCTTCGAGGAACTGGAGTGATGACTTATGTTATGGTACTGGTGCTGTATATTTATTAGGTCTTGGTGTTGGGGGTGCTTACGGTTTACAAGAAGGTTTAAGTAACTTGCCACCAAATTCTTCCGGTAGATTGAAATTAAATACCGTTTTAAATCATATAACTAAAAGAGGTCCATTTTTAGGTAATTCTGCCGGTGTTTTGGCCTTAACTTATAATTTAATCGATTCCTCTATCGATGCTTTTAGAGGTAAACATGATGATGTCAATTCAGTAGTTTCTGGAGCTTTAGCAGGAGCTCTTTTCAGAAGTTCCAAAGGTTTAAGACCAATGGCTTATTCCACTGCTTTGATGGCTGGTGCTGCTAGTGCTTGGTGTGGTATTAAGAGGTTGTTGCAATAATGTATTATGTCTTGTGTATAGAAAGTTTCATATAAATATTATCATAAGGTTGGTTTTTTAGTGGTAGGAACGTCTGGTTCTTGGTTCTTTCTCTTTTTGTATTCGTTCTCTTTGTTTTCAGTGGAAGTGATTGGAGGTTTGGTGGTTGAAACAAACTCATTGAAATCAAAATCTGTTAATTTATCCAATTCTTCATTACTTTCCACACTCTTGACCTCATATTCCTTCAAAAGCTGCTTGTAATCATCCATCTTGATCATTTCGTCTTTCTGGAGATGTCTATATTTCAAGTAATTGTAGAATTTCTCTTCCTCATCTTTTTGTAACTCATAAGCAAGCTTTAACATATCTTTATTGTTCTTAAGTTTGGCAAACATCGGGTAATATTTGGATTTGGTGCCCAATTGGTTCAAAAGAATGTATTTGGTGTTGGCCGGGTGATTATTGAACTTATGACAAACAGTGAGGAACTCTAAAATCAATTTATTCCATGGTAATGGGTTGGGACTGAAGATTGAAGGGTTTGATTCTGCACTCTCTGCAATCATTCCACTTATCTTATCACCATACTTCTCCTTCAACTTGAGATAGTCGAAATAACTCCCTATATTCCCATTGATTATGAAACTTATATTATACTTATCGGTCAATTTGATGATTTCGGGAATATAATCATGGATCGGGTCTTGTCTATTCCTCATATCTCTGGTTCTACAATGTACGGTCAAATTCTTGATCCCTGTTTGACAGATCTTATCTATCAATTCAAGAGTATCATTGAGATTACTCAATAATCTGATCTTACAACTGATAGGTTTCTTATTAGGTTCTCCGACTTTCAGTACGAGATTCTTAAGGATATCACAAAGAAGATTGGGGGTAGAAAGTAAAGCAGCACCCATTCCAGCATGAACTGAAAACCCTTTTGGACATCCACAATTCAAATCTATACCATCGACATCTTGAATTACTTTCAATCCGGCTTCAACAGCTATCTCAGGGTTAGCAGAACCCATTTGAAAGATTAATTTTGATTGTTCAATGGGTTTATAAGTATTGAAAATGATCTTATTATGAGAATCTAAATATTCTATGGTATTGAGTTTTTCATTATGTACTCTTTTACAGGTGATAATCTTTTTATCGATGATTTCTGGACTCCATACTAAATCCGCTCCGTATTTTAATGCTAAAAGTCTGGTAGGAAGTTCACCACTCCTTACCATTGGCCCAAGAACCAATTTACCTTGATAATTAATCATCGAGATGAGTTATGAATCAACTTCGCGGATGGCCTTGAAGTTCAGGTGCCAAACTTGGCGGTAATCTCCCTCGCTAAATTGGAGGTACATTGGGGCACATTCGTCTCGCTAAATTAGTGAGAGCGCTGGCAACGGAAATTTGACGACCAAACACCCGTACACCCATAGTAAATATGACTAATTACGTCAAGAACCCGTAAAATGAACTCAATTAAATGATTTGCAGACACATTGACGTAAGATATGGAAAACCCGATCTAAGCATTGGTAGACCAACTTTAGTTACTACTGACCTCCAATTGCTACCCCAACGACATGTAAGCCTAATCGGATACCTAAATCCACTCCCACAAAGTGACCATTAATTACGATGATCTAACGATGGAGCGATAATCCGCCTCAGATAAGATTAAAACGACATGAAATTACCTGTATTAACCAATCAGTCCGAACTCCGTTATATCCAATTACCAACCCCAGCCAATCCCAATCACATATCCTTAACTCCTAGACTATTGTTCGTGTAAGGCAATTGATGACTAAAATGTCTTATTAAATCAACCAACAACAGGTGACCTTAAGGTCATGGTGTCGTGTGACGCATCAAATTGCAAAAAAGAGGAAAAAACCGTTGTGACATCGCGACATTTGCAGCAGCGATGTCGTAGAGGCATCGCAGCCTTTCACCCCATAAATACCCTATTATCTCGAGGTCAATAGTTCTATGGCCCTTTGATAATGATCTTCTAAGGGTCCTCCCATCATCAATTGCTTCCAATTCCCTAAAAATCAACTTCTAATTGACCAAACTTTCAAGCATTCGGCCGGACTCCAAATGGTGAAATTACTGTTTCTTTTTTCCCTAAATTTCTTTTTCCGATGATTATAAACATAAAATTTTTTTTAAAAACTTTCCCTGTAATCAGAAGACGATTTCAACTTCATCCCAACTAAAACTATCAATTGACACATTAACTTCCCATCAAATTATTCAATTACTTAACAATTAACTTATTTTAACGGTATAATCACTATAACCAATTTTCGCTACTAAAAAATCATGTCAGTTTATCCTGTCACACCAAGTTTTACTGTTTCCAACAGTTTCAAATTAGATATGTTATCTCCACCATTGTCACCATATCAAAGACTTGACACTCCTCCTGTCAAATCTAAGGACAAATCTATCAAGACCGATTCAAAGATTGATAAGTCAAGTATCAAATCATTTTTAAATAACAAACCTTTTAATATCGAAAATTTTAATAATTATGATTTGAAATTGAATCCATGGACCAATTTGAAAGATTACAAGTCCAACCAATTTGATTTCTTGGAGAAATATAACATTTTAAAGGTTAAAGAACAACAACAAACTGTTAGTTTAAGACCAAAAAAGAGGAAAATTGTTAGTCATTTCTTTGAAAGTGACTCTGATGATAAAATTAGAACTAGAAGATCAACTAAAGAATTAACTGAATTATCAGATTCTAATTTATCATCAAATAATTCAACATCTCCTAAAAAGAGAAGAGTTGCAACTCCTCAACCAATTACTATTGATGAAAATATCCCAGATTATTCTCCAAGTGTTGATACTTTACCAAATAATAATAAATGTCTTAAAGTTGAATGGAAAGGTCAACCAATGGATTTATCAAATGATCCTCATGTTGATAAATTACATCCAGCTGAACTTTATTTGGCTTCAAACTTGAGATTATCTGCTATATTATATTTAGATTCCAAAAAGAGATTTTTCCATGAAAAAGTCAATAGATTAAAAGAAGGTAAACCTTTTAGAAGAACTGATGCTCAAAAAGCTTGTAGAATTGATGTTAATAAGGCCTCAAGATTATTTCAAGCTTTTGAAAAAGTCGGTTGGTTAAATGATAATTTATTTAAGAATTATTTATAAATATCCCGGTTGTAGAATACTTTGTATAATAGGAAATCATATAGAGGGATAAAGGGAAAAGGTACGGTTTAGGTTCTGGAAATATATGTTTAGGTTTTATTTTGACTCTGTTCACATCTTAACTTGTAAAAAATTCTAATAAATTTTGTGTGTCTTGCATTAATAGCGATTCTTTTGCATGGTATTTATGCACTAGAACTTTGTGATGTTTTGACTCTTTTTTTTTTTATCTCCACACTCGCACTATCGCGAAACCTAATGAAACCAGTAAAGAAGATCAATGATGGTGGTGATTTGAACGCTTTCAAACGTTCATTGGCTTTTAAGTATATTCATGCCACTATTTCTGTGGTGGTTGAAGCTTCTAAAGCTATAGATTTACCTCCAAAAACATTGAATGATACATTAATAACGAAATCTAATACATCATCAACTACAAACTTACCACCAAAATTACAACAACCCATAGATGTATCACCTAATGGTCAATTGGTGATTGATGTAATTCAAGATTTATGGAATCTCATTGATGCTACTCCTCCTGTGGAAGGTCCTAGAAGATTTGGTAACTATGCTTACAAGACGTGGTATTCTAATATTGATTTATCGAAATTATCTCGTCTATCGAATGATCCAGAAATCCTAGAAGAACTTCAATATTATCTTTCAGCTTCCTTTGGGTCTCCTATAAGGCTTGACTATGGAACGGGGCATGAATTATCTTTCATTGCATTTATAGGTATTTTACTAAGATTGAACAAACTCCCTCAAAATCAAGAACTACTCGTCATTTTTGCTAAATACTTCGACCTAGTAAGGAGATTGATTATCGACTATTCATTAGAACCTGCTGGATCACACGGAGTTTGGGGTCTTGATGATCATTTCCATTTCATTTATATTTTGGGTGCGGCTCAATTTAATGATTCTACATTTTATCCTCCAATCTCGTCTTGCTTACAACAAGGTGTTATTGATGAATACAAGATGAAGAATTTGTATATCAACGGCTTAGCTTTCATCAGAAGAATCAAAACTGGGCCTTTTAACGAACACAGTCCTATACTTTATGATATCCATAAATCGGTTTCATTATGGAAGAAAGTACTTTCAGGACTTTTGAAAATGTATGACGTAGAAGTTTTAGGGAAATTTCCCGTTGTACAACATTTCTATTTCGGGAAATGTTATCCTTGGACGGATATGAATGGGAATGAATTACCTCTGTCACCACAATTTATAGATGGGGCACCACCAAGTATTGGAACAGCTGCTCCATGGGCACAATCAAAGAGATAAAAGTATGTCTATTTAATCTATGTCTGTGTAGCTTTCTACTTTCCGTTTCTTCTGTAGCTATATACTGTATACTGTAGTCTGTAGCTTGTAGCTCTCTGTAAGCAACCATGTCTCCCTCCCTAGGTCTTTCTGAAGTTAAATGTACTTCTACACAATGGACATGTACTACTTCCACTACTCTTGAACCATTTATATAAACATGCAGCATGGAACTTATTCGAACATGTTGGACAGCTCTTGGATGGTAAGGAATGATCTTGGTGTAAAATAGAGTAACAAATTGCACAATCTTCAAATCCTGAAAAGTGTAAATTGACATTCTTTTTGAACAATTCTATGGCTTCCAAAACTGAACCATTGGTCAATGAGATAACTCTTTGTGACGATAATAACCAAGCTTTCCATTCATTCTCCTTCAAACCTACTTTCTTAGGCCCTTCAACTACCACACTTTCTAATGGGAAATTTGAAGGAATCTTTATCACCATTTCCATGGTTTGGTCATCGATTTCAAAGATTGATCTCACTTCATTGATCACTCTGTTGACTCTAAGAGTCATTACATCATCGGTCAATTTGTTTTTACTGTCTTCAACCCCTGTCAACATCAAATCGATCAATTTACTTGAACAATGGGCTTTGGTAAATGTTTCAATGTGTTGCTTCATTTGAACGTTTCTTAATCCATTGAACCATTGTTGAACTTCAGATCCCACATACTTACAACTCAAATAATACAATTGGATGATGAAAGTTTCAGATTCTATGTCAATCTCATCATCAAATTCACCTTTCTTATAATCAATCTGTTCAATCTCAAACACAATTTCTAAGAACTTATCAAGTAAGTTATCCCCCTTGATCTGTGATAAGTATTGGTTACGTATAGAATATGTAATATCCTTGAAATGAATCAATAACAAATACCATACCACATAGTAATTAATATTACCGTGTATTCCAGTGTCTTCCTGGTAGTGGAACAGTTTAACATGATTGATGAGGATTTCAGGTAACTTCACCACCATTTCTTCATCTTTGTTGAGTTGGTAATCGATGACCAAGTCTTGTTGAGCTTTATTGATCTTGATAATAAGTTGATCAATACATATTTGTTTGATTGGTTGGAATTTGGTACTGAGACATAATTCCATGAACTTGTTGATATCTCCATCAATGGATGTGGACCCCAAAGCTCTTTTCAATAATTCAAGGCACATGATTACCACATGATTGTTAACCTTGTTGTCGGCATCAATAACAGTTTCGTCAAACAATAAATCCGATAACTCATTTTTGGATATTCCGAACTTCAAGGTAGCGTATCTAAGTTCATAAGTGTCTTGAGGAGAGATCTTTATCAAATCCAAGTTATCACTGATCAATCTTTCACACAAATCGTTATCTGAATCGAAAAACCTCAAGATCTTGGTGATCTGGCTTCTTATAGGGATGAACTCAGGTTCATAGGCATATTCACTGTCCAACCATTTTTCAAACTGTTTAACAATCATATTGAATCTATGAGGAGGGATAATGAACCCATCAACAAGGAAATTGACAGTTAAAACCACCCATTTCAATCCATCAATAGGGTTTTTGACCCCCAAGATCTCTGAAACCACATAATTCCTGACTCTATCAAATTTAGTATGTGTCACGTGATTAGTGAGTGCTGATAAAGTTATAGCCAATTTGACTGGTGACCTTAAAAGTGGATTAAAGTCATATTGATCTAATGCTGTGGATATGATGTTTTCACTGGCATTTTCCAATATATCCTTTAAAATTCTAGCACTATAAGATTGTATAGCACCTTTGGCATCAAGTCCATTGACTAATTGGCCCAAAAGTTTATCTGATGTTGTGGAAAGTAAAGTATCCATAACAGTACCAAATTCGTATTGAACCAGAGGTTTCTTATACTCAAAAGTAACATCCTGGCCTGTTAAAAACACATAATCTTCCACATACTGACCAAGAATCAATCCATGATAAGTATCGAGGTCTTGTACTTTGAAGAAATTCTCTATAACTTTCAAACTCAAAGGTTGACCGTCTTTAGCTTCGATCAAATGGATGTTTTGACCTATAGAATTTGACACTGCCAACATATCTTTATTGATATTAGGAAGATTAGTTAATCTCAAATCCAATTGAGAGTAGAGATATGGTAATTCTCCAGCTAACAAGTCCCAATTAACATCTTCAGTTTCCAAATAAGTCCACATAGATCCACGGACGAGTTCAGGGTCAATCAGATCAATGATTTTTGGGTTCAAAGACCAACATTTACTGAGGAACCCGTCTAATTTTGGTGATTGGGATACGATTTTCTTGGTGGAAGTGAAATTCCTAACAACTTCAGTTTCATCATTGTTGTCCAAGATCTCATCAAATAAGGAATCAACAAACTTCATAACCAAAGTCCATTCTTCAGGGGTCTTTTTCTTAGGAACCAAGGAATCAATGTAACCTTTCAACTCCTCGGGCAATTCCTCGTATCTCCATGAAAACTTGTTCAAGAGTTTGTTGATGAGAATGGAAGAATCAAGTTCCAACATTTGGAATTTGACAATCAAATCATCCACAACTTCAACATCAGCTTCCTTGTTGGCCCAAATGGTGAAAAGATAATTAATTACGTAATCGGTATCTTTTTCCATATACATAGCTACGGAAGAGTTGAATTCTTCAAGTTCTTCGGTGACTTTCTCGTTCAATTTCACCTTCTTCACTAATTTGGTCAACACTTCAAACCCTCTTTTGGCACAACCGTCGTCTTCGATCAACGTCAAAATCTCCGATACTAAACCTGAAACATCAAAACTTACCTTATTAACCAATTCAACAAATGCATTGATCTCCACGGGATTCTTACCACTACGTATATATTGGGGAATATCTTTTTGTTGAGTCTCCAAAGCAGAATCAGAATCTTCTCCTAAAGCATCAGCTAGTAAATCAAGAAACTTACCTTTAGGACCTTTAATGTTATTAGAAATCTCAACTAATGAAGGTAAGGCTTCTTTCAAGAGATTCTCATCAATAGCTCTAGTGAAACCTATCAAACATTCCAAAGCTGTCTCCTTATACCCAATACGTACTTTATTCATGTCTGATACGATAGTTGATACGATGCTTTGGGCCAATTTGGATTCTTTAAACTCAAGGTTCGAATGTTGAAGTATGAGCAACAAACAATTCTTCAATAAAATGTAATATATAGGATCAGAATTACAAGCCCCAAGTTGAATATAATCTATCAATCTCGTTTGTCCACTGGAACTTATATCCCAGAAGTTTTCCTTGGGTTTTTTCTTCCCTTCTAAAGATGAGAATTTAGTCAAGTTGATCAAAGTCCCCCAAAATTGAAGAATCATCATCCCAAAGACAATCGTCTGAGAATTATTTGATGCTTTCAATTTGATTTGTTTGATAAATCTCTTCAGAACATGCTTATATATACTTCTGGCACTGGATAATTGCTTACAGAATTTATTCTGGATTCCCTTTTCTACTTGATCTTCTTGAAACATTGACTTCATAAGGACAAGATATGTGTTAGCCATGGACGCATTAAAGGTCTTGGATGCAAAACATTGGGTCATTGGTTCCCATAATAATTCATTATCGAGTAAATCATCAAATGAGTAATCTATGGACATTCCTTGATTCACCAAAACCACCAACTTATTGAGTAAATTCAAACTTCCGTTGATGATTCTTTCATGTTTAGCAACTGAATCATCATCGGTGGTGTTCCTTTCATCACTTAAAGTCTTTTTGGTCTCATAAAACAAACTTGCTTCTATGAAATGTAAAATCTCACTATGGAAAATCTCCCAAATCTTACTATCTACTCTTTCTTTATCACCGAAACTGTCTACTAATGAGCTGTAAGCCATTGTAGAGATCTGCTTATCAGCATCGTACATCAAACTTAACCATATAGGTAAAGAACTCTTTAAATACTTGGAAAAGGCTTTCCCTCCCATTAACTGAAGATAACTTGCTTGCACCTTCAATGCTGATAACCGGACGTTTCTGGAATTATCGAAAGCCAACTTGGCAAAGATCTGGATCCAACATTGTATAATCCCTTCGTCTCTAAGTTCTTGTTTCGATTGTTGATTGAAAATGGCTTGTAATTCATTTAATGACTTTTCTTTGGTAGTAGAGTCTCTCTTCATCAAAGATTTGAATATCACCGTCACATGAGGACTGGAGATTATGTTCGGATCTGGGAGTGCTGTGAAGTAACTCAACAGTACTGGAAACCCATTATACCCAATATCTGACTTCGATTTGGTCTCCGGACTAAACATGAATTTTTCAATCATACTTCCCAATTTGGGTGCGATTAGTAAAAAATCAAATGCGACATTTTAAGACATTTTGAGAGACATTTATTAAAATAATTTAAAAGGTTTCTAAAGTTGAATAGAATTCTTTGACGGCAGTACTGGCCATGATCTTCTTAGGGTCGAAATTCTTAATCTCTAAGTTCTCTTTGTTAACAGCTCTTGATAAAGCTACATAAACTTGACCTTTCTCGAAAATTCTTCTCAAATCTACTCTTAATCTTTGAATGGTTTGACCTTGAGCTTTATGAATAGACATGGCCCACGATAATAACAAGGGTAATTGGGAACGAGTGATTTCTCGTTTTTTACCACCAGCACCACCTACTTCAATGGTAAAATCTTCAGGTGTGACAAAAACTACAGAATCATTACCGAACTTATCTTTAAAGTTAATCACCGGAAAGATCCCAGTATCGGTTTCTTCTTGAGCTTCTTTCATTAAGACATCGAATTTCACTTGTCTTTCAGGAGGCATTTGATCATAAATGATCAGTTGTTCAGGAGTGATTTCTTTGACTTGTCCGATTCTTTCATTCAACATGTTGATTTCTTGTAACAAAGATTCATCGTAAAGGTATGCATCACCATAAACATCCTGGATTTTTAAATACATTTCAGCAGTGGTCATGAAAATCACTTTCCCAATCGACCCATTGACTATATTATCATCTCTATTTTTCAAATACATCACTTGAGCTCCCGGTTTCAAGATCAATACTTGTTCACACATAAGATTATCTAAGAGTTTACTATCATAGACATCGAAAGTTTTATCTGTGGCAACAAAAGTCCGAGATTTGGTGGTAAGCAGTTGTAATCTTCTATCATTAGCTCTTTTAACTTCTTCCCTTGTAGGGAATAACTCAGTTGGTTCAATTCCATCATCATATATTTTACTTGTTTGAAGTCTCATGAACTTTTCAACTATATGAGTATCCAAATCACCAAACCTTAAAGCATTCAACATATCGATCAATTCATTATCACCACTTTGTCTAAAGACTTGAGTTAAAAGGATAGTTTTCTCAATAACTTGATTCCATTGGGGTACTTCAAAACAATATTTGGCTGATTGGTTCTTTCCTACAGGTGGTAATTGAAAGAAATCCCCCGTACAGACAATTTGAATACCTCCAAAAGGTTTATTATTTTGTCTAACTAATCTGGCTAACTCTTCAAGTTTACTGAAAAGAATCCCATCGATCATAGAAATTTCATCAATGATCAACACTTTCAACATATTCCATCGTTTTTGTAACATTGGTTTAGCCTTAATTGATTTAGCCATCCCTTTAGGTTCACCTGTTCCTAATCCTATACCCAAAAATCTATGCAAAGTTTGTCCACCGATATTACATGCTGCCAATCCAGTAGATGCCGTCACTCCTACAAGACTCGATCCGTATTTTGCTTGTAAACGTTTAACTAATTGTCTTAATACGACCGATTTACCTGTACCAGCACTACCAGTATAAAATACATTCTTCTTCTTATCTACAACTTGAGTCAAAACCACGTTTTGTTCCTTACTCAACGACACATCTGAAGTGAATTCTGTGTCAATTTTAGGCTTAACAAACGTAGGTTTCAATTTCTTACTCCCCATACTGTTCAATGTTCCAAGAAGATCATCATATCCCCTTTTGACAGGAGCTGGTCTTTCAGGACTTTCAGCACTATTTGTTAAGTCCACTAATACTTTCTTAAACCCTTTTGTTGACGTTTGAGTGATATTTCTGTTCAATAACGGGTTTCTGAAGTTATTTAGTTCAGGAGAATCAAAAGACGTATCAGAACTACCAAACTCATCAAATCCATCATTATTACTGGCTTTTGATAGTATAGAATCCGATCTCTTGACTCCCAACTTCTCTGGAGTTGTGGTACCCACCACTTTTCTATCCTTAGGTCTCTTGGAGAAGAAACTGGAGATAGGTGCTTGTTGGTGATGCCTATGGTCTTTCATATGAGGGAGTAAACAAAAAAGCGCGTTCTGATCTGGGGATGTAAACTCACGTTTGAGCTCAGAGTTTGTGAGAGTTGGTTCCTGTCCTCGACAGAAGGTATTGTGGGTGGTGGAGAGTATTTGGGATTCATGAAATGGTTGAAAGGATGGAAAGGGAAAGGGTGCAAAGGGTTTGCTTGTTTTAAAGAAGAATGTTCTACCAACTCCAGACTTATGTCCCATACTTATGTCCCATACTTATGTCCCAACCTTATTCTTATTGTTCATTGTCCTCTTCAGAACTCCTCTCAAACCATCTAGTGGTATCTCATCCGGTGTGTTCACTAAATGCTCTCATATCTTATATACATTCCCTTCCTACTTCTTCTTTGTACTACTACTCAACCCACAAATCCAAATGTCATTTCCTACGCGAATTGTATAGACAAAATCATCGTGATCACAAGAACTTTACTATGGATGAACTACGATCGTCCCCCAAGCGACCTAGCATGTTCACCAAGAGTATGAAGAAGCTCACAAAGTCAGCTTCGATACTTAATTTCAACAACGTGGTGTCGAATGAGGAAAAATCTAATAGTGATAAATTCCAGGCCATAGAGTATGACTCCATATCCCAACCAACCAAGGAACCTATACATGTAATGCATCTTCCTGATAAGTTCGAAGGAAACCCCCAAAGAAAGTTCTCCAGTGGTTCCATGTCATCTAATGAGAAAATTTATAATGTTCAAAGTCCACTATACGATCATAGGAATAATAGTGTTACCAGTAGTTCAGTAATAAGTCTACACCTGTTAGACCCCAAGAGAAATGTCAGCACTGAGTCTGGTTTGGCTCAAGTAGGATTGAATTTGGCGGGCTATGGATTATCCAATGATGATTTAACATTCATGCCACCTAGAAATATCAAGGTATCAAGGAATCCCAGTTATAAATCCCAAATCAAGGTTGATACTAAGGACGATAGACCTTCAATAAGTCCTAAAATACGGAATACTTCCCACCCCAGTCCATCTTTAAAGGTCAGTTCAGGTAACTTCCTCCAATCGTTCAATAATTTTGCATCCAATATAAATCAAATGCCTCCACCAATAATTGTGGACCAGCTATTTGAACGACTCCTCAGTATAAGAGCTTTTTCAGACAAGGCAGTCCAGAAGTTAAGAAACCAGTCGACCAAGCGAAAGTGGGAACTTCTTTTGAGAGAAAGTGAGACCAATATTGACTTTGATTTGAAGACCATGCTTCATAGAACCATGACTCAGAATAGTCAGCATAGTGATGAGAAGAGTTTTGGAAGGAGTAGTGGTAGGAGGTCTGACGAAAGAAGGTCTGACGAAAGAAACGAAGAAAGAAACGACGACGTTCCAGAAACTTATTCTCCCTTATCTTCTGCTAATGTTAACATCCCCAAACTAAAAAAGAAACCAAAAGATGGTAGCCCTGAATGGTATGTACATAGAATTTTAAGTGGGAAACTTAACTCTAAGGATTATAAGAAGTTGGATAAGAAATTGTCAGTTACAGATAAAACTCATGACAGCAAGCAGTGGTCATTGGCGTTCATCAATTCTCAAGGTGAAGCTGCATTGTCGGTGATTCTCTCCCGAATCAACAAGAAGAGTATTAAGTCGAATGAAGAATTCGATAGGGAATATCTCATCATCAAATGTTTGAAACATATTGTCAGTCAACTGTTCAATGGATTTTTCGAAGAATACGAAGACAAGGGAGAGAATGAATCTTTCATTTATAGTGGGTACACTAACAAATTGCATATCATCAAGTCCATCACTCATTCATTGATATCTCCTAGATTGGCTACTCGTATTCTTGTCACAGAAGTGTTGATATTTTTGTCCTACAATCGAGATCCTGAGTCCTTATCTTTGATCTTAGAAAGCATGCAAGCTTTACAAGATCATATGGGAGAGTATGTCAGGTTCCAACCATGGTTGAACTCTTTTGAGTCTTTCCTTGATAAGTATTTCATAGGAGATTATGCATCAAAAGTCGAATACAGTGGAAGTTTGAAGAATTATTGTCTAACCACCTTATTATTGGTGAACTCCTTAATTGATAAAGCTAAACTGATCAAACTCAGAATCAATATTCGTAGAGAATTGGGAGATTCCAGAATCGATAAGATCTTTGATAAGTTAAGAGTCATTAATGATGAAAGAATTGATGAAGAAATAGAGAAATACGAAAGTTTTGGAGAAGATGATTATCATGCATTCTTTGGTATTGACAATGAGAGTGTCGATAGCTTGGAGGATAAAAATCTCGATAGTTTATTCACTCAGTTGAAACAACAGTATTCTGATGAAACTGAGTTGAAAGGATTGTTACAGAAACTCGTAAACAATCCTCCTGAAGAACATAAGCTTACTAACAATCAAGAGTATCAGAAATTGTCGTTAGAGAATAATGACTTGCAAGAGCAGAATAAGTCATTGAAGAAACAGTTGAGCAAGATGAAGATGGATTCTTCTAAAACTTTGTATGATGAAGATTTGGAATTCTTGAAAGGTGAAAATCTACTTAGTGCTGATAAGATTGTTGAACAAGAGAAGACTATCAATGAGTTGAAACATCAACTTTCTTTATTGAATGAGACGAAAGAGGAACCCAGAACAAAACCTATTAGGGTTTCTATGGGTAATAATGTGATGATAAATGAACTAAGAAAGAAATTGAAAGGTAGTGAACTGAATCCTATAGTTATAAATGATCAAGAGGAGAGCAAGACCCGTGAGGCTGAAGCTTATCAGACTGGAGGTATTGTAGTAGAGTTGCGGGATGTGAACGGCAAGTTTAGTAGTCCTAGGCCTCCTACTCCACCACCGGTTTTTCCCAAATTTGATGACTTTGACTTCAATCCTGCTAATTCACAAACCGAATCGAACTCATTACCTTCAAGTACTGCAGCTGTGGATTTACCACCTCCACCACCTCCACCACCAATTCCTGCTTTCTTGAAGAATGCTTCAAATGCTTCACTTCCACCTCCACCGCCTCCACCTGTTCCTCCATTTTTGGAAAAACTTGCAACTTCCAACCCAAATCCTGGCCCTCCTCCTCCGCCACCTCCAATACCAGAATTTTTGGAAAAACTATCATCCCAGTCTGGACCATCTCCACCTCCACCTCCACCAATACCGGATTTCCTACAAAGCATATCAAAATCTGATTCAACTCCTGGGGCTCCTCCCCCTCCTGGGGCTCCTCCCCCTCTTGGGGCTCCTCCACCGCCACCTCCAGTGCCTGCATTTTTGGAAAAACTTTCAGGGTCTGCTTCACCAATCCCCCCTCCACCTCCCCCTCCT